AAGACACTTTCAAGCTCAACTTAGCTGTCCACATGAACGAGACTGTTTTCTAGACTAATGTTGATGTGGGTATTAGTCTCCTCCAGTTTCACTGGCTGCTAGTCAACTTCAGGGTTCAAGATCCTGGTTCTGGTCTATAGGGCCTTACATGGACAAGCACCATCTTACATTGGTGCTCTTCTTAGTAGGGATGCAACGATACCACTTTTTTCCAAACCGATACGATACAGATACTTGGATCTGAGTACTCGCCGATACCGATTACCAATACCGATACTTCTACAATACAAAAAAAGGCAATGATTTGGAATACAGATTTTATTTTCTTCTCTGCACAGGAAAAGACCGTGAGGTAGATAAAAAGTAAAATATATGAATGGAAATCATCACAAAACTAAAATATTAGGTGAACAGAAATGACAAGTTACAGTGAAGCCATTTTCAAACAACTGCATTGGTATCGGTTAACTTTTACCAATACCGATACTGGTATTTGCATTGTATCGGTGCCGATACCGATACCAGTATCGGTGCATCCCTACTTCTTAGTCCCTACACCTCCAGCAGGTCCCTGAGGTCCAGTGATCAAAGCCTACTTGTTGTGCAGCACCAGACTAAAGACCAAAGGTGACAGATCATCTGCTGCTGTGGCCCCCAGACTCTGGACCTCTCTCCCCCTGAGCCTGAGATCAGTGGACTCAGTGGTCTCCTGTAAAAGCAGCTGAAGACTCACTTGTTCAAGCTGGCTTTTGTATGACCTTCTTCACCTCTCTCTCTTTCTTAACATTTTTTGTTTTAAATCGCAATTGCTTATTCTTGCTCATTTTAAATATATTTTTAAACATTTTATAAATGCTTTTTATATTTTTTGTTTTTGTGAAGCGCCTCGTGATTTTTATCTTGAGAGGCGCTATAGAAATAATATTTTCTTCTTCTTTCTTCTGGAGGCATGAATACAGTTTTAAATGTGATTTTAGTTAAATAAGAGAAACATGATAGAACACATTAGACATGTTTCCATTTTACCACCCTCCTACTTCCTCTCCCTTGTAATATTCCCAAAAGAACAAAAACAAGATTAAAGCTGCAAGCAGCGTCGTTCGGCCCTCGCAGCTCCGCGCCGCTCCGGCCTGGCTGGCAGCCCGGGGCACCAGGGCATGTCTTTCAGAACAGAAACGTCAACCACCCCGACACCAGAAACCGCAAATGGCCTCCTAGTCCGCACCTCACCCTGACTTAGCATCCCCTCTGAGCTCACCATTAAATTGAATTGTAAGGTTTCGGCGTTACGCCAGAACTCGCCATGGCATCAAAGCCCCTCCCTTTCTGGAAAGCTATCAGATCTGAATGGTCATTACAGCATCATGAAGACAGTGCATGACCTTAGGGTCATGTTGACTAAATTAGAGGGGACAAGTATGGGCATTTCAGCATAAAAAATAAATTCCTGTAGTCAGGGGGCGGGGCTTAGGTGATGTCAGCTGTCCACATTGTCATTGTTTACAGATATGGTCAATGATCACACAGACAAAGTTCGAAAAAGATCTGATCATGCACATGGGAGTTATTAAGTCAAGTAAAGTAATGGCGAAAGGTCAACGTTTGAGGCTTAGCCACGCCCACACCTTTCAACTTTTGAAAAATCCGACGGTTGAATTTTTTCCCCTACGTCTTAAGAGTGTATTGCAGAAGTTTGAAGGTGATTGGTGAAAAGGGCGACGGAGCATCACTCTCCAAACAATGTGTGCGAAAACCACTAAATCACGTACTTGCACCAAAATGGCCGACTTCCTGTGCGACTTTACGCTTGGCTCCAAGAGACTTTTTTGTAGGTCCTGAGACCCCACATTAGTGTACCAAATTTCGTAATCCTCAGTCAAAGCATGGCTTGGGGCTGACAGTTTTAATGGCTCTAGGGGGCGCTATTTAAGAATATAGGCCATGCCCACAAACTTCAGCTGTCTATTTCTCTTGGAGCTCAGACTAGGATCACTCACCAGAAGTTTCGTAGCAATATCACGATAACTGAAGAAATGAGAGACAAACGTATTTCCATGGCGTGATGGCGATTTTCGCCATGGTCCCAAAGCCCCGCCTTTTTTCAAAACCTGCCAGTACTGGAGACCAAGTAACCTCAACTTGTCTACTGCTGTTTGCCACAGAATCCTGGTGATTGGGTAAAAGGAGTCCAGTAGGGAGCTGTGAAAAAAAGAGTAGCGTGGCGACAGGTCAAAGTTTGAGGCTTAGCCACGCCCACACCTTTCAACTTTTGAAAAATCCGACGGTTGAATTTTTTCCCCTATGTCTTAAGGGTATATAGCAGAAGTTTGAAGGAGATTGGTGAAAAGGGCGACGGAGCATCACTCTCCAAACAACGTGTGCGAAAACCACTAAATCGCGTACTTGATCCAAAATGGCCGACTTCCTGTGCGACTTTGAACTTGACTCCAAGAGACTTTTTTGTAGGTCCTGAGACACCACATTAGTGTACCAAATTTCGTAATCCTCAGTCAAAGCATGGCTTGGGGCTAATAGTTTAAATGGTCCTAGGGGGCGCTATTTCAAAACATAGGCCACGCCCACAAAATTCAGCTGTCTATTTCTCTTGGAGCTCAGACTAGGATCACTCACCAGAAGTTTCGTAGCAATATCACGATAACTGAAGAAATGAGAGACAAACGTATTTCCATGGCGTGATGGCGATTTTCGCCATGGTCCCAAAGCCCCGCCTTTTTTCAAAACCTGCCAGTACTGGAGACCAAGTAACCTCAACTTGTCTACTGCTGTTTGCCACAGAATCCTGGTGATTGGGTAAAAGGAGTCCAGTAGGGAGCTGTGAAAAAAAAGAGTAGCGTGGCGACAGGTCAAAGTTTGAGGCTTAGCCACGCCCACACCTTTCAACTTTTGAAAAATCCGACGGTTGAATTTTTTCCCCTATGTCTTAAGGGTATATAGCAGAAGTTTGAAGGAGATTGGTGAAAAGGGCGACGGAGCATCACTCTCCAAACAACGTGTGCGAAAACCACTAAATCCCGTACTTGATCCAAAATGGCCGACTTCCTGTGCGACTTTGAACTTGACTCCAAGAGACTTTTTTGTAGGTCCTGAGACACCACATTAGTGTACCAAATTTCGTAATCCTCAGTCAAAGCATGGCTTGGGGCTAATAGTTTAAATGGTCCTAGGGGGCGCTATTTCAAAACATAGGCCACGCCCACAAAATTCAGATGTCTATGTCTCTTGAGAGTCAGACTAGGATCACTCCCCATAAGTTTCGTAGCAATATCACGATAACTGAAGAAATGAGAGGCAAACGTATTTCCATGGCGTGATGGCGATTTTCGCCATGCTCCCAAAGCCCCGCCTTTTTCTGAAACCTGCCAGTGCTGGATACCAAGTGACCTCAAGTTGTCTACTGCTATTTGCCAGAGATTCTTGCTGATTGGGTAAAAGGAGTCCAGTAGGGAGCTGTGAAAAAAAGAGTGGCGTGGCGACAGGTCAAAGTTTGAGGCTTAGCCACGCCCACACCTTTCAACTTTTGAAAAATCCGACGGTTGAATTTTTTCCCCTATGACTTAAGAGTATATGGCAGAAGTTTGAAGGCGATTGGTGAAAAGGGCGACGGAGCATCACTCTCCAAACAACGTGTGCGAAAACCACTAAATCGCGTACTTGGACCAAAATGGCCGACATCCTGTGCGACTTTGCACTTGGCTCCAAGAGACTTTTTTGTAGGGCCTGAGACACCACATTAGTGTACCAAATTTCGTAATCCTCAGTCAAAGCATGGCTTGGGGCTGACAGTTTTAATGGTCCTAGGGGGCGCTATTTCAGAAAATAGGCCACGCCCACCGGATGTTCACATCAGATCTTTTGGGGGGCTGGACTAGGATCACTCACAAGAAGTTTCATGACGATATCTTTAGAAATGACGAAATGGGAGGCAAACGTAAGGCCACAGCGGTACGCCTGACTTCGCCGCGCCGCCACAGCCCCGCCCTCTGCCGAAAACTCCCATAAAGTGACGCCAAGCAACCTCCACTTGTCTTGAGTTACCAGCTACAAATATTTGGTGATTAAGTGAAATGGGGCAATTTGGGACCTTTCACAGTAAAACTTGACCTTTTTGGTCCTGAGGGGGCGGGGCTTGTGTGATGTCATCATCCGACCATTTATTTTACTTTGTGGGTGGATGACGAATGACCACAGAAAGTTTGGTAACTCTATTCCAGTCAGTTATGAAGTTATAGCAATTTAAAAAAAATTGGCGAGTAGTCAAACTTTGAGGCCTGGCCCCGCCCCTTCAACATATACGAAAACTCAGAATCCTTGTCTCATTTTTTTCGCCCATCTCTTCTGAGCAATTTTACACCACTTTTGAGACGATTGTGCGAAAAGTGATCGAGCAATCCAGTCAGAAACGGACCCTAAAACGGCCAAAACTGCAAAAAATCGCCATTTCAACCCAAAATGGCCGACTTCCTGTTTGATATTGACCATGCTTGCAAGAGACTTTTCTGTGCGGACTGTTGAGTACTACAAGTGTACCAAATTTCATAACTGTACGATAAACTAAGCTTTATGGGGAGGGTTTTTTTTCACTTTCTAGGGGGCGCTGTTCAGTCATTTCCTGTGCGATTTTTTTGGGACCTTTAAAATATCAAATTTTTCACCAGGCCTGACATGTTTGCAAAATATTGTGAGTTTTGGGGAATGATAAGGTCCCCAAAAGGCCATTCAAAGCGGGCTAAGAATAATAAATAAAAAAGAATAAACAGAGCAAAAACAAGAGGCCTTCGCAGCGCTTTCGCTGCTCGGGTCTAATTAGGGTTCGTTTCCGGTGTTCAGATAAAGAAGCTAAATGTGTGGTTTACCAGAAATGTATAGGGATGGCGTCGTGCTCTTGGACGCTGCACAAAGGGGATGCAACAACGGAGAAACAAATGTGAGACCTCATCACATCTTTAAAATAAGTTTGTGAACACATGATCAAGAAAAACCAGACCAAATGATTGTTTATTTACTCAACATTAAGACAAACTGAAATCCCTGTTGATCAAAGAGCATGATGAACTCCACACGCTTGCTTTAACAACAGCTTACACTGTAACGATAACTGCTATTTCCCACAGAAAGCAAACGCTGCTTAGCTTTTGTAAATGTAAAAATTCTAGATTAAGAGCAGAAATCGTTTTCAGGCACATTTCTTCCAGATAAATCAACATTTTACAGTGATACTTTGAGTAAAGCGCTCTTTTGTCACCATTGGGATTACAATATCAAAATGTTATAAAACTATTTATGGGTATTTTGTTGCTTTTTTTAATTTGGTGAAAATTTTGTTTAAAAAAAAATCCAGGTTGCAGCAACCCGAAAAGGCTGGAGGTTGCAGGCATTTTTATTTGAGCAGCATTAGTAGAGTAAGAACTGAAGATTTCAGGTTTGAACAGTTCAAATGGGATCATTAAAACAAAAGCTACCCCACGTGGTGTGTGTGTGTTTTCAAACAGCTTATTTTTTTTACAGCTAACTTCAACTGCAGCAAAAAAACGCAGAAATCTTTCTGCCGCTCAACGACATTCAAAAGCAGGAAAGCGTGCAGACTGCTGAAATCATCCATCACACAGCATCAGACCATCATCTCCACTGATGAAGAGGCAGTTCTCTCAGAAACACACACACACACACACACTTATAAACTGGAATGCAGAGAGACTAAATGATCCCATCTGATCTCACGCAGTGAGGAAACTGCCTGAGCTAAACTGCTGCTGTTGGGTTTTCAGTGTTTGACAAAAAATTTATTTCCAGGGTAAAGATTTTCTTTTAGGGTCGATCAGCTTCAATATAATAAAATATCTCATGTAAAAATAAAAAAGTGGCATTCCTTCTTTAGTCTCTTTTAAATCAACACCGTATCTTTCTTATTGGTCTACTACAACTCTGCAGCCCTTTCACGAGATTGAAAACGAGAGAGAGCGGACGTGCGGAACAAACGCCAACGGGGAAAAGAGCCCTGCCGGCTCTCCCCCCCCCCCCCCCCCCCCCCCCACGTTATTTCTGTCAAGCCAGACAGGATAGCTGAAATGCAACTAGCTAACGCAGACTCGTCCCAGAGTCTTTGATTTCTGAGTTAACTTAAACTTGAGAAAGCGCATCTGCTAAACGCTTCATCAACGTGTACCGAGGTCAACTCTGGACTGGACCGTCGCACACCTTCGTCTCCTCTGCCAGCCAAGGTGTGACCTGGATAAACATCCTCCGAGGTCCGGATCTGAAAGAGGGTCCTGAGTACGGTGAGGCAGAACACAATAGATAGCGTTCTGATGCAGTTTTTCTAATAAGAACTAAGTTTAATTACAAAACATCATTTTTCACTCAGATTCACCTTTTCTCTCCCTGAAGCAATCTCAGACACCTGCATGCACGCATTCATAATTACATCATCCTCAATCTTAGCACATCCAACACAAGGTCTATTTGTGCAAGCTTAAAATATCAACTGTTAAAGATTGTCCAACAAGGTTGCCAATGTCGATTGTTTTCTCTTGGAGGGAAACGTGTCTTCACCAGTGACTCGATGCTGGACGTGAAGAAAAGATGATGAAACATGAGACTAAATATAAATTTAATGGATATTTAGTTCACAGAACATCAGCAGCCATTGTGGTTTTCCTGTTGTATTGTTTGTTATTTCTGTGAAGTCAAACTTTATCTAATTAAACAATAATTTAGCATTTGTTTCTAAGTTTGTCACTGAAATGTGTTTATTAAGTGTGTCTGCCCTCCACTAAGTCGCTACGGCTCTACAGGAGGGATGTATATCAGCTGATCGTGATGAACTTCACCTCATGAGAGGAAAGGGGGGGGGCTACATTTCTCACTAATTCTGCCCATTTCTTATTTTCTGTAAAATGTGTGCAGGGTTAGTGTTCCAGCCAGCAGCCCTTGTCCATCCACCAGCTCACAGTTTGGCTCTCAGAGGCTTCAGGTATTTGTGGAAGGATTCATGGACCTGAGGAAAACATGGGACAGGTTTTAAGGTGTGATAATAAACTCTTCAAGGATTACCACGTATACGTTAATGACATAACCAGGTCCTGGAACCTGTGCTACAAATTCAATATCCACTCTTCACGTCACACGATGATGGTTTGTTCACCTCTGTGGCATTAAGAGGCGAGCGACGAGCCCACTCGAACATGTTCTCGTAGACGTTTCCATCAAAGCGTCCCAGAACAGAATTCAGCTTCTTGTCGTGGATGTCAAAGGCGTCCACCAGCGCCACGGCGTTGGGCCTCAGCTGAGACAGGAGCTCTTTGATACGGACGGAAATCTGTAAAACCTGAGGTGCGCTCAGCAGTCCAGCCTGAAAATAGACACCAGAGATGTTCAATTAGGAAAACGAGGTCGTCGAGCACAGGCGCCACCGGTCCCTCTGACCACTACCAGCAGGCAAGGAGGGTGGCAGACGGGGCTCGAACCTGCAACCCTCTGATCATGGAGCAGGCACCTAAAGCTTGGTTTATGCTTGATGCATTCACTTTCCGCGCGGTGATGCGGCTCGCGGATGGAACGCGCTTCACAACTCGCAGTTTATAGTTCGTGCGGCTCGTCTCTGCAGTGAGCCAATATTCTCCCAAACTGTAGGGGGCAGCATGGAGCTCTACAGCATGCAGCCAACACTACACCATAGTAGAAGTAGAAATTACTGTTTACAACATGGCATTTCAGCATTTTTAACAGCGTTCTCGTCTTTTCCGACAGTGCGAGCTATTTCTCTCCAAGAATTATTAACAACATGTTGATCACGGTGATCTCTGAGAGCTGAATCATACAAATGTCTGTATTTACGAACCTCTGCCATACTAGTTTTTGCCGGTCCGCCATGTTTTTCCGCATCCGTCCGTCCGCGTGGTTAGAAATTTTCTGGAGGTACGCGTTGTGGAAACTCTGGGTTGCGTGGAGGCGCGGTGGAGGGGCGTGGTTGTTAAAATGACGCAACTTTTCCGCGCGGAGCCGTGCGGACCTCGCGGACGCGTCAAGCATAAACCAACCTTAACTCCTCTGCCACCATCGCCCAGTCAACACCAGAAACAACGTATCTTTTTTTTTTTTGTTCACACAGTAAACCAGATGAGATCTAAATTTGCTGAGTCATGGTTTTCAATAAGAAGAGACCACATGTTTTTGACAGGTTTTCATCTTGAAGGACTTACTTACCAGCAGGAAGTCTCCGGAGTTCTCTGCGATCCCATGCATGGCATAGAGAAGAGCCAGGGTGGACAGCACAGAGTGTATCGCTGTGTCCCCGACCTCCCCCAGCTTCTCACTGAAGACCTTCACTACAACGTAGTGACAGTGGGCCTGGAGTCACGACACAAGTCAGTCTTTCTCCACAGTTCTACATGCACACGCACACGGGTGGACTTACATCTGAGGCTCGGACCAGCTCGATGGCGCTACCGTTCCAGGCATCCTCCTGACTCTTCCCGCGCTGCAGCTCCTGATGGATGCTCTTGGCTGCCATCTCCACCAGACTAAACACACATGTCGTGCATTAGATAAAACTCACCGGAACTCAAACGGATTGAATGAACGGTTAACTTTTGTTTGGATTGTTCTGATGTCTGAAGCTACCGAGCCACAGTCCGCCTGACACTTTGCGCTCATCGCAACAGACACCTGCTGGCAAATGGATCTGGGTGAGACTACAGCAGACAGTAGGAGTGATGTCATCAGCAAAGGCTATCGGGTTGCACACAGAAAACCACAGAAGCAGGACTCTGATGGCATCATCATCATCAATCGGACATTCTAGTAGAACCCATCTGAGCCCCAGTAAAGGTGTTGGTAAATGAGACCAACGTGACTCCTCCCAGAGTCGTTAAGATGAAACTCAAACCCACTGAAATAATCACAACGTTCTTACATTGCAGCTCTCTGTTTGTAGACCTCCACCAGGCTGCTCAGATCGTTGACGTCGACCACAGGCGGTTGGGCGGCGACGGCCTGCGGCTGCAGCCTCCGGTTCTGTGACTCGTTGAGGTACGACACGATGCCGCTGAGCTGCTGGCCCTCTTTAGCCTGCCGGTAACTCTTCACCAGATATCTGCACAGACCCAACGTTACAGACGACAGTTTCACCGTGGCTACAGTCACAGACGCGTCTGCAGGCTGCAGCTGTACAGGTGAGTGGGTTTAGCGGTGCTTTAGTATTTAGTTTTATGAACTAAAACGATCTCTTTGAAGGAACGGACCCGACAGGTAGTGGCCTTCGTGGCTGTTTATTCCTGTGTAGTCACCTGGCAGTCTGCAGCATCATAACGGTGTTCTCTCCTTCGTAGGTGCAGGTGGGGGTAAACGCCACGTAAATGTCCGGTAAGGCGCTGCTCCGGGAGTAACCGTGGCCACCACATGACATGCGGCACACTTCGATACCAGAGTTAGCTACCCACGTGGTGAAGGCCTTCAGACCCGCAGAGAGGGCGTGGAGCTGCAGGTGGAAGAGCAACGAGGCAGAGAAGAAGAGCTTCAGCGGGACAAGCATCAGCTTTGATTTCCAGTCAGTTTCACCTTCCGACCTCCATCTTCCTGCTCCAACTGGCTTTAATAAAACAACTATCTATGATAATAATAATGATAGTGGTGATAAATAATAATAATGATGATCATAATAATTATATTAATAACAGTAATGATAATTTTAATAATAATTACTATTATTAATAATGATAATAATTATAATAGTAATAGTGATAATAATGATATTATAATAGTAATGATAATAACATTAATGATAATAATAACATTAATAATAATAGTGATAATAATAATTATAATAGTAATAGTGATAATAATAATGATAGTGATTATAATAATAATGATGATCATAATAATTATATTAATAACAGTAATGATAACTTTAATAATAATTACTATTATTAATAATGATAATAATTATAATAGTAATAGTGATAATAATGATATTATAATAGTAATGATAATAACATTAATGATAATAACATTAATAATAATAGTGATAATAATAATTATAATAGTAATAGTGATAATAATAATGATAATAATAATGATAGTGATTATAATAATAATGATGATAATAATAATAATAATAATAATAATAGTGATGGTAATAATGATGACAATAATAGTGATGATAAATAATAATAATGATGATCATAATAATTGTATTAATAACAGTAATGATAATTTTAATAATAATAAATTATTAATAATGGTAATAATTATAATGTAATAGTGATAATAATAACATTAATAATAATAATAATAGTGATAATAATAATAATGATAACAATAATGATAGGGATTATAATAATAATGATGATAATAATAATAATAGTGATGATAATAATAATATTAATAATACTAATAATAGTGACAATGATAATAATAATAGTGACAATGATGATGATAATACTATTAGTAATAATAATGATGATGATGATGATTTTAAGTGATAATGATGAGATGACGATAATAATAATAATAATAATATTAATAATAATAGTAATAATGATGATGATAATAAGTGCTAATGATGATGATGATGATAATAATAATATTAATAATACTAATAGTGATAAAGATAATAATAATAATAATAATAATAATAATAATAATAGTGACAATGATGATGATAATAATAACAATAACAATAATAACAACAACAACAATAATAGTTGACATTTTACTTATGAAACTAAAGCCGAGTCCATCTCTGTAGCACCAGCGCTTATGTCTGGACTTTAACCGGTCCAGTACAGAACCTCAGCTCCTTTCTTTTTAAGCTGCTTGCTTGTAGATCGGGTGCTGATGGAGCTGGGCATTATGGGTAAACATCTCAGTTTAATCTCGTTCTGCCAGAAGTCCTCAGGTTGATGGTGGGGTTGATGTGAGACTTGAACAATTTTAGAAGCAACTAATCAGCCTCTTTCAGACTGATAAGTAAAACTCTAGCACCGAAAGGTGGACTTCCAAATAGTTCCTGAGCGCGGACATGTCTGCGGCTCCCCCAGAGGATGGATCAAATGCGAGGATGTAATTTCAAAAGTGTGTGACGACTAATGGGACTTTAACTTTTCCCCATGACTGTAACTCCTGAACGTGACAGTGTGGCTGGTACCTCAGGGAGCTCGCTGAAGTCCCCGTCGTTGATGTCTCCAGATATGCGGTGGTAGATCTTTGACATGTACTGGCCAACAAAACTGAAGGCGTAGGCTGTAGCCAGCAGGGGGAAGAGCTTGTACTGCTGCGTCTGGTAGTCCAGGATCTGAGGCTCCGGCTCTCTATGGATTACACACGCACGCACACACACACACACACACACAAATTTTACAGTGCCATTTTTATTCTTCTGATTGTTTGCTTTAACCCTATTCATGATGTTGTAGCAGCAAGAGCCATCATGCATTAATGCATCTTGATTCGGAAGCATCTCAGATTGTGGATTTTACTGATCATTTTTAAATAACACGTATTTCCTGAAATAACACAAAAGCCTCTGTAATCCCATAATTCCAAGGTTCTACTTTCCTCTGATGCTCTACATGTCTACCTGTCTTTGGTTCTTGTGTTTTCTATGAAAAATACTCGATGTAAACGTCCAGAACTTGCACTTAGAACAACCTCAACACATAACCTTAAGCATATTCTCCGTACTGCAACAACAATCCCCGTGGGAGACACATTTGTTTTGCTCTGATCTGCTTGTTGTGCTGACTGACCCGGGTCGGATCTCAGACTGGTGACGGACGGCGCTGTAGCGGATGGCGATGGTGGTGGACTTGGCAAGGGCCCGAGCAGACTCGCCAACAATAATGGAGCGGACAAACACCATGGTGCCGTAGGTCAGCTTGGAGCTGGGTGGCTTCACATAGGAACCGTCTGCCTCCACCTAGAGGAGGGCCAGAGTCACGTTTACACCCAGATCTGCAATAAGGACTTCATGCATCTGGAACTTGTTCAGATTTCCGTCCATCTACAGTAAAATAACCTAAAGGGACAATTTTAGCTCAACACAGCAAATGCTACAAGCTAGCAACCAAAAGTAAGTAAGTCATGATACACCGTGTTTGTGAAAAGGTTAAACACCATAAGTGGTCACAACTGATAAATAAAAGCAGACATGAACCCTCTCTAATGGTGAAACAACAACCGCAACAAGCAGGGGTGTAGCTAGACTGAAGGCAAACCTTGGGTAGATGATTGTGGTTTTAAAGTCTGCTCAGATATTCTCATCACCGTACCTTAGCATACTTCATTAGCATGTTCTCCCGTGGAATCCTCACATTCTCCAGTTTCAGGAAGCCGTTGTCAACTTCACTGAAGCCAAATTTTGGCCCGATGTCGCCGACCACAATACCTGGGATGGAAAGGAGCCGTATGAACAGGGTGAGGTGATGAACGAGGACGAAAAGACGAGTCGAGTTTACCTGGTAGAGGTTGGTGTGTGCTCATGTCGCGGATGGGTACGATGAAAGCGTGCAAACCGTGACAGTTCCCCAGGCTGTACAGCTGGGCTATGACTATAGCATGGTTGGAAGACTTCCCAACTGGAAGCACAAAGTGGGCAGATTATGTTGGTCCATCCACTTTGATCAGTGGTTCTCCAACCAAATTACAACAAAGACAGAAGCTGACCCAACAAGTGGATTTTTATGAAGCGACTGGCCAATGATAACGCAGCTTATTGAGTTTGTGATTCCCAGCTGCACCAAAGACACAACAGCGTGGATGTACTCACGTCCTCCGGGCCACCACTTGATGGAGCTGACGGTGGGGCTGTTCAGCACAAACTCCTGGGTGGCTGGATCGAATGTCGCTGTGGTCTCCAGGCCTCTGAGGTGAGTGCCTAGAGAGGTTAAAGCCCACCAAACAACATGTAGGAAGAAGAGTTTTAAAGAAACAGAGAGGTAGAGTTAGGCATTAGGACGTGTTTACATATAGATGATGCTGAACAACACGACATGATCATTTCTTAGCAAGAGAACAGCATAGATTAAATGAGGTCATGGCTCAGAAGACATGGTTATTGTCTGACTCAACAAAGCCAATTAAAGTCTGTGAAGGTTCTCAGTCATCCAGGTCATTGTAGTCTAATGAGCTTTGAAAAAAAAGCGTCTGGACTTCTTTGAGTTGCTTGAAGACGTTTCAAGATGTCGGACGTTGAAGACACCAACTGTCTGCCATCTATAATCCAGTTTTGAGATCCCTTCCCAGATGCCTCAACGCCCACGCATATCCTGACCTCAGGAATTCACATGATAGGGTGGGGCCAGGTTTCACAACGAGCTCACCCGAAACTCTGGCTGAATAGGACCCACACCCACCCTCACACCTTGGCTCATGTGTTTTTGTAGAAGATCATCAGGGGGTCTTTTGTTCCCTCTTCGGGGGGAAACTCCCACTGGGTTTAAATCTGGGACTCTCCACCATTTGACCTTAGAACTGAAGAAGCCTCTCGGATGAGAGGTGAAACGTCTTCAAGCAACTCAAAGAAGTCCAGACGCTTTTCTTTCAAAGCTCATTAAAGCCAATTAAAATTTTGTTTTAATTTGATATAAAAAAAAGAGTAAAGCAGAGCATCTTGTAGTGTTTGACAGATCTCAAGCATCCTCTGAGATAATGAATGTCCTGCTAGTTTAGCTGGACTGCAGCAAAAACAGATTACGACCCGTGTTAAAAACATAAAATCTAGTCAAGTTTAAAGGGTTGGTCAAAGGGGGAGTTTATCTGGGAGTGTCTGGTGATCGGAAAGGAATCCAAGGAATTGTGGCTATTCTAGGGGTCTAAAGGTGGAATTCTAAGTGGAAATGAAGATTTTGTGCAAACACCAAACAGGAGCCTTAAATAAATGTAATAATTACGCAATCAATGTTTAGTGTGTCCTTCAACCTTACTTAATCTTCTCTGATCAGACATCTCTAGAGGCTTCAGTCAGAGCCCAGCATTCTCCACCAGCTCTGCTGAAATTTGGCACGAAAACATATTTTTGTTTTGTAAAATATAACTGCCTAGAAACCTAGACAGACCGTCGCAGAAGTAAAACAATTATGCTTTACAGGTCAGTCTAGCCACACCCCATCGGAGTCTCAGCAGGACCGAAGAGTCTTGTGCCTGGCCAATCACAGCACTCCATTGGTTTGGTGGATGGGATGTTACTGCGATTGAACAAAAAAACAAAGATGGCGACGGCTTGATTGAAATGGCTTTGGCGGCAACTTTGGACTATTTAGACTTGGACTTGTCTTTGAGTCCAGGGCAGAGAGAGGTACTTGAGTTTATTTAGAAAAAAGATGTATTTGTGTCTTCACCGGTGTATGGCGACTGCCCCGCAGACGGACATCCATAGCGGTGAGTACGCCATGTTGTTCGATAGCATGTAGAGACAGTTACGCCTACCGCCTATGATTTGTGAGTAAAATTAGCCAGGGGGGTCTCTTTCAGGCTCGGGGATTTCCACATTCCCGAGAAGTCCCTCGGATTATGTGAACACTACAACGCCCGTTCGAGACCGAACTCACGCCATCCAGCCCCACCAAACCCCGACCGTGCCGACGCCAATGTGTAAGCGCCTATAGATCTCGCCCCAGGACTGAGCTTTGTCTATGGGTCGTGGCTAGACTATATATCCACCTCATTCCTGGGCCTGCTCATGTAGAAACGATACCGGAAGTGGAGCAGAGCTCTTGGTTTGCATGGTGAGGTTTGGTTTCTCGTAGCGGTTTAACATTTTTGTGCAGATTTTAAGAATTAAATGTTGCGATGTTTGCGGTTGTACTAACAACCAGAGAAAGTGAAATTAGTGGCTACAGGAGCGATGTTTGGAACATGCACTCAAGACTCAGACTCAAGAGAATATCACTATGTAGGTCCTGGAGAGCCACGGAGCTTTTATGATCGTTCATTGCTTCGCCGTCAGACGTGACCGAGTTAAGTAGCTAGAATGCTACTGCGTGTTAGCTTTGGTCAGGTTTTCATGTCATCCTCCGCCCGTCTAGTGCAGTAGACAGAGGGATTGTTACGGTGTCCCGTTTGAGCTGTGACAGCTGCTGTTCCCACATAGTTTACGTCTAAAAAGACCATAAAAAGTGGATTAGCACAAATGGATTGCATCATCCATCTATGGTTGCCATGTAAACGGTAGGCAGGTCGCATATTTTACATAAAGGGTCTTGAGGGCTTGGAATAGGGTGGATTGGACCTCAAACAGAATGCGTCAAACATTTTAACTTGTTTCCTAGAACGCTGAAACGTTTACATCCCTGCAGCCTTAAAGAGATAAATCCTTTAGTCATTTGGGATTTTCTGACAAATACAACCAGAACGTTTGAAGAGACCTGTGTGAAACTGTCCTGCTGCTCAGAACGGGTCTGTTTATTTTACCGTGGCCCATCTCAGTCTGAGCGTAGGTGCCGATGATGTCTAGGTTCCAGGTGAGCATGAAGAAACGCTCCATTTGTTCTGGGGTGGCCTGGTTGAGCAGAGTGGGCAGGAACATCACCAAATGGAGGTCCAAGGGCGATGGCCCACCTGGGTGCACACAACTTGGCCAAGCAAGACAGAGGCAAACAGAAAAGGCAAAGCAAGCAGTAATGTGGGAAAGGCAAGAAGGAATATGAAGTTTCAGGAGATGAGTTTAGAGAACCCACAGAGGAGTTGTTGGTTAATGATTGATACGGTTCAAGTTTAAGGGAAGAGAAGAGAAGGAGAGGGAGGTGTGGTTGTGCAAACAAACAATAAAAGCAGAGGCAACAGAGAAAACAGTTTTTGAGCATTACATGCATATTGGAAGTGCTGATTTCAACACTGACATTTACCACCATCTTCTTTCCCATTCAAGTGCGTTTTGGCAGGGAAGGAACGGCTCACAAAACTCACGGGTAGCACACGGTCATGGTTTTGGTTCGGATCACCCATCTCAGTTTTACTTTCAACACTAGAGAACATCTGGGAAGATCCTCTAGGATCACCAGTCCTCTTAGACTTGTCATGGAGTCGTGTTAAACTGGACCAAAGACCCAGTCTGGCTCCAGGCTCATTCCTGGGACAATCCTGGATTAATTCTGGGTCTGAGTTTAGCAGAGTGAATGTTTAGAGCACTGGGTGTGCTAAATGTCAGTTAGCTATGATTCACATGTGTATCCTGAGTTTCCTGCCTCAAGGAAGAAATAAAACCTTTGTTCATCTCTGCGTCTGCATCACAGCTGAGGAAATCTGATCAGGATGAGATGTTAGTTAGCAGCTACACGTCGGGTGAGAATTAAACATGTTTCCCAGAGGTCTCTCTGTTCTGTTTCTGAGACTTTCTCACCGCCAACGTAACGGACTGGATAATGATCCCAACCAGAACCATGTGTTAGGTTTGGGTTTATTCCCCCTTAACTACAGGCAACACAGCTAATACTTCTTATGCTCGTTCCATTCCAAGTTTTTGGTAACTGCACGAGTTTGACACCAGTATGGGAGGGTTTGTAGGATTCTGGTCCAATGGCGGACTAAACCAGAAAGTGCTGTAAATATATTCCACATTTTCAGAGTAAATGTGTACCAATTATTTACAAATTGAGGAACTTCCTTCAGTAACAGATGACTCTGTGGAGAGCCTGGTGTACATTCTCACTCCCACAGATTTGCCTTTCAGATTACGGAGAGACCTTCAGAGGCCTCATTCTGGATTCCCCGAGCACACTTTCACACCGCACAGGATTACCACTGAACTCACACAGATCAATGTAAAATATTCTCAGTCTGATCACACGAGATGCAGTGAAGCCAAAGACAGACCCAACCGTACGGATAATTTTCCACCTTTTGTTTCTTTTTTACAAACTTTGGTTATGATTTGTAGAAGCTGGAAATTAATCAGAGTACATCAATCAGAAAGCACCCGAGATGCATCATCATCATCATCATCATCATCATCGCATGGGAGAGAAGTGAGAGAGCTGAAAGTAGTGTGGATGGGATTGTAGACAAAACAAGGTTAGCTCTAAAAGTGTTTGTTTTAAACATCTAGGTGTTAGGGACACAGACGCTGCTAAGCATGTACTATAAAGCGGGTATTAGTGGCTTGTTAGGAAAACATCCAGCTGCTGAACAAAACCATCCTGAAGCTGCCGTGTCTGTTCTTCGTGATTTAGATCCGTCAAACATGTCCAAGAAAACTCCACTCTGTTCATGCTGGGTTATGGAACAACCCGGTTTGGTGTCTGACCCAAGTACAACGTGTGGTGATCATTTAAAGACAATCCTGCCAATCTGTGCCATCTAAGATCACGTAAAGTTTGCTTTAAGAAACAAATCTAGTGATTGATCTCCAACCCAAGAACAGGACTGACCGTGACCCAGCTCGGTTTGAGCATATGTGCCCAAAGCCTGGTAGGACTCAGCAAGAGGCAGCCATTTCTTGGCCTGTTGGGGGTCACACTGGCTTTGTAGGGTTGGGACGAACATGGTATAGTGCAGCCCATAGGCCTCCTGATGGTTGCCATTAACCATACTGGGTGAAAGGAAGGTCAAAGTTCAGTTACGGTTCCTCAAAATGCAGACAAGAGATTATCCTGAGCTACCAGGTTCAAAAGGCCTTTTAAAGACCAAGTTCACTTGTTTTTCCAACACTCCAGCAGTTGTCTCTAGTATAAATTAACGTATTCACTGCCAGCCGTTTCCTGATCAGAAATCCCGACTGCCAATGAGTGTTTTTACTGTTTTTTAAAAATTCACAAAACATTGTGCTCTATGATCATTTAAACGCCAAAACTACCAATTGAAAAAGGAAACTCACTTCCTACATCATCAGGAAGAATCGGCGGGTTTCTAGCGTTAACAGTTCTTTAACAATCCGTTGTCGAAGTGTAAGCGGCAGAAGCTTTTCCGGTTGGCACCTCGCTTTTTTCACAGCAGCGACCCAAACTATGGGTGTGTCCAAGCCCACGGGAAGGATGCTTGTAAGAGTGCGATGACGTCACAGCGCAGCGACGGGTACTGTCCGAATTCCAAGAATACTCATTCTCGCTAGGGATGCACCGATGGATCGGCATTTGATCCCAATCGTCCGATAGCGCCCCTATCGGTTTTGATTGGAGTTTTAAAAATAGATCAAAGCAGACCGATCAGGTAGGGTTGTCACGGTAACCGATGTAGCGGTAAACCCCGGTAAAAAAAAGTTGACAATAATAATAACCGTCTTGAATTTAAAAAAACTATATTATCTCGGTGGTTTTACCGTGGCTGCGGTGTAGGCGCGGTGACCCTTACCAGCCACCGTATCATCTGCTGAAGTTGCCGGCGGCACATGCGCACTTTGTTGTTTACAACCACAACTTTCTTGAAACTAAAGCTGAAATAATGGCCAAAGGAGGAGACGGCAGCGCTCAGGAGGACATTTTTTATCCCTCAAAGAAGACAAAGTCGGAAGTACGGGCATCTTTTGGATATTTGAAAAATGCCGAGGGAGTTTATAGAAGACGGCTATCCTGTTTGCAGCACGTGCAGAAAAAGTGTCTGTGAAAGGCAGCAACGCTTCAAATCTCATGACACATCTGCGTGACCATCACCCACAACTCTACAGTCAACGCAAGGCAAGCTAACGTTAGCGTTTTAGCTAAAATGCATGATCCGAGGATTTGGGTTGAGGAGAACGCAACAAGTCGCTATATAAAGCAGCCGCAGTGTTTTTTTTTTACAGCAGCGGCCCAAAACGATCTCCTAACACATGGATTTTCTGCTTCCTGATCACGTGACGTGTTATGTATGCGAATGAAGATCGGCTTCAGAGCTGAGATGTTTGTTCTCTCGGTGCGGGGGCTCGTTACAATGCCTAAAGTGTAAAAAAAAAAATGCAAATGACGACTAAAGTTGGATCTAAAAGGATGACTTTAGTCGTCAATGGCAGTTAATGAGTTAAAAAGCTCTGGTGCTCCTTTGTTAGGAAGTAGAAGCCAGATGGAGCAGAGGGCAGCAGAACAAGGCAGGATTAAAATCTTATTTCCAATCTCTCCTCTGATTGGATAACAGCAACATGACTCTACCAATGACTCTGGTGATGTTTTGTCTCCACAAATACCACAAGCCTGGAGGAGTTCTGCCATGTGGTTGAGTTGCTAATGCTAACAGTTAGCTTCTACTAGCCGAGATGTACTCTGCTCTCTCACAGATGCTAATCCAACAACAGCTCTCGCCATGGCGAGCCAAGACGGACGAGTCCATCAATGCTAATTTTCATTGTAACATAGACATAGTGACTTTTCTAATCCAATGGTTTCCCCGTCTATTTTCCATCTGCGGCTAAACTGGAAATAGGGGTAGAAAAACAATTTCACGTTTAGCCTGCACGTTAAGCTCAGAGTGACTGATTGTACTTCAAAAATAGGTATAAAAAAATGTTTATTAGTGAACTTGGTCTTTAAAACAATTCTGAATGAAATCCAATCTGATCTCATATAAACATGAAAAAGATGTTTTGTTGATTATTAGTTTGGAAAGTAGTCTTGATGGGATAGAGTACAATACAGGAGTACTAACAGGTCTCCAGTCTGCCTGTTAGTTTGAGTTGAGAATGATAAAAATGTTGTTTTCTTTGGTGGCCATTATGAATCAGGTTTACTACAAACATTAACCAGTTTTACATGAGCGTTTAATAATTGCTCTCAGAGTTTCATCAAAGTTCACCCAGTTAGCTTTGAGCAATGTAACAAAATCTTGTTTCTTGGTAGAAAAAAATAATGTCTTTCCCGATTCGGTCTGGGTGTTGGGGCAATATTCTCATTTCACAGATTTTAATAAATTATATTGGCTTTAGTAAGTAAGTAAGTAAAAGTTTATTTATATAGCGCCTTTCACAGATATAAATCACAAAGCGCCACATTGGAGACAACATGATAAAGATCAGGGCAAATACCTCTAACCAATAAAAACATCAGAAAAACAATAGCAGTGATAAAATAGAAAATAAAATCATGAGTATAAACAAAGTGAAGGTGTGAACCCAAACAAAGCCATCTTTTTGAAACATTTAGGGAGGGAACGCCTGGATGAAAAGGTGAGTTTTTAGATGATTCATAACGACCTCTACAGTGTTAGAGAGACGGAGATTAGAAGGTAGACTGTTCCAAAGTCTGGGTGCAATAGTCTGAAAGGCCCTGTCCCCTTTGGTTTTCAGTCTGGTTCCAGGAACAGCCAGGAGGTTATCACATGTGGATCTAAGGTTCCGAGAGGTGATGTGTGGGGATAAAAGCTTTACAGGATTATATGTATTAATTTGTTCATACAACGTTCCAGGGGTTGCCACAGTAACGCGAAAACACTGAGTCGGTCTGAAAAGCCACAGAGTAATGATTGATACCAAATTATACAATTGGTAAAGTATGTTGGTAAAGGTCAGCGTGATTTCAAAGGTTTCAAAAGATCAACAGTGTCATCTGTGCTGTAACTCGGCCCTGGGCAGCCACTCACTTCGAGGTGAACAAGCCGAGGCTAGTCTGGCATTAGTCAAAAGTGTGTTGTCAGACTTCGGAATGCATAGATTTTGTTTAATACAGTTGTTATTTTGCTTGTTTTGGGGCCTGCTAGCTTTGTGATTAGCATGCAAAATGTACTTGCAGTGAAATCGGTCCCCGCTTAAATACTTTCCCACTGCGACTATTACGGACTTTGTCTTGGTATTACGGCATATGAAAGATTCACGTCATAAAAGGAAAAAAAAAAAAGCCCGGGTTTCGTTATGAACCGGTATACCAACCAGACCTAATCCCGGTAACAATATATAACGCTAGTGAGAAGGATTCTTTTTTTTTGAAAGAGTTAGCCTTAAATTATGCTAATGCTAGCTGACTTCCTCTTCCCGTTCAAGAAGTCATCAAATATGTTTTTGCAGTTCCAGTCAATGGTGTTCCTAAAAAATATTTAAAAGTTGTTCTTCCGACTCACCGACCTCGTTAAGAAATTTTTTAGCTATAAACTTTGTGCGTACGTGTATTATCTACATGCTAACCTCTCCTCCTGTTCAGTGTAACAGCATCTCCTCAGTGGATGAACAAATAAAGCCATGAACTGCATACACTGGGGGTCGGCAACCTGCGGCTCTGGAGCCGCATGCGGCTCTTCCATCCATCTGATGCAGCTCTCTGCGCTTGTAAAATAATGAATGGATATTTAAATAAAATGCTTTATATTTTACTGCATTAATTTTACATCTGTATGCCAATTCTAAATGTAAAGATTGTCTGCGTAAACCTGAACAGGTCCAACCAGGTCTGACTGTGAGACCGGGTTGACGCGTCACGCTTGTGCGTAATCATAGGCGCTTCTGAGCTGAAGACGATGTGAGATTCTGGGACTCTCCTCAGACAGGCTCATGGATGCGACGCCACATTGGAGACAGGAACAAGCACAATTCAGCCAAAGTTTCATAATCAGGGAACATTTTCTAAGTGACAAGTCTCTCTGAGAGACCGGGTTTGGAAAACGCCCGCTTCAGTCGGAGGAATCTTCCCGCATGCGCTCTGGTTCTGCGACGCGCTCCAAGCCCCTCTCCACATCTTCAGCTCGCTGTGCACGTTATGTACGCGCTGACAGCGAGCTGCGCTGAGCAATGTCGAGCTCAGATCTTCAGAAGGAAATCTTTTCTTGAGTGATTTAGCAACATCTGCGATGTGCATAACGAATAAAGTGTCACTTCGTCTGCATGCGTCGGGGTAATTCTTTCTATTCTTTCTCCGTCAAAATAAATGGCCAAATACGGGAACTGTCCGGTCAGCGCAAGCCCTGCTTTTAACTGTTCTGTTTTCTTGTGGAAATTGTTGCAAAGAGATATAATTTAACTTGATTAACACCAGAGCCAGGCGCACTGCGCCGTTATCTCCGTCACTGTAAATGAGGGAAAAACAAACTGATCGGATCCTTTTCTGACCTTCCCCACCTACAAAGTTTAATTACAACAATCAAACGTGACAGAGCATGGATTTGTATTCTGAACAGTCTAAACATGTTTTAAAAACAAACGTATGACAAAAGTGACACCTGCTCAGTAAAACCATCAACAGGGTGAAAAATATCAAAATATTGTCGGCAGAGACGGGCTACAACTTCTGGTTCCACTTTATATAAATCGTTTTATTGATTATCGCCTTATGAAAGATAACGGTACTGGTTGCTGTCACCTGTTGTGAGCAGCTCTCTGCTGTCTGAGGGTAGGCCCCGCCCACAACGCCGCCGCTGCTGTGGCTCCCAGCATTTTCTTTACTGTGGGAAACGGGTAATAATGGCTCTTTGATGGGAACAGGTTGCCGACCCCTGGCATACACAAAACTATAAAAACAGAAAAAAATAGACATTTTTATTTAGTCGCACAGTATTTTTCATCACAACATACGCCGCTACGTCTGGTGGTTCAGGAAACGTTTAGCTCATGCTACAAACACCTGATGTTTACTTGGCACAGGCTAAAACATTATCAGCCACGTTTTGTTGTTTGGTGGCAGGTGATAAAATGCTGCTCCTTAACTCTAAAGTGTACACCTGCAACTGCATTCTCATGTTGAATTTTGTGACTAAACACAAGTTTGAAAAACAAAACTATGAACTTCTTAAAGCACTCTGTAGGAAATGGCTTTGCAGGGTGTCGCTGGTGAAACCTGCAGAGCCTCTAACACACTTATGTCCTCATCTCATTTGACCTTTGCTCGCCCTGACTCAGCTATTTCAAATCCACATAAGATTCCACAGATTCTTCTTCGGGTGATAATTAACTTGCGATCTCTTTAATCCAGTTTAATTGTTTGGATATTTTATTATAATCTGTAAGCTTTTATTGGAATAGTTGTCAGGACGGTCCGTTCTTTGGAACATGATCATGATAAAGCTCACTGACAGAAAAAGATGTAGGTTAAAAATTGAAAACTCCTTTTATCCTCCAGTATGTTGAAGGTGAGTTTGCAAACCACCAAAGAACGAGTCAAAGTTCGGGAGTGAAGTGACGTTGCAGTCGATTATCTCAAACGGTGTCCTTTATGAATGATGCACCTTGATCCTGCCAGACGAACTGATAATTTGCTTTAAAACGTTCTACTGCTGTTTGAGTGCTTGGTCAACTGTAGGTTCATAGCTAACGTTGATGACTCGGCTCTTTCATGGAGTACCTCTTGTATTGGTGGATCTCTTCTGGGTCAGCGATGGCATACTCTCTGAGCTTCAGGATCATCTGGGCGCTTTTTCGAACAGACTGGTCATAGCGCTCACTGTAAGACAGGAAGTTTGGGTCCTCTGCATTGAAGTCTGGGTCACTAAAAACCAGTGACTCTAAAGAAGACAAAGGACATTTCTCATTGATGAAAATAAGAATCCAGGCATTACTGGCACAGTTTTAAATTCAGTAGCAACACTGGAGGGGAAGAATCCCATGATGTTTTATTTTTCTACACTTGACAATACAAATAAACAACCAAGTAAAAACTTTAGGTGTATCCCTGTCTGAACAAAGCCATTTTCATGCTTCTGAACATCAGGCTTTTGGTTAAGAAGACACCTGAGTGAGGGAACATCTGTACAAATAAAGTGATTTTAGTGTGTATGCACGCAAATGCTTCAGTGACATAACTCACGTTTTAACCTAATGTGCATGTTTTGGTCTGTAGCAGAAATGAGGAGTACCAGGAGGAAACCCACATGTGGGTGAACATGCATACAGCCTCCAGCCAGGATTTAAATCTGCCATCTCCTTGCTGTGGAAAACAGCGCTACCCACTGTTCCACCATGCAGCCCATTAACATAAATGACCCTTTCACCAGCAGGTTTACCACTGGTAAACAATTTATTGGTCCATTTTTTTTATCTTAAAATATACCATCAAACATAAGTGGAAATGTTTAGATAGGAAGTTAAACATTCTTGCCACATTACATATTTATTATATTAATATTATTATTTGTATATTATGATTATTTACATTAACCCATTATTGTAAAAGAAAAAAATCCCCAACATATAAATTGTTATTGCTTTGTTCCTGGTGTGAATATACTGCAGGTAAAACTGCCTAATGGCCTTGATGCAGCATCATGAAGGAGTTCGTTTGACCTCGTGCGGTACAAACCTGTAAATGTTGACTCTAAATGATCTCTGATGTCAGCTGTTGGTTCTGCTGAATCTTAACCGAGCTTCAGGGCTTATCTTTGGATTTAAACCTGCACTTATCCACCAGCATCAGTTTAGCAGTGGATTCATTAACAGCTGTAAAATGTTTTGTGACACTAAAGCCGAATGCAACTCCAATACACAATAAATCACAGTAACACGAGAAAACTGGAAAAAATAATGTTTAAATAGTTTTAAAGGAGATTGCTTCCTAAAAAACAGCTGTTACTGAAGAGCAACCCGGTGTCCCTTTCATGGAGTGGTACCAACCTCTTGGCGGACACTTGAAAAACTGTTGCTAGGTTTTCTTTTAAAAGCAAATGTCCTATTTATGTCCGTTTTCTGCACAATACCAACAAATAAAACTACGAAGGAGGACATCTTGAACTCACCTATTTCTCGTCTTCTTTTGGTCTTTTCCGGGCCCCCGTCCAAAATATAAGTCAATTCAGTCACATTAAACGAGGCGTTTTGACGCTCTCTCCTGATGTCGGGGTTCATGGCTCTGTACACGCTCCGTGTGTGCTGCTGAAAGTCAAATAAACTCAACAGAGTCGACTCGTTTTACCAAAGAACTTTAGTAGCCCGACGACTCTCCGACGTCTGCCTCACTGCGCAGCCGCAGAGGGGGTGGAGTTGACAGTCACGTGACACGTCACCCGGAACTAGCCAAAACTCGCGGCTGTTCAAGTAGTTGCTATTTGTTCATTTATAAAATATGAATTAAAAGCATGTTTTTGCTCCCTCCCGCTGCAGAGTTCCGTTTTCCATGGGAAGTTAACTTTGTGAAGGAAGGGGAATCACTGAGGACGTTTGGCAGGTATAACGTTTATAGTTCAGAAATAAACATCTTAGATTTCTGCCACAAAAACCAAACACACACACTTTATAAACCAACAAGTCAACGTAGGAGGGCCTAGTTCAGGGTTTTGTTTTGGTCGTTTAAGAAAGAAGTGTCTTCCACTGTGTTGATTTATTCGACTGGCTGGATCTAGAGTTGCTCCAGGTCAGGTCTAGGTTCAGCAACATTTATGTGCCCAAACAATGAGGTCAGCTGAAGATACTGAATGACCAGCTTTTCCATGAATGTTTTTTTTTCTTCCCTGATGTTTAGGGCATGGTTCAATATGACAATTCCAGGAATCATCAGGCTTAGATTGTGAAAGAGAGGATTCAAGGAGCATGAGAGGTTTTAATGGATCGACCACAGAGTCGGAACCTCAACCCCTTTAAAACCTTTTGGGATGTGCAGGAGAAGGCTTTGGGCAGTCGTCAGACTCCCTTCACTGATACAAGATCTTGGCAAAAAGTGAATGCAACGCTAGATGGGAATAAACATTGGGACATTGTAGAAGCTTATCAAAACAATGCCACAGTGAATGTGTGTTGTAATCAAAGCTAAAAGCAATGTCTGCCCCCCTTTTTTTTACCTTGCTTGTACTGGACTCCCTTCTGTCACATAAGGGTAGCTGTAACCGGGGTCAGTGCTTGCTGCAGAACCACAAAGGTGGAGCTTCACCAGAAGGTGGAGCGAGAAGGACCTGGCTGCAGCGTGCAGAAAGAGGTGGCGTTGGGCCAGTTGTCAGACTCATACCATATTTGGAAAATGCAACACTTACATTCCAGAAGTGAAGGGAGCACTACAACTAATATCACCTAAAATGCAAGATTGAGGAGGATAGAGAGAGATTGAACAGTTTGTAAAGGTTCCATATCATGTCAAATCAACTTTTAGGAACTTTTTACCATGTGATATTGTCATTTCCTCACAAGAAATACTCCCAAACCCTTTTGTTGGCAGGAAAATGCATGAATGCAGCCCAAAAAGGGTTTGGGGGTATTTCTTATGAGGAGATGACAATATAACATGGTAAAAAGTTCCAAAAGTTTGATTTTAATTATGAAACTTTTACTAAAACTGTTCAATGAACAACTGACCCAACAACCACCCCTTTCTGCTTGCTGCAGCCAGGTCCTTCTCAGTTAATGAAGGAATTGGACTGACTCTGATGGAAAGGCCGGGGCCGACTGATGCAGCTTCACCTTTGTGGCTCTGCGGCGAACACCCTCTCCCCTAATCTCTACTACCAATGATTCAATAAGGTGTTGGAAACATCCCTCAGAGGGTTTGGTCCAGTCTCTTCTGGTCCAGTTCTGCGGATCCTGTGTAAATTTAGAATATTCACTTGTTACCGCGGCACCAGCACTTAAGAGAATAATTTGCAGAAAAATAATAACAAAAGTACATGTATATACACATGGGCACTAATCTAGTACGGTAACCTTTGACCACTAAAAACTACAAATAAAAAAACGTGGGTTCCAACACTGCAGCATACGTAAGAGACGTACAATGTAAATCCGGTAATGCACGAGTATGAATATTGCACTGGTGGTGTTATTGTGTAGCAGAATCATGCCAGTAAAACTTCAACTGAGGAGTTATACACTTTTACTGCAGGGGGGATGAATGGCCTACGGTAGCTGGGATGTCCGAGTCTGCCTCTAAAAGAGCTGTCCATGGTCTCCACAGTGGAATGCAGTGGGTGGGAGGTTTTTTTTTAAGATGGTAAATGGCCTGTATTTGATATAGCGCCTTCTAGAGCCCTAGAACCCCCCAAGGCGCTTTACAACACAATCAGTCATTCACCCATTCACACACACATTCACACACTGGTGGGGATGAGCTACAATGTAGCCACAGCTGCCCTGGGGCGCACTGACAGAGGCGAGGCTGCCGAGCACTGGCGCCACCAGTCCCTCCGACCACCACCAGCAGGCAACGTGGGTTAAGTGTCTTGCCCAAGGACACAACCACAGCGACAGACTGAGCGGGACTCGAACCAGCAACCTTCCGATTACGGTGGTAATCATGGTGGTCATCTTCCCCAGCATCCTCCTATCAACTGACCCCAGTGGGCAGCTCAGAACCGAGCTAGCTTTGAGAACTAGCTTGTAGCCTCAGTTTCCTGTTCTTAGCTGACAGGAGAGTGTCTGCTGTGGCAGAAGTAGTAAGGGACACATGAAGATGTTGGCCTTTCCGTTTTCCAGGCAAATGAATGCATGAACTGGAGTGTCTGACCTCAGAGAGTGAGAGAGTATTTATATCATAAGTTAGTTTTTCAGTACACGCACCAACATGACCAAGCCCCTTAAATATCCTTTCTACTCCACTCCGATGCTCACTTTGAACTTCCACAGGTTGTCTTCGTCTCCAGTACATTAACACATGCATTGAACTGCGTCCTTGTGACTGGGTGATTCGTTTGTGTGTTAACAGGTGTAGCTAATAAATTGGCCAGTGAGTGAACGTATAATGTTCTTATTTCTATCATTTAAGAGCTTTTTTAATGAACATTTTAAGCAATAGTATCATACACATACAATATTTGCCATTAGAGCAACGTAATCCTTTTGTGATGACGTCCAGATTGACACTAATCCTACTAACCACGTGGACTTGATCTGCTCTGATTTTCAGACTTGTTAGCTATCATCCAGAGTCGTCCAGAGCCTCCCTGTCAGCTCAGCATGCGTCAGAAGAGCACCAAGTTTTGGTTGATACTGTATTTATCGAGCCCTTTAACCCAATCATCGGAGCCCAGTACGTAGTTTTGGGTGAGGCAGAAAAATATGAAGGTAAAGAGGCTCAATATCCACTCCTAATGCTGCAAAGATGAATGGTATTTAGTTGTTTGGATGTTGAGAAGCACTTCCTGCTCTTGGGTTTTACTGGAGGGATTTTTAAACAGCTTTCTGTTTATCCTCTTATAGGTGGGTATTGATCTGTCATGGTTGTTTGAATTTAGCCCTCCGCCTTCACTTGCTGTCACTCCGTTAACCTTAAACCACGGTTCTGAATGAAAAACCTGACGTTTGCCACTCGTATGTTTTTTACAGGAACTGGTGTGATGATCCGTGCCCGTGTGCTCAACTGTGTTGATGGTGTAAACGTTGCACTTCTGCAGAAAGCCATCAGTGGGCAAAGAGACTTCTTTAGAGAGAGGGAGAGTAAACAGGGAGATGTTGCACAACCCGCAGATACAACCTGACCTAGGTCGTCGTCCACCTGGGGTCCTGCAGCTTCTTCCATCGTCAAGCGGACTTCTTTTCCTACCTGCTCTTTTATTTGTGTGTTGTACAGTGAAAGGCCAAAGTTCATGTATTAAAGAATGAAACTTCCATATGTGGTCACTTAATAATTAATATTCGTCCATGAGCTACACCTAACATGTTTACATCACATCTTTATTTATGCAGTTTAGTAACGGAATGGTGTGTTTATTTTCTTTTAGCTGTGTTGCTAAAAGATTATCAGCATGATGCAAATGAAAATATTCATTTAATATGTCTCACAAACTTTAAAAGTGAGTTTATGTTTTATTAGCTGTAGTTTTGTAGGTAAATGTAATCCGCTACTTCAATTATCCAGTTAAATAAAACTGATTATATTTAGTTTTTGTTAAATAAAAAAGAAAAGCACCATCAAGTGTTGGTCCTTTCACAGCCTGCCTTTTTAAACCCATAAATGCATCAGGTGTGTGTGTGTGTCACCATGGGCAGTTTAGACTGATCTCAATATTAGCATTAGTGTCTTCACCAATAACCTACCATTACTATATATATTTGTTTACCAACATCTGGGGGGAATTACAGGTTGCAAGGGCCAATTTTATTTATCAAATTTATCTTGTTCTAGAATAATAAATTACAAAGTTGTTATAATCCCATTTATTACTTCATCTTTCAGGCTAGCTCTTCTCGTTTTACTAGTTTGTTTATATTCTGTAGCAGGATTAAATACAAACAGGGTTAGCAAACATCTTTTTTTCTTACCAGGTGGAGTCGTGCTTCCTTTTTGTCGTTTATTACCAATACAAGGGCCCAAAGTGGATAACTGTTGTAAAATAAACACTCAAGAGGAGCATTCTTACTCAGGATCGCATTAGATTTGTTACAGGCTTGAAAGGTGTCTGATTAAAAAGTGTCAAATGTGCAGTGGCCCAGATGCTTTAGCCGTTATAATTTAAATTTATTGATATGTAACATAGTATCAAACAGTTTAGAGTATAAAGTGAACATTGAGTAATAAGAGAATTAAATCAAAATTGGCAATTAGCGTTGCACTTTGCCCCATTATCCCAAAAATGACAATAATAAAGATGAAACAGCATTTACGCTCTGCTTTTAACTTACAGAACAAATCTGCCCACTGCAGCTCTCGTTTCTTCACAAAAGGCTTTGTAGTACACTGAGCCAAAAAAATATGTTGTAATAAAATAATCAGTACCGCTTGCTTTTACAGTCCCCTAATTACTAAGTACTTAAATGGTAATTACATAGTAAGTTCAGGTGTATTATTGTGTAATTAAAGTGTACAATTATAATAAAGTGTAATTTTTGTGTAAAGCAGTATTTACTGGAAATTATTAATAAAAATAAAAAGTACGAGTTACATGGTTATAACTGTTTAAGAACTCAGAAACATTAATACACTTTAACTTACTATGTAATTACCATGTAAGTAGTTAGTTATTTCATGTTTTTGCTCATACATTTCATAGTACAATTTAACCTCGGCACTAGAAAACTCCAATTTGTAAACATTTCTAAAATCGTGCAAAAGAGTTGCTGCTAGAGGAGGCGGGCAGCATGGGCAAGCCGGACGCCGGGTCGTTCTTACAGCGTTCCTGAGCTTGTTTGTAGTTGATCTTCTCTTTAGTGATTGGGTCTGTGATATCTTTGACATAGAGCGACTCATTTTGCAGCTCTCTCAGTAGTGTGTTGTCAATCATTTTGGACCCAATTGCATCCAAGATGCTCACTCTGCGCCCACTGTTGGGATCAACCAGCCCTCCGGTCAGGTGTTGGGCCTCCATAAAGCGAATGGCTGTGTCCTTCGGCATCCAGCCTTTCTGAACAGCTTCTCCCACAGACAGAATGTCTTTCTTCACAGGGTCTTCCACTCCAGTGAAAGCCTTCTCTGCATTGAGCAGCCGCTGGACTTGACTTTCGTCAACAAGTCCAATCAACGTTGCTTTGTTAACTTTGTGTTTTCGTTTGTTGCTGATGTCAATAACGCCGCCTGTAGCTGCCTGAGCCTCAAGAAGCCTCTGGGCGGTTATGGGATCAATCAGTTTGCGCAGGGTAGCACTGCGTATTGTAAAGCAGGAATTTGTGTTTGTATCCATTATCCCAGCAATTGGATACGTTTCAGTAGCAGAAGAAATGTCTAAAGCTGAATTCACAGATGGCGAGGACTTTGATGTGATTGAGTTGAACTTGGGCTGCTTCTTCTCATCGCCAGCAACCAGAAGGGCAAACTCTGAGATGGGCATCTTGCCATCTTTGTACTGCTTTATGTCGTATTCTGTCAGCCTTCCTTCTTTCACCGCATCTTTGATAGAGTATTGCTTTCCACTCTTGCAGTCTTGCAGGACAGATGTCTCCCCATCCGGTCCCAGGGAGGTGACCTCTTCCCAATCACACTCAAGCTCTTCCAGATGAATGTATTGCTGACGATCAATGAGTCCACCTATGTAGGCATCATAAGGAGACATGTCTTTTCCTGTTTCTGGGTCCAAAATGGTGATCTTGGTGGAGACATTTGTCTCTTTGGTTCTTGTCTCAGCAATGTCCTCTTTCTGCAGGTAAATCAGAAGTTCGCGGATGGTGCTATCTCGCTGATGGATGTTGTCTTTTTCTTCCAGGATCAGACTTTCCAGCCGCTGAATATCTGACTCCATCTTGATGCTCCTCTGCCGGCCCATCTGTGTTCTTTCACTTATCAGTCTGCTCTGTTGCTTGAAAGACAGGCTGATGTCATGTTTCTTCACTTCAAGTGTTCTAAATTCTCGAGTGAGGTCGTCCTTCTCTCTCAGTAAGCCATCTCTTTTTGCAACTAAGAGCGTCTCCTCTTTGGAAGTGGTGGTTTTGTTGCTCATCAAAAAGTGGATTTTGTCATTGAGATGCCTGAGTTCATCCTCCAGGTCTTGTCTAGCAAATCTATTCTGGGACACTTGCTCCCTAAGTCGGTCCCTCTCGGCTTCCACTGCCTGGTCTTTCTCCACACGAACAACTTCTTTGTACACCGTCTTTTCACCAGATTTCTCTTTCTGCAGAATCTCCAGCTTCATAGTGATGTTACGGATGTCCCTCTGGATACGCAGGATATTGCTGGTTTCGATGTCCAAGTCTGAACGTAGACTACTTGTAATCCTCTCCAGTTTGGGGTCTCTTTCAACTTTCAGTACTTCTTCAACAATGATACTTTCCTCAACAGGAGGTGGGGCATTTTCCAGCTGTGTGATGCGCAGGCGAATGTCTCGGAGTTCAGACTCAGCTATTATTCTTTTTTGACGCTCATCACTCTCTCTTATGATCCTCTCCTTGTCCTCTGCTCTTGTTCTTAGCTGCTGTAACTCCAGTTCCAGCTGACGCCGACTGAGAAGTTCTTCATCTAGGCTCCTTCCAAGCCTGTCGTGCTCCAGCATTTGCCTCGGGTCCTTTTGTAGGCGCACGACTTCCTGGACAACCACTTTTTCCTCTGGTTTCTGTCTCTCCAAGAGGAGGTATTTGTTCTGTAGGTCAAAAACCATTTCTTCAATGCTGCGCCTCAGCTGTGCTTCTTCTCTCACGTTCCTGCGCAAACGGTCAGCTTCCTTCTCTAATAATGGGTCGGGCTCATACTTGATTACTTCTCTGTTGACAAGTTTGGTTTCTATCTTGGACTTTTCAGCCTTCAGCTGATCTCTCTCTGCTCTGAACAGTCTTACTTTATCCTCAAGAGAGCTGTAGTGGGAGTGTAAATAGTTCACTTGATCACTCAGTCTCTGAATCTCTCGTTCATTTTCAGGGCTTCTTTCCTCTTTGATCACCTCTTGGAGAACTTCCTTCAGTTCCACTTTGGGCTTCTCAGAACGAAGGATGTTCAGATCAGTGTTGACTTCTGTAATCAACTTCTCAAGATCAGTTTGTTGTTTTTTAGACTCTTGTAGTTCTTTGCGAATGCGCAGTATCTCCCTCTCTGTGTTTGGGTCTACCTGGTAGAGCTCATTAACGATTTCCTTGACCTCGACTCTTGGCTTCCAGTCTTGAACTAGTCTGTAGCGGCCCTGCAGATCCATCAGTTCCTTGGACAAGGCGTTATTGCCAATCCTTTCTTCCTCTATCAACGTTCTGACCTTGGCAGATTCTGTGATAAGATCTGGGTCTTGTTCAATCTTTTTCACCTCTTTGGTGATAATCTTGGGCTGGATGTTGGGTATCAGCCTTTCAAGTACATTAATCTGACTTCGTGTCTGGAAGATTTGGTCATTGAGGAGCTTGCACTTGTTGCTTTCTTCAAAGATTTCAGTCTCAAACGTTCGTACTGCTTTCACCATCGCTGGATCCTGTTCCACCTTAACTACTTCCTTTTTAACCACTCTTTCTTTGATGGTAGGCCTCTTCTGATGGAGAATCGTGACTTCTGTCTTCATCTGAATGTGCTCTCCTTCTGTCACTCGAATCTCATCTCTCATCCTTGCTATCTCATCCCTGATCTTAGCAGCCTCTATGTCCAGCTGGGGATCTTTTTCAAACTCTGTCACCTCTCTAGTCAGCAGTTTTGGCTGGGTGTTTTGGATGGATTCTTCCAGAATGGCAATTTTCTTGGTTATCATCTCCAACTCAGATCGGGCGGAGGTCACCTTTAAGGTCTCCTCTTCTAGTTTGTTCCTAAAATCAGCCAGATCACTTTCCAGTTTGGGATCGCGATAGTATTGCAGCACTTCTTTCTCCTCGACACGCTCTACTCCTCTGCGACTCTTAAGCGAAATCATCCTTTCTTTATACGTTTTGAGATTAGCTGTGGTACGAGCCATCCTCTCCTTTTCTTCGTTTAGCTGTTTTAAGTGAGATTCCATCTCAGAGGCAGTCCTTTGCTGGTTTTCAAGATGCACCTGTTGCTGTGCCACCACCTGGACTTGTTCTTCATTCTGCAACAGGAAGAGTCGATTTATCAGATTTCCAATAAGTTGCCACGTCATTTGTTGCACAGCTCCACTTTTACGGCTTTTAAATTGTACATTTTAAGAAAGAATTTTTTATGTTTTACTTGTAAAAGTAAACTCTTGGCCAAGCCCATCTGTTTTTGGCGTTGGTTGTTTTCAGCTTTTGTTTCAGCATAGCGATTCGACAAGTCTTTATCCTGTGAAGCACAGATCTCCAATGAAACCTTCATCTTTTTGCTACTCAGAAATGTTTATAGTGTTAAGAAGATCCAAGCCTTGCCATTTTCTGGACAGCGTCAGCTAGTGTGAGCACTCGAGGCTTCTTAGGAACAGTTGCTCCAGCATCCTCAAGTGTGCTGTTGTATCTGTTTACGCTGCTCTCGTACGCCTGCAAGGATGAAAGGATTAAAGCAGTTAGCTTGATTCTGTGCAGAACTAGTAAATGTGTTTATGGCATTCTTTTTATTTTAATTTGAATGTTTTATTTTGTTCTTACATTAAGCAGACTCTCCAGGTCCTGAGAAAGGGCGGACACTCTATACACGTCATCTTCTCTCCTCTTCAGGTCCTCCACCACTCTCTACAGTTAAAATCATAACGTTTAACACGTTATTGCGTCACAATAACAGATAACATTATACCTTTTACAAAAGTATGCAGATTAAAGCCCATAAATACAGAGACAAAATGTTTAAGTTTATCCCCACATGGTAACGACGTGTAACCAGCAGTGTTGGGCAAGTTACTTCAAAACTGTAATGCATTATTTATTACTTGTTACCCTCATTTTAAAGCAACTCATTACATTACAATATTACTGATTATAAAATGTAAGGCATTACACTACTTTTGCATTACTTTAAGTTACTTTCACCAAAACAACTTCAGTATGAATCTGGTAATGTGACGCTCAGTGAGCTCATGACATATATGTGGAAGGTGATGTGGTGTCTGAGCTAGGACTGCTGTTAAAAACAGTCAGATATAATAACAGAGCTTTAAAATGATTGTTTATTAAATAAAAGCAACAACAATCTGTACTCTCAGCACGCTGCCATCTTACATTAACTGAGCAGGGAGTGGGGTGGTGGGGGCTCCAAGCCTATATTTGCCTTGGTCCCCAAATGCCTTGATACGGCCCTGGATGTGGGACTGACTTCTGGGGTGATCTGATTCTATCACATGTATAAATATTAAATGCTTATATATTATTGCTTTTCACTGGTAAAAATGTGTATTGGGGATAAATCTACCTACTTTTTTTCTTTTCAAGCACTTTGTTTTGTTTTCTTGATTTTATTTGAATAATTTCCCGCCCTTTCTCTCTCTAACCGTCCTGCATGCTGCATGTTTTCTCCGTCTTCCAGAAAAAACTGTAAACTAGATTTCCTACTTTCTAACTAATCAGCCAAAGGGATCTACCGAACGCAAATAAATAAATAAATAAATAAAAAGCTTAATATGCGCTGCGCTCCAGCAGCAATGAGTTGAAATCACCGGGGCACAGATTATGAACTCAGCTGAAAAGTACATGAAGTACCAGAGAATATGGGCTGATATAAACGATCGCAAACGAATCACTTTGTTTTGGTGGAGCGATTTTGTGAATATAACAGCGGCCGCGCGCAGAACGCAGCTGGAGTATTTGAGCCGTTACCTCTCTGCTCATAGAATGCCCGCAAAGCTGAGTCCATAAATGACGTCATATATGTGGATACTGGATCTTTTTTCAGGCTTTGGATTTTTAGGAAACCCACGTCTTGATTCTGGGTTTAAAAATGCATCGTAATTACCGCGTTACTGACAATTGTACCGAGTAAATATTACCGTTTTCTTTCCCTGTAATGCCTTACATTACCACATTACAGCAAAAAGCAATGCATTACAGTAATTACTTTTGTACCGCGTTACTCCCAACACTGGTAACCAGCAGGCTGCAACTCACCTGCTGCGAACTCTGCTTAGCAGCGATGTCAGCCAGATCGTCTGAGGGATTTATCTGATACGTCGGCAGATTGTCGAGGAAGGAGTTCAGAGATTTGGATGTGCTCTGAAACTCTTGGTTTTTGGCTGCTCCCTCTTGCAAGAGGCTTTCTCTGAGGGGAGTATCACAGTTTTGTGTTACCTCAGTGACCCGTTCTTATGGTTTTGTGCGTGGGTGTACATGAGTCTGATGACCACCTGTCCTTTAGCTGGTTGACAACATTTGAGTAACGAGTCTGCAGCTGCTTGACATCTTTCCTCTGGTGCTGGATGTCAGGACAGTACTCCTGGTAGCCCTGCTCCAGAGACTTGCACAGTTGCTCGGTGGTCTCCAAGTCCTGCTTCAGCTTCCTCATGTCTTCCTGAGCTGCTGCCACAGACTTCTGCTGCCTCTGAACCAAACAAAAAGACACAATCAGTTTAAAATCCTCGCAAAGTTGGACTTGTGAAGAAGTTGTGTTGAACATCTTCCTACATCAGATCAACCATTCCTTCCTGCTGGTCAACACATCCAGACCACAGCTACAGCCTCACAGCAACCATCTGGCTAGAATGCCAGCTTTCAGTGTGCTTAGTGCTAAAATGCCGGAGGGCACATCTACCTGTTGTCTGGACACCCCGCCAACTAACTTCTTCAAAAATGTTTTTAGCAGCTTGAAAGCTGATCTAATGAAAATTGTTAATTGCTCCTTAATGTCAGCTGTTTTTCCCAAATCACTGAAAACTGCAGATAAGCCTCTTCTGAAGAAAAGCAAATGAGATCCTTAGGGATGAATGACTACAGATCAACCTCTAATCTCCCTTTTATTGTTAAAATCACAGAAAAAGCTGTTATGGTCCAGCTGAACAACTTTATGGAGACAAACAACCTGCTAGATAGTTTCCAGTCAGGCTTTAGACAACACCAGAGCACTGAGACTGCTCACCCGTTAACTTTAACTGTTTCTTTTTCATTTTTAAATCGTATTTTCTGTCATGACTCCCAGGCTGACACCCTCCTCTGCCTCGGCTGCTAATTACCTCAGCCTGCACCTCACCAACTTCATTCATCTCACCTGTTCCTGTCATCAGCTCATCTCGCACACCTGCTCCCCCTGCTGTTTAACTCCCAGCCTGCTCTCCAACCAGTGCCAGATTAATGAACGCTCTTTGTCAGTAGATCTTCCAGCCTTTCACCTTGCCTGATCCCAGCCGCCGGACCTTGTTTTCACGCCTGACCCCTGCCTAGGACTCTGCCTGCCATCGCTGCCCTCGCCTGTCTTTGACCTCTTCTCTAGTCTCCTCCATTAACCTGCTTTGCCTCGCTCTGGTTTTGACCCACACCTTTTCTCCAACTCTGTCTCCAGCCTCGCCTTCCTTGGGAAATGCTAGTCTAAGGCCCTGTCCACACGTAGCTGGGGATTTGCCAAAACATAGATATTTTTCTACGTTTTGGCCTGTCATCCACACGAAAACAGAGTTTTTTCACACGAAAACGGATCTTTTTAAAAACTCCGGCCAAAGTGAAGATCTACGTTTTCTCCGTTTTGGGTGTCTGCGTGTGGACAGACAAAACCGGAGTTTTAAGGTCCGCAACGTCACTTTCCGCGACAAAAAAATGCTGACATCACGTGTGCGACCTGTGTTTACACTAGCCGACAGCATGGATGCCCTCAGAGCTGCGCTCGCTTTATCAATTGTCCAAGCGCTTTCTGCTTGTTTGTTTTTGCAAGCGGAATTACTGCTCCTTGCGAAAGACCACGGACGAAGGACGAGGTTAAGAACAGGGGAAGTACTGCCGCCTACAGGTTTGGCATGTCCTTAACAACGTATTTATCCGGGTACGTGTGGACAGAGTTTGTTTTTTTTAAAACGAGGTGGTGTGGATGCAAGTTTTTGGAGGGGCGGATATTCGTTTAAAGAAACCCGGCTACGTGTGGACTAGGCCTAATAAAGACTTTTAAAGGTGCTTTACTGTGTTTGGTGTCATCACGGGTCCTTCTAGTTCTGCACATGACATTTTCTGTCACATTGATTTTAATGCTCTTGCTTTTCTTACTAATGGAAAGCACGCTGAATTGCCTCTGTGTATGAAATGTGCTTTATAAATAGCGCTGCCTTGCCTTGTGTTGCCTTCCTCACCTGAATGTCCTGTAGCTGGGATTCAATTGCATCTGGTAGATCTGGAATTGGGCCATCGTTACTGAGGTCCCTCTCAAATCCAGAGACAAGACCATCCACTTTCTCAATTTGATTCTCCAGGTTGAGAGAAGATTTTGCCCTGAAAAATAAATTAATTTAAAAATAACAATTATGATTGTCCAGTAACAGTCAGGCCAAGACAGGAACACAATGCAATATGTATTAAAGCATTTTGGGTGTCATCTAGCACAATTTTTAAAGGAATATATTTGATTTGCAGCCTGTTTTGACTAAAATACACGATATGTCATTTAACTGGGGTGTGTGTGTGTGTGTGTGAGAAATAAACCACAGGACCTTTTCAGCATCGCTCTCATTGTTAAACATTGTTAAATAAAAGCATGAACGTGACTGATTGCGTAAGATGTGTCCCAGGTCTTTTTAAGCGTTCGTATACATTTTGCTGTGAGGTCCATCACCAACACTTACTTTTTATTGCAAAGATCAGCCATAGCTGCCAAGTTGTCGTACTTATTGTTGGCAGCGCTGAGTTTGAGGGGCAGTCCTGAGGAGGTACCGTTTGCATCTTTGGACATCAAAGGCTTCAGGTTGGCCTGTGCTGCCTGCTTCTGCTGCTCCAGAGCTTTCAGCTCCTTGGCAACTTGCTGGATGGGGAAAATACAAACATGATAGTGAGAATCCAGCAAACTCAGATTTTAGATCAACTTTGAAAATTGTAAGTTTGACAGGAATCTCGTCTCTAACCTCCTGCTCCTTCAGCCTCTTGGCCAGATCTCCGGTGGGGTCGGTGCGGCTCAGTGGGGCTCGCAGCTGGTTCAGCATGCGCTCCTCGGCCTGGGCCAGGTCATTGTCCAGCTGATCCAGCTGCTGAGTCAGGGCTCTGGCTTTGGAGTCCAGAGGTGCAGTGGAAAGTGGAACTGGATGAGAAAACAAGGACATTTGTTTTCAGATTCGTCGGACTGTTGTCTTCCACCCCTCTGTAACATTTGCTGTTTTCATAATGATATGTATCAGAGACAACTACCTGACTGTTGGGATTTGGAAAGATTTGCTTTGTTATTCTTCAGAGATGTTGCCAGAGCTGCTCTTCTCTTTATGATGTCCGCCAGTTCGCTGCCCAGGCTGTTACATGAAAAACAAGCAAGGCAAGGCAGCTTTAGCACATTTCATACACAGAGGCAGTTCAGTGTGCTTTCCATTAGCAAGAACATTAAAATCAACATGACAGAAAATACAATTTAAAAAAGAAAAAGAAACAAAGTTAAAGTGAAGGGTGAGCAGTTACAGAGCGGAACGTGCAGCAAAGAAACATTCATTCAAAGGCTGATGTAAAAAAAAAAAAAAAAAAAGGTTTCCGATTTTAATTTTAAAGCTTCATAGTAGGGGTTGTATGAACTAGTCGACTAGTCGACTTCACGGCTCTGTAGTGACTTTTTATGCCAGTCATTGACTAGTCGCTGTCACGTGATAATGACTGACAAGATGCAGTCCTCGGAAAAGACAGCAGGTGACGAGCCCCTGCGACGGGAGGCAGAGGCGACGCGCTGTGCCAGAGCGTCGGTACTGACACCGGCGGTAAAACAGACATTAACCAAATTGTGACCTTTACCCTCTTGCAATTTAACCTTCCCCTCACCCCCATCCTAATCTTAACCAGCTTGCGCATGCAAAGCTCTGATCGTTGACGCGCTCCAGACATCTGCGTCCTGAGCACCGCCAAATCAGGTGTCACCACCTCAAAAACAAATTAAACACGCGATCGTTCATGCCGGCTCATTTCCTTTAATGTTTTCTGTTATTTGTGCCTGATGCATTTCGCTGCTGAGGAGCGAGGCGCATCACCTGTTTTGTCCTCCGGTGACGCGCCACCAAAATTCCACTATCTGCACTCCGCTCCGGCACGAACTCCGCAGCAAAAACGGTCCCGTTGTATTCGGCCGGCGAGCAGCGGCACTCTGCTGTTTTTGCGGTCGGTGGATCTTTTAGAACTGCAGTTCAAAGGTAACTCATAAGGTGAATATAAATGAACCCAGGTAGCAGTTTTTCTTTAGGATTGAGAGGAGATGCAGGAAGATAATAAACAGGCAGGACAGAAAAATAGTTAAATAAAAACAAGTTAGTTTTTGTACCTGCTGGTTGCAACAAACAGACACCATTGAAGGTAATCAGAAGTGAGGAACAGAAAATGAAATAATTATTTTAATGTTTAGAGCAGCAGGAACTCCGAGAGGCTGCAGGCGCATCAGTGAGTTTGTGACTGCTGCGCAGGAGGAGGGGGGAGAGGGCTGAAGCAGAAACTACCGTTGTTAAAAGAAATGTGTTAACTTAGAAAATGTGGGCGCAATTTTAATTGTCAAAAACTCCAGCGAGCGAACCTACCGACCCCCCCCCCCCCCCCCCCCCCCTTCATGTGTACGACGTCATCGACGACTAGTCGAAGTCGACTCGATTTTCATTACTTGACTGTCGACTTTAAAAAAAATTAAGTCATGCAACCCTTACTTCATAGAGTTGGGACACATTTGAGGTCATGAGGAAGATTCCATCTGTGTGCAGCACGTTAGCTAAAAGCATCTTCACCCTGTTTGGTTCTGACCCGGGTTTCTACCAGCTTCCAGTTTCCTAAGGATCTCAGAGCCCTGCTGGGCGTGTATTCTGGCCCCATGCCATTGAGTGATTTATAAACTAATAGAAGCACTTTGAAATGGATTCTGTAGTTTACTGGTAACCAGTGTAGAGATTTAAGAACAGGAGTGATGTACTCAGTTCTCTTGGTTCCTGTTAAGATTCTAGCAGCAGCATTCGGAACGAGCTGCAGTTGCTTCACAGCTTTTTGGGGGAAAACCAGTCAAAAGACCATCACATCAGTCCGGGTCTGAATCGGTTATGAATCCAAGATTTCTAACCTGGATCTTTGTCTTTATTCCTCTGGAGCCAAGATGAGCAATAATCTCCATCCTTCTTATTTCCAAAGACATGAACGTCTTGTCTTTGTTTAACTGGAGGAAGTTTGATTGCATCCAATCCTTAACTTGCTCTAAACACTGACCGAGAGAGTTTAGAGGACCACAGTCGCTAGATGATAGAGACAAGTAGATCTGGGTATCATCTGCATAACTGTGATAGGAGATGTTGTTATGACCTGACCCAGGGGGAGCATGTAGAGATTGAAGAGCAGTGGTCCAATAATTGAGCCTTGGGGGACCCCACATGTCATGGTGATCAGCTTTGATTTGTGATCACCAACAACATAACCCCCGTCTTCAAGATAAGATTGGAACCAACTAAGGACTGTGCCTGATGGTCTCGTTCAGTTTATGAGCCAATCAAGAAGGATGTTGTGGTCCACGGTAGCAAAAGCTGCTCTGAGATCGAGCATCATCAGGACAGATGTTTCGCCTGAATCTGTATTTAGACAAATATTATTTAATACTTTAATAAGTGCAGTCTTAGTGCTGTGGTGTTGTCTAAAGCCTGACTGGAAGTCATTTAGCAGATCGTTTGTCTCTAAAAACTGATCAGCGTGATCATAACAGCTTTTTCAACAATTTTCAAAGGGAGATTAGAGATGGGTCTGTAGTTAGTCACCACTAAGGGATCTAGTTTCCTTTTCTTTAGAAGCAGGGTGAGGTGAGAAATGTTACGTTTTACAGATGATCGTGTTTTCTGTTACTTACAGGTCAACTTTATCAATGGCCTCCGGGTCAGGCGGTGGAATCTGGAAGCAAACTCCCGGGAGGGTTTGCGTTACTCCTTTAGGGGAGACAACCTCCCAGTTCTCTGTGTTATAATTGGATTTCAAGGTGTATCTATCCCCTCTGGACAGGGAAGCCTGGACAGCAACAACAGTTAGAAGCACATGAGTCACAGATGTTTAACCGTCATGGTTTTCTTTAGCTTAGTTTCCAGTAACAGGTGATATGAGAGGCGTCTCCACCTTGGGTGTTGTCCAGTCACACAGGGCCTCTATGGTGACAGGCCTGTTGGAGGGGGTGCGCCGCAGCTTCAGCGGTGCGATGGTGGTGCTCCTCCTCCTCAGGTCGGCCCTCTGCTCTTCACAGCTCAGCACGGTGCTCTCCTCCTCCTGTTTGGTTACAAAAACCACAGGGAACCTTATCCTCATCCTTTTTGATCATGAGGTTATTTTAAAATGTATTTTTTCAAAGATCATCGATTTTAAGGTTATTGTCGGAGTATTTATATCTCCTCCTTGTTTTTCTGATATGATTTTAAATAATGAGTCCTTTTGGACCCTAAGGACCTCCGGTACCAGCCTTTTAGGCTCGTTCCACACTTCCACCCCTCGTCTGTGGAACGGCCTGCTGGAGAACATGTGGAATACCGAGGCTTAAACAGATGCTTACCTATTTAGTTGAGTTTATTTCAGCTAATTTTTATTGATTCCTTCATCTTAATTACTTTATTTGTTTCTCTTATGTTTTTATTGCTATATTTTACTCAAGCATCTTTACTATCTATGTGGGTGGGTGGGGGGATGCTCTGTGTGAGTGTGTGTGCACAAGCGTAATGAGGACACGTGAGCACTTTGTGCTGATTTTTATGAAAAGTCTTTTGTAAATAAAATTTGATTTAATGAAATGAAATGAAAAATGTTCTAAGCTAATTTGCTTTCCATATTTTCTATAGCAGCTTTAATTGTGTATTTCTATAGTGCATTATTTTTTATTGACCCTATTTAATAAACTCGGAGTTAATAAAGAAATGTGTTTTTCTCTCCTTACTATCGTGTTCACTTTGATCTATTTGTCCTGCACTTTTCCCGTTTTCCCATCCCGTTGTCTCACCTCGAGCTGCAGCAGAACCTCTGAGATGCTCTTTTTGTTGACGGACTTCGGGTCCAGGGTTCTGCTGAGTTGTGTCAGTGTCCCTGACAGCTTCTCAGTGTCCATTTCATACTGCAAAGTAATGAAAATCCAGCTGAAGCCCTGTTAACGCATGTATCTGTGTGTTCTCCTGTCAGTGTGTGGTATACATCAGTCTCTGCGTACCCTATTGTATTCCTCCACACTGTCCAGATGTGCCTCTTGACAGATGCAGAGGTTGAGGAACTTCTGCCACTCGGTTCTGACAGCATCTGCTTGGGCCTTGAAGGAAAGAGACAGCGTGAATTCAAACTGCCTTCGTAAGAACAGTTTGAGTCGGATGGAGATTAAAGACCGGTTCCGGTACCTGTATGGTGTCACTGGCAGGGTGCTTCAGCTCAACCAGCCTGTCCGCTTCTTCCTGCAGTCTATTCACTTCGCTCTCGTGGGTCAAAAGGTTGTTGTTCTTGAAATTCTGATGGGGAATAAATCAAACGTTTTATGTGGTCGATCACCACAGAACAAACATCTTTATTCATTCTTAATGGGACACACCTGGATGGAAAAATCCACTGTTGTGGCTCAGACGGTCCATGTTTAACGTTTTTAACACTTTTACTTCCACACCGGAAAAATAAAACATGTACATTTTTCTTTTTGCTTTTTTTATGCATTTTGGGGCATCAGGGGTTACAATAATGGTTTACGTTCATTTTTAAGGAGAAGTAATGTAAGGTAATGATTGCATTTTGATTGAAAAAGGCTCAAAATTTTTTTGATCAGTGTTTTTTTTCTTAGTGGTAATAAGGTGTGAGACTAAAATACGGTTAAAGAGTAAAAACTTTATTTGACTTTCAGTTAATGGAAGGGATTTATATGTTTTAAAGGCATATTTTGGCCAATTTGATACACGTTTTTGTATAAAAGTCACAAACAGATAAACATGTAGAAAGCTTCCTGTATGGAAGCTTGGAGGAAAAAGAAGCTGACAGCTAGTCCTGGAAACAGCCCAAGTGTACTTCTGTTGTCTGAAACCATCTCCAGAACGTTGTATAAAATATTTTACTGTAACATTTTCATTGCAGATTTATTCTATCTTTTAGATCCCGTGGGTTTAGACCCCTGAATGCACCAGCAGAGCCACATTTAGCTGCTTAGGGGTTTACCGAACCAGAGGGTATGCATGTCAGTAACTCTGATGTGAAACTGACAGAAATGTTCAAATTTGTACATTAATGCAGCAAAAACCAGAAAAATGTTGGCATCGTAGCACAGATTAGCCATGAGCTCATCTGTGCTGTAGGTAGGGATGGGTACCGAATTCGGTACTTTTTAAGGTACCGACCGAATTCCACAGTACCGACTGAGCACCGATTCACGTAATTTGAAACGGTGCCTTGTTTCGGTACCCGACCTTCACAACGAGAACTTGCCTAGACAGCTGCGCATGCGCAAGAGCTTCAAGTCATCGGTCGCTGCGAGCCAGTTGTAAACAGAGCAGCATGGTAGAAAGAACGCACGCTAAAGCTTGGGTCCACTTCACTAAATGTGATGGGTAACTGGGTGATGATGAAACCAGCGACAACGATCTAAGTGAGACATCCTCATCTTAATCTGCTCCGGTAGGTAAATAAAATGTTTAAGATAACGTTAGCTTGATTTGTTAGCTTCCGTTTCACTAATGGTGCGTTCGTTTCTCCTCGGAACTCCGAAATTCCGACTAGAAGAACAAACGTGCACTAAAGTTAGGCTTCACTTTACTAAATGCGACGGGTGATTGGGTGAAGATGAAACCAGCGACAACGATCTAAGTGTGAGGCATCATCGTTTTAATCTGCTCCAGCAGTTAAATAAACTGTTTAAGATATCGTTAGCTTGATATGTTAGCTTCCTACGCCACCATTGTTATCATCTAATGGTGCGTTCGCTTTCTCCTCGGAAATTCTAACTTCCCAGTAGGAAAAATCAAATGAAAAAGGACGGCAAAAGGAATGAAGATACACAGTAAATTTAGTTCACAGTAAAGATGTTTGCTTCAGTTTAATTATCAGCTTATAAAACTACAAGGACGATGTTAAAATGCAAACAGTTGTATGTTATTTATCGTGATATTTATCAAATATTGTTATATATTGAGAAAAATATATATCTAATTATAAAAGAGAATTAAAATAATAAACACTCAAAAGTATTGAAAATTGGTACCGTTAAGTACCGGTATCGATTCGTAGGTACCGGTAATTAGTACCGGATCGATTCAAATGTCAAAGGTACCCATCCCTAGCTGTAGGAGGTAAATGCCATTTCTCCAAACTGAGGCTGTTTGTTAGGCTACCACTGGCAGGATAACAATCATTAGTAACTTTTTCATCAAAAACGGCTGAAATTTCCCTTTAGATTCGAACAGAAAAGGGAATGTGGACGCTCCGATTTCTGACCTCGTACTGCCTGCGAACGTCGGGTGGGTCCATCATTTGGTCGCTCCAGTCCTGCTTCTTGATCTTCGCCTGTTCCTTCTCCAGGAAGAGCAGCTGCTTGTTGCATCCCTGCATGTACTCATACAGGCTGCTCAGGTAGTGCCGGCGCCACTTGGAGTTTTCCTAACAGAAAAAGATTTTTGAATCTTCGAAAACTTCAAAAAAAGAATTTCGAGTCTTCAAATGAATCGTTGCAAGCTCACCAGCAGGTTGTTGTATTGTTTCTTCAGGGCCAGGTATTTTTCCTGTAAAATCATCATCAAGTGAGCAGTCTGAAGGTTGCCGACGGCAAGACAGCAGCTCTGTAAATGTGTTCACCTTGTTGCCTGCAGAGCTGACACAGAGCTGTGAGTTGTAGGCTTCCAGCTCTTGGTGCAAGACGTTATGAGCAGCAATCTGCTTCTCCAGGTCGGCCATGGTGGGTCCAAATTCCTCTTTGTTTACATCTTTCTGTCAGCACAGATGGCAGAGCGGGAACAAACTGGTAAAAATCTCCACACAGCAGCTCCCTCTGAGGTGTGTTGCTTACCTGCTTCTGACTGAAAACAGGCTCCCAGTTGATTCTGGGCAGCAGCTGCACGTCGTCAATCTGCTCGTAGATGTCTCTGTAGAAGGAGCAGTCCTTCAGCCAGCGGTCATGGAGGTGGATGACACTGAAACCAAGAACAAGAGAAACACAGAGAATCACTAAACTGAAACAGCTTCTTTCATCTAATCCTTTAGGATGGTTCCATCTACTCACTCGCTCTCAATCTCTTTGGCTTGGGGGTGTTTGAACTTCTTGGCTTTGTCAACGTCCAGGAAGAGATCCTTCAGCAGGTCCTCAGCCTCTCCCAGTTTAATCTTCAGCTCCTCTTGGTGCTGAAAGGGCAGCTGCTTCTTCTCGTTTTCGTTGTCCTGGTGGAAGAAGAGGTTGTGGGAGTTAAGACTCAAAAGAGCTACAGAAACCAAACGACCTGAGTTTGTTCATGTGGGAGATGACACTATGTCACATGTTTGTTCTCACCACAGCCAGCATCTTCTCGGCCACGAGGATGTCTTTCTCCACGGTGTCTGCATTCTTTTGCATCTGGGAGACAAGCTGGGCCAAGCTGCTTGCTTGAGACCTGCACAGGAGAGCTGAGTCAGAGGCTGAGCCAAATGGTGAACATCAGACCTGGATCACAGGTTCCTGGTCCTGCTGGGACTCTCTAAAGCCCGTTTCACCCTGAATGCGGTATAGAGGCATTCTGGTGTCTGCATGGCTGACTGTGTCCGTGTGCTGAAGATCTCGGACATCTGCTCCAAGAGCACCAAACAATTAGAAATCTGAAACAATATATTCATAAATATACCTGTAAAAGTAATGTGAACTGGCCTACACTGTGAGCTGATATCCCCATCATTAATGATAAAGCAAAACCCAGAAAAACACTAACAAATGTTTTTTTTCTTGTTTTTTTTTTTTTTTTTTGGAAACATACCAGATGTACCTCACTGAAACACATCTCACTTCCTGTCTGGCTCTTGTAACGTCTTTAACTTTATGACAATCTGCATGTGGCGCCCAGGAAAAACAGACCCCACGCGGAATCCAGTGGCAGCGCCAGGGGGGCGCTAGGGGGTGCTATAGCTACCCCTGGATTAGTCGTTGCACCCCCATAGCACCCCCAAGTAAATATTAGTTTGGTTTTTTTTACAATTTAATTTTAATTTAACGTGTGGATGTGATAATATTTAACGTACAAAACAAAAATAATCTGTAAATTATCATATAGATAGTAAAAACTTAAACCAAAACAGGAAATTGATGTTAACCTTTGACCTCATTTTCCACCTGCGAACAAGTGAAAGGTAGAGCTAGTGATAAAACGGATCGGTTTTTGCTGCCCAAATTTCCACGGGTTCAGTCAGAAACGAATTAATCTTTGGAAGTGATCTCAGACCCACAAACTCAACCGCCGCAGCAGTCGAGGGTTTTGCCGCTGGAAATGCTAACACTAGCGTTAGCTAACCTTGCAACACTATAGATGGTTTTCTGTGTGGCTGTATGTGTTTATGATTTCATGGAAAAGTCAGCGATAGTTCACATGTTTATGATGTATATTAATGATTGTTTCAGGTGTTGTTGAGGTTTTGTGCACGCATGTGTATCTGCTAGTGATGAAGGTGTTTTAGAGAACAATAGGTACGCATGACCACTTCCTTCAAGCACCCTCAATAAAAGGACTAGCTCCTTCATAGCACCAGCAGAAAAAAATTTCTGGAGCCGCCACTGGCGGAATCTTCCTGGAACTCCGCGTCTGATCTGAAACGAACCACAACTAGGGAGAATGCTCCGATACGACTCAAAAACGTTGGATTCACGCAGAAGCCGTGCAGTAACACAATCATTCTGCAATTGGTGTGAAAGAGGCGTTATGGTCACATTTTAAAGCAACACTAAATAGTTTCTAACACTTTAAGCTGTTGTTTTCAAACTGGTTTCAGTGGTTCTTGAGGTAGAAATGAGCAACTTCACATTGGACAGCACTCTGTAGCTCTCTGCTGGCCAGAAACTGCACTTTACAGTTTTGTGGTTTGGGTAGGAACACTAGAGGGAGGTCTCTACCCACTTTACGACAAATAGCCGTTTACTGTGCACGTAGCTAAAGGCTAGCAGTTAGCTGTTTCAGTTTGCCGGCTGTCAATAAAAGCACAAGAAGGATGTACCTTTTTGTTGGCATCATGGCGGAGACTGGAAGTAAAAGAGTAATGTCTTTGGAGTTGAGGCAAAGAGCTAAAACCAGAGTGAACATCGGCGCTACCCTCGTTTGAGGGAGCTGAACGAGGCTACAACGTCACAGATTGATGGTGACCTGACTTTGTTGCTACTGGAATAAGTAATAATAATTTTGTCCAACAGTGTGGATCTTTTTACTTCGTGGTTTATTTAACATCAGTTGGCTCATATTAGAGTTAGCTGCGGTACGTTTGCGATGTTGTAATTGCGCTTTCAGCCAGTAGGACGGGGAAACGGCAACTACTTTAGTGTTGCTTTAGTTACTGGTCTACCAAACCGTTCATTTATCTGTAAAACAGCATCCTTTTGGAACGTGTTTACTCAAATCTTTAGACTAATAAATCAAACTGGATGTGAAATTCAAAATGCCTCCATCTAGTTTTATCTAAACATTATGAAGCTTTCTGTAACTAAAGCGGATTGGCTCATTCACCTGTTCATCGGGGCCAGACTGAACAATCACTCTTTAGTTAAGCTGGGATCAGGGGTCAGAGGTCAGGGCAAGGATGCTTCTGGGACACGCCCAAGGTGTTTGAGATTCCAGTCATTCTTCAGGACGTCACTCCCTCTGTCGGACTGTCAGACAGTCTTTTCTGTTTTAAATGGCCTCGGAGACGTCGCATGAGGTGGAGACAAATGAAATAAAAGTGCAATGGGAGGTCATTCTGATCGTGTTTGTAACTAAACTCCAAACATCAGCATTTTTTAGACTGGATTTCCTTTTTATTCGAGTTTAACTGTGATGCAACATCTCCACCCAGACCAGTATCTTCTCAGAGAATCAGCTGACAATTTAAAAGTGAAATCAGATTCATCTGGGGGGCTCTGTGGAGTCAGACACCCCACTGGTGCAGCTGAATTCAAATCTGCATCTCCAGAGCGGAAAACCAGCAGGACATTTTAGATTTGGTGTATTTTCTGAATGAACCCGGTTCTGAGTCACCATGAGTCAGTTGTGCCCGTTCACTCAGGAGGAACAGGCATGCTAATCACGACAGGTCTAACCTGCACACAAAGGTGAGATTCAGAGATCGAACTAGTCCTCTCCTCTAATAGTTATTTTGTACTTTTGACACATTTCTCTGTAATTCTGCCAGACTTTTTTCATTGTGAAATTTAGCTTTAATTTAAACATTTTAACCCCGTTTGTCTTCATGTCAGAAGCTTCGTAGTTTTGACCCGGCAGAGAAGCAGCAGGGAGGTTTAGTGAGAAGACGAAGCATGTTGGAGGTGACTCGGGTAAACCTGTGCTGAGGTGGAATCGGCTCTACAACTTTTCTTTGTTTTCACTGCCGAACGACAGAATGAAACCCTGCAGATATCACCGTAAAGCAGGAGAACGGGACTCCCCACATAGCTGAGGAGGGAGGGCTGGTCTGCATTTCTTTAGTTGTAGCAAAAGGAGAAAAACTTGTGGCACGGACACTCCCCGACTCGCATCTCACTTTCCCTCCCCGTTCTACCTTTACCACAAATATTTCTGTGAAGCTCAGGATGAACATTTGAACTGCTGCATCTGCAGGGATAGTTTCAATCTCGTTCATCTCCGACTCGCTCTCTGGCGCCATTTAGCCTCTGCTCACAGTTACCTTTTACTGAGGTCTGTGAACCAGAATGAAGCTGTTTTTGTCTCGTGGAGTCTTGTGGGAAAGAATAAACACTGACTAAGAATATGCACACACACACACACACACACACACACACACACACACACACACACTAGGATCTGATAATTTCCTCCTATAAATGACAACTTTGTGCCATAATAAACATTAGAAAATGTGAATCCGGTGAAAAGTTTTGAAGCATCTTGAATCCAAACTGAAGCTGTTGTTCTGAATACCACTTCACACACAGCTAACTTGACAATAAACCGACAATAGGATGATGGAAACTATGATGAGCGGTTGGAAACCAACGCCCACATCAGGAGGAGATGGTGCGCCCGGCCCAGCCCTGATCCCATCTCAGCCCGCAGACAGGACACACAGGGACAGAGGTCACGCCGGCATCGGACTGGGACAAGCTGTGAAAACGTGTCTGTTTGGCTTTCCATAAAAAAACACATCACCCTTTGTGCAGTCATCGTGGTTAATTAATGATTTATAACACATGAATGAATTCGACAGTTTTAACCATTGTTAAAATTCATCAGAGGCAATAAACACACGACAGCAGAAGCTCAGGAGGTAGAGCGGGCTGTCCAGTAATCGGAAAGTTGCAGGTTCGATCCCGACTCCTGCCAGAGAATTCTGCTGTTGTGTCCTTGGGCAAGACACTTAACCCACATTGCCTGCTGGTGGTGGTCGGAGGAAGCGGTGACGCCAGTGCTCGGCAGCCTCACCTCTGTCGGTGAGCCCCAGGGCAGCTGTAGATACATTGTAGCTCATCACCATCAGTGTGTGTGTGTGGATGAGTGTGTTGGTTGTGAAGCACCTTGGGGTGGGGTGGGGGGGTAGGGTTGTAGAACCCTAAGGCGGCGCTGTACAAATACAGACTATTTACCATTTTCAAGTAAAGATGGCTGCTGACAGACACAGCATCCATCTCCCGTTACCACAGGATCATCCCAGAGGATTCCCTTAGAATAGTGAAAAATGTCAAGCTTTATCCCTCAGGAGACATTCCTCACACACACACACACACACACGCACACCCACACCTATACACAGCTCATAAAAATCAGTGAAGAACGACAACACTCACTTGCTGAGCTTGCTCGAGCTGTCTTTCTTTGCCTTTGACATCTTGGAGGTGGTCAAGCAGAGAGAACTCCACAAAAACTTTAACCTCTCGGTCTTACTCCTTCTTCGTCTCCGTCTTCCTCACCCTGTGGCTCACACACACTAAAACACACACTCCAGCCAGCACAGGTGCTTTAGACAGGCAGCTCCTCCCAGACAGAATAACAGGAGTCAACGCCCAGATGTCTAACTCGCCGGACTGACCGGTTCTTCGTGTTCTCCCTTCGGCCTCCCTCCTCCTCCCCCTCTGCTGACAGCAGGGGACAGGTGCACGGTTTCTGGAGGATAAGAGACTTCTGCAGGATCAAAAAATTCATTTTATTTTGTTGTATTTTTACATCTTTTTTAAATTTGTGCAAGTCAAAATTAAGCAGGAATAATTCAATGAATTTGACTTGAGATTTCTGCAAAATCAGCAAAATGCTAAATCCCACATTATTTAATTTAGCCAACCTGCTGCCAGTTCAACTCAGCAGCATTTTCTTCACCTGTTCCTCTTCCTTCTACGATTTGAAGTTTGTGTTTGTTCTCATTCATCCTCTCCCTGACACCACCTCCCTATGCACGCTCCACACACTGACACCATGTGTGCTTACAGTCAACACTGGAACCATCCAGTGGGTCAAAGGCTGTTGCACAGTCCCCTTAATGGGAGGCCCCCCAGCCTTAATGAAGTCTAAATCAAACATGGAGTCTGGTTTGTGCTGAGTGGACAGCTCAGGCAAGCCAGGCCGGGCCGGGCCGGGCCGGGCCGGGCCTCCAGGGACCTGGGCGTCTCTCTGAAGACAGGAATGCAGCGGGGCAGCTTCCTGTGCAGCACATGATGGGTCCAGTCATATGGAGACGTTCTCTGGGTGCGTCCACTCTGAATGCTGAAAGTGTTGATGTCCAGCTGTCCCTGGCTCAGTAAAGAGAAGAGGTGACTGAGGTGTTGCTATGGAAACACTGATGTACGTCAAACTGAGCAGTTTGACACTTTATCATTTTCATGTTGGCAGCAGGAGAAGAGAAGTAATCTTGTATGGCACTTTTCACAGGCGAAACACAAAGTAAACAACATAGTGAATATAAAACAAACAATAAAAACAGAGAATAAAACAGAGTTTAAGAGGCCAAGACACACACAGAAATCAGAACTACCTACAAATAACTAGTTGAATGCCTGAACAAATAAATCAGTCTTAAGGTCGCTCTAGAAGTTGTCGACAGAATCAATTAAGCGGAAAGTGGAAGGGGGTAGATCAGGGGTGTCAAATATGCGGCCCGCGGGCCGGATCCGGCCCGCAAGTGGGTTAAATCCGGCCCGCGAGATGGTTGTGTAAACTTTATTTTCATACTTTACAATGTAGTGAAAATAAACGTATCTTTGTGAGCAAATTTTCTCTGTAATGAGTATAAATAAAACAAAGCTGCGCTTAAGGCCCACACAAGAACTTGAATCACATCCTGAAGTTGGCCGCCACTCAGGATGTGACTTCTGATATTGATGTGCTAGTGAAAGCTAAACGATGTAAAGTAAAATGAGTCAAATATACTTTAAGTGCTGCATGAAACTGATCTAGCCATGTGATGCTCTTTGAATCACTAAGTAATGTTTTTTTAATTTATTGATTTTTTTTCTTCAAATTTTCAAGTTCACTTCAGGTGTTGTACTTGTACTACACTGTCCTCAGGCTCCTGCCTTGTTTTATATTGATTGTATTAAAACAAAGAAAACAATCTGAAGTTGTTTTTAATTTACCGGTCCGGCCCACTTGGGACTAGATTTCCCTCAATGTGGCCCCTGAGCTAAAATGAGTTTGACACCCCTGGGGTAGATCGTTCCAAAGCCTAGGAGCTACAGCTCCGAAGAATCGTCGCCACAATGCAAAAATAAGTGTGAGGAACTTTAAGCAAATTTTCATCCAAACACTCGAGAGATGCCGATACTGCAGCACAGCTCCAAAAATGTGTGAAAAACTTTCTAAAGAAAACCTGAGCGAACACGCTGAGAACCTGCCCAACATATTAGGAGTCAGACGCGGGTGAGGAACTTGTGTTGTTCATCCGTCACTTAACAATGAAAACAGAACCAACATCAGGTGTAGCTTTAGTCTATTTCTAAACTAGATTAAGCTCAACTTCTGTGTGATTGGACTAAGAGTCCGGAATAAAGAATACTTGACTTGACTTAATGGAAGAAATAATCTTTCATATCGTGCTGATAATGTAGAAATCACAGGGATTACAAAAGTGTTTCCGTGCATCTGTAAGAGTTTAACAGACAGGAAGCAAAAAAATGTAGAAACTGGGAGAGGGTGTGTCGTTCACCAGCGCAGCATGGCTGACTCAGAATAAAAACGCTCAATTTCTCCTGACAAGTGATTCCGTCTGTCTAAACTACAGTCCTGCACACCTGCATGACTTTCTGATGTGTTGTAAACTTAGTCGTTAGCTCCCTTAAAGCGTCTATTAATCCTTACTTAATGGGCAGGGGTCAGACTGTTCAGCCTCAGCTGGATGACAGGAACCACACTACACTGATCCTGGACCAGCAAAAGCAAGCACCAGAGCTGTCTATGGATTTCTAGAGAAAGAGCAGAGGTCCAAAAGTAGAAGGTCCACTGGACCTCCAGGACTCAGGTTGACCACAGATGTTGGGAAGAGCCATAAAGGGGAGAGGTGGAGAAAGATCGATCTGTGTGATGGAGGGGGTGCTGGTCATTGTCCATCATCCTCGTCTCCAAGCAGTCCAGTCTGAGACCAAGTCCAGAGCCAGCCTTCTTAATGGTCTTATAAAGTCTGTTAGTGTCGCTGGCTCTGGTGCTGCTGCCCCAACATACGACAGCAAAGAAGATGGTGCTGGCAACAACAGACTGGTAAAAGATCAACATCTTCCTGCACACATTGAAGGATCTCAGCTTCCTCAAGAAATAGTCTGCTCAATCCTTTCTTGTACACAGCCTCTGTGTTAGAAGCCCAGTCTGTTGTCTATCAAAACACCCAGGTACTTGTAGTTTTCCACTTCATCCACAGCCTTCCCCCTGATCTGTAGTGGCTGTGAAGGCGTCCTCTTCTTCCTGAAGTCCACCACCATCTCTCTGGTATTACTGACATTCAGCCTCAGGTGGTTCTGTTCAGACCACTCCACCAGTGCTCTGTACTCATCCTCCTCTCCCTCTCTTGTACGCTCCACAACAGCCGAGTCATCAGAAAGCTTCTGCGGGTGTAGTGCGTAAGGTGAAGAGGAAAGGTGTAAGCACAGTTCCCTGCGGAGCTCCTACATCACTGACCACATCAGACAGGATGTTTGCCAGCAGGAAAACCTGCGGTCTGCCTGTCAAGTAGTCAGTAATCCAGGAGATCCATGCATCACCAACACCCGCAGCTTCCCACCCAGCAGCAAAGGCTGAATAGTGTTGAAGGCACTGGAGAAATCAAAGAATGGGATCCTCGCATTGCCTCCCCCACCATGCAGATGCAAAAGGGCTCCTTGCAGCAGGTAAACGACGGCATCGTAGGGCTGGTAGGAAAACTGCAGGGGCTCCTGAGACATGCTCAGCTGGGCCAAGACACGTCTCTCCAGGACCTTCATCAACTGGAACAACGAACAATGTGTAGTAAAGCAGATAATTGTTGGTTTATCATTTTAGGGATGGAGTATGAGGAACTTGGTACTGGTGTAAAAAAAATCATCTCCACATGAGACTTGATGCCAACAGAGTTGAGTAACACGTAAAAATGCAGAAACAAAGTAAACTAAAACACACACACACCCTGTTCAGGTATTCTACACACTCCCACTCACACACCCATATGAATGCTAAATGACCCGCACTTGTAAAGCCTTTCAGTGTCAGAGGACTCCAAAGCGCTTTACGCTACAGCGTATCATTCATCCACACACACACACACACATTTACACACTGATGGCGACGAGTACGATTCACTGAACAACCTGCTCAACCTGTAAAGCTACACACACCGACACACACACACCCCTGCTTTAAACAGGATGTCAGATTATAATCGTCATTCATCACTGACACCATTGGCTGAGCAACTAAATGAGGAACAGGAAATCAAGATTTGGTGCAAATTTATTTTAATCACAAGCCTGGAGACCAAATGAAAATCGGACATTCCTACCCACCTATCCTAGGATTTCATTCCCACATCCTGAATATCCGGGGTGATGGAGGGACTTTATTCTTTAACAGAAAACACTCAACAGGAAGGGAAAGGAAGTCAGACAGGTCAGAAGTCAGCACAGACCCACGCGGCAGTCGTGTAAAAAGCTTCAGCCCTGATCAGGCTCCGAGGCGCGGTGACAGCTGAGAAACGCTCGAGTCTGGAAAGTCAGGAGCATCACACGTTCCTCTAGCATGTCTGATCCACGAGAGCCTCGTCCAGGTTAGTCAACACATCCATTTCTAACTATTCTCATTCAACTAATCCTGTCAGGAGTCCAACACAAGTGGTCAAAGAAAACAAAAATGCTGATTGTTCACAAAGGTGAGGCGACTGGAGCGGGCCAACCAGACGAGAAAACCAACGTCTGTCTTTGGTTTCGGCACCAACCCCCCTCCTCTTCCTCACCAGATCCTAGACGCACTCCTGTCCAGGTCTGAGTAGCTTGGCGTTAGAACGGCGACGACTTGGCAGGAATATTCCCGGTACTTCCTGCTGCTGCTGACAGATGACGATGCTGACCACGGCTCACACACGATGAGAGGAAGGGACAACATGAAGATGAAGACCTAAAAATGCCACGGTGGGTTAACTTAACTGAATGTCGAGACCCGAGAACGCTGACGCCTGCTTTCTTGCTCTGATGGACACGTTACAGGAGGATCTCCATCGTAATCATAACATCGTTTCTGAGCTCCCTTCCTCGGCTTTGGTCAACAGGCACTATGAATTAAAAACCTTTAAATGAAACTGAAATGATTCCAGCTGACAGGAGAACCAAGCGTGATTGGTGCTGAGAAACTCGGGTCCTGCTGCTCTGACGTGGCGCTCTTCCGTCTCTAGCTGCCAAATCCGAAGATGCCCTTGATGTAGCCGGTCAGGCCGCCCTTGCCCTTCTGCTCCACCTTGTCGTCCAGCGGTGGGAAGGTCACGTGGTTGAGGGCGAGGTCGAAAAACAGCGGCTTGCAGGGAATGGGCTGGAAGTCGGGGGGGAACTGGACCAGGTTGGGGTGTTTCCCTACGAGGGTGGTGTCCAGACGGAAGGTCTCCAGGTGGTCACAGAGAGGCTGAGGAGGAGCAGATGAGGGTGATTGCTTGTGTGTGGAGAAAGTTTGAGAGTTCGGAGAATCAGATTAGTCAGACATCAGTCACGGCTCCAAAGATGACATCGGTCATCTTGAGACAACTTTATAAATTTACCTTCACACAACTTAAATTTCACATTAGACGGATATTTGAATCAGCTATCTGTAGCACATCTAGTCTCAGCGCGTCCCCATTAAAAACAGGAGGGTTTGAAACTTTGACGAGTCAGCCATGACACCTCTTGCATCTCAGACTAGCTGTTAGCTCTTCAGTCTCTTCACATTTGTTTCCTTTCAGTCTTGCACGCTTGTTTTGTATCTTATTATCCATTTCATTCCTGTTATACATTTGGCTTCCTGTGTTCGCAACACAGGAAGAGCTTCTCCGAACAGGGAGACTGTCCATGACAATAAAGCTTTGAATCCTAGAAGACAATTAGCTAAACACCAGTCCCTGGTTCACCAGATCTGTAGAAAACCCTTTAGAGGGAATCGAGCGTTGCAGTGTTCGTGTTTTAGGCGTGCCCGCTGTTTTTGTCCTCTTACCGTGTTGTCTTTCACCTGCTGCTGGCAGGAAGCTTCAGGAGGCTCATCGGTGTCTGAAACATAAGCACGCTTCCTCAGGATTGTGCAGTGCACAAATGAAAAGACGCATCTTTGTGAGACAAAACCAAACAGCTGGTAAATAAAGAGGCACTCACCCAAAATAGCAGCAGCTTGAAGAGAGTATTTCTCAGCGTTGACTTCAGCAATGAGTTCCTGGACATCCGGCAAATCCTGCACAAAGTCCATCGGTGATCAGCTGCAGAAACCGCGATTTTAAAACTGCTGCCGAGCTCCGATTGGCTGCACTAACCTTGAGGCTGTTGTTCAGACTCTTGGCCTTAGACTGGACCTCCTTAGCGTATTTTAGCACCTTCTCATACAGGACCAGAGCCTCGCTCCACTTCTTCACCAGCACGTAAGATTGAGCTATAAAGAAACACCTGAGAGGAAAGAACGAAGCATTGACACGTTTACACAAACTACAGACGCCACAAAGAGACTTCCTGTACCAGTTTTAACAGAGGACCAGGATTTCCAGGTTGGACTAATTAGTAATAAGACATGATACACCATAGACGCAGAAAGACTTAAATATGGCTGATTAAAAACCCGTCAAACAACAAGGTGAATTTTATAGGACGGCAGACCTGTAGGCCTTGTAGACCAGAGTCTTGAGGGACACCTCCTTCTGGAAGGTGTGGTCGTCCTCGAGCCCCTGCAGGGTGGACAGCTCAGCCAGACTCTGAGGAGGTGGACAGACAAAGATGGATGGGGTGGAGTGCAAAGGGAGAAAAACAAGAAGAAAACCAAAGACTTTGACGTATGCACCCATTCAAAACGGAGATCAAATTCTTGATCACCCAGCTAAAAGGCTGAAGTTTGGACAACGTTTTGTGTCTTCTCAAACCGAAATTCAGAAACTGTCGCGAGAAAACAAGCGGGTTTGATTTAAACTACGACCAAACAAGCAGATGACACCATGTCTGCTTTCATACCTGCAGGATGATGTCATAGAGGCGGATGAGGTCTTGGGGACGGGCCCCCCTCTTGTTCTCGTCAGCCTCGGTCTCCTTCAGCTTAGCCTGCAGAGTGTCAGCCATGCTTTCGTTTCTCTTCACCAGCGTGCACAGCTTGATGTAGGTCAAATAACTGGAACGTAAGATCAGGTGAAACCAAACAGCAAAAATACAAACTTCAGATTTGCTACCGCTGCGCCGAGCGGTTCTGGGCTCGGATCAGATTAAACTTCAAAGGACAACAAACTGTTTCAGTGAACAAAGAGCAGGTTACGACTCGCGGCCTTTGTTAATGTAGAAACAAGAGGAGACTCGTGTTTAGAGTGATTGAAGGCTGTCTAAATTCAAATGCAGCCCACAGATGTGTCCTTTTCCCCACCTTTCAAGGACAGGTCTGGTGTGTCCTTCATGGCTGTCCATCTCCCCAAGATTTAACGCGGGTCAAACAGGAGATTTTATTACTAAAGCCTGGTTTATGCTTCTACGTCAGTTCCGCAAGGGACAGACACGCACGGATTGACGGAAGCGTTTTGCTCTCATACTTCTCCGTCTCCTGGAGAGTGTTGCAAAGCAATTCCCCGGCAGGACAACAGAGGGCATAGCGCTGTTCTGTGGTATCCTGTCATGTATCGGTCCAAGATAGTGTGTTTATATTGTGTTTTTTGTGTATATAAGAGACTTTTAACACGGACATATTTGTCTCTCATTCTCCCACCGCTTCATGCGCTCCCCACCTCTAAACCCACGTTTTCTGTCATTTCCGTCCACAAATAAAACGCTTGCTGCGCATCTTTTCACTCCTCCAGTCACGGGAGGATGAAACATTCATATTTTTAGAGTTTTTTCGCGAGGTATTCTTCAAGCTTCTCCGTGTCTGCCGCTAGTTAAACTCGGCTCTCTTTGCAATGGCGGCGCTGTAAACAACAGCGGCGTCCTGACCAATCACAAGCTTTCGTAATCCGTCTCGTTCGACGGATGTTTAAAAAAGTGGGCTCGACTCCGTACGTACTTGCGTGCCTGCCGGAGCCCTACGCAAGGACGGATAATGGCGTTGCGTGTCTCCGCACTGACGCAGAAGCATAAATCAGGCTTAAAGATGGAAAGCTTACAGCGGTTGGGTTGTCATTTAATAATTAAGAAAACCCTCGAAAACGAGCTAGTGTGGCGGAGCTTCCAGGAGAGAGCCTGTATTTGATATGGCGCCTTCTAGGGTTCTACAACGTTTTAATGAAAGAGCTCAAACTTGGCGTGGCTTGCATTATATTCAATTCAATTCAAGTTTATTTATAAAGCGCCAAATCACGACAAGAGTCGTCTCAAGGCACTTCACACAATAAACATTCCAATTCACAGTTCATTAAGCCAATCAGAAATAATGTTTCCTATATAAGGAACCCAGCAAATTGCATCAAGTCACTGACTAGTGTCAGTGACTATACAGCAATCCTCATACTAAGCAAGCATGCAGCGACAGTGGAGAGGAAAACTCCCTTTTAACAGGAAGAAACCTCCAGAGAATCCTGGCTCAGTATAAGCAGCCATCCTCCACGACTCACTGGGGAGTTTATATTAGTTCTACCTTCTAGAGTTTGGTTTAAACTGGATGGTCTATGAAGGTTGGTGGGACGACATTTACCTGTGCAGGTACTGAAGGTTGGACACCTTCCCACTCTCACCATCAGAGCTCCGCTCTCGCTGCTTCTACAAAGACAAACGGTAAACACTTAAAGCCACCGTCACACAGCTTGTATGCGTGTGCAACTCACCTACATACTTCAGTACGTATCTTACCGCCTCGCTCTTGAGTTCCTCTCTTACAGCTTGGATGGTGTCTCTGCACTCGGCCAGCAGAGACTCATACAGATGCTCTTTGGTCTCCTCATTAGCTGCCTGCAAAACACAGTTAGAGCAATTTAAATTAAGTGGTTCTGGGGTCAAACCTGATAAAAGCAGGCGTGTATCACTGCGAACACCAGTGTTTTTTTTTTTTATATACAGGTAAACCTTAGAAATCTGACAAACCAGCACTTCAGGCCACCAGAGTTTGCTGCAGCATAAAACAGTAAAAGCAGGAATGTGAGCGAGCCAAACCGTGGGAGACATGCAGGCATGCTGCATGGCGAGCTGGCGGTGCATTCCAACACATAACTCAACAATTAGATTCACAACTGTCTCAGAGTTCAGATCTCTGATTGACCGGATTGTTCTTCACCTCACTCGCTTTCATCAACACACTAATCCCAGTGATGAGCCAAAATGTGCAGGATCAGTTATAATAGGAGAAGCCTTTTTAATATGAAGACACATCAAAAGTTATGGCGAAAAAAGTAATGACCCCTTATTGTAGTTTCTTTTCGAAACAAGATAAGTTAGAAAGCCAAACTACGGATGCTTTCTGTTCACCATGGCTCAATTATGGTCGACCACACCCAACTAGGAGTGAGAATGTTTTATGCCCCTCTAAACTAAACACACCTTGTAGTCACCGAGTCACCAATGAACTCCACAGTAGACCAAAGTATTCTAGAGACAGATGTTACTCTGAAACAGGACCAAACAGGATAATGATCCTAAACAAGTCAGCAGATCTGTAACAGAGGGTGGGTAACTCCACCACCCCGTCAATCAGTGACCAACAGTCTTTTGATGTTGTTTCTTTGGTTTGATACACTTGGAACAGAAACAACATTGGTACTGAAAAGGGGCGGCAGATCTCAGAGGACCATTTCTCAATGGATTTGGAGTGTTTGGCTGGAAAACATAAGTTATCCAAGCACGTCCAACTGGGAGGAGGTCCGAGGGAAGACCCAGGACATGCTGGATAGATTAAAGTGTCTTGGCTGGCCTGAAAACACCTTAGAGTTCCCCCAGAGGAGCTGGCCAAGGTGGTTGGGGAGAAGGAAATCTGGGCGTCTTTGCTTAGGCTGCTGCCCACACGACCCCACCCCGGATGGACAGACGGACGGACGGATAAATAGATGGATGGAATAACGGGGTCGTCTTTAATTGGTCAAATGTTTGAACTGATTTGGAATGGATTTGTGCTAATGGCGTTTGTACAGTGTTTTCAATAATGTGGTGCTTTAATTTTCACAAACATCTTTATTTTTGGATTATTTCTTAATGGTGAACTTTATGCATTGTTCATTTGAAGGATTTAACACTTTGAAAGCCAGGGAAGCATTTATTTTACCGTCAGGCTAATTGAAACCCTGAAACTAAGCAAGTTGTTTCCGTTTTTCACTCTTTAGGCAACTGATGGAAAAAACAGATTCAGCCAAATGTATCTCAAACTGAGAAGTCATCAGTAAAGTGTTTTATTTTAACTTCAACAAAAGGTCTGGAGGACTCAAAACAGGAATGCTGAAAAACCCTGGTTGTAATAATTACAAACAGATGACTCAAAAACCGTCTCTAACCCACCCAGAGGCATGACATTACTCAGTGCCGACACCCTGTCAAGGCCCAGAATGACCAGCTCAACCTGTTGAGCATCTTTGACTGTTCAGAGTCAGAACTAATCTGATCAAAGTGAGGGAATGCACTTCAGCTGATGAGACCCCAGCCAGAGGGAGGAGCACCCACTGGCCATTTGATTCGGATCAGCTGCAACACAGGGAAGACCAAGATGGCTTTGTGTTTAATTCTGAAGAAAAAAAAAAAAAGGAAGTGCACAACACCAGAGGTTTTAAGTTGAGCTCACACATGGTTTTGGTCGTGATCAGTAGCAGCCACCTCATGCCCAAAAAGCACCTAAACTCCACAGCTGACCCAGAAGGGTCCATTAGAAGGCGGAAGGTGTGTAGAAACTCTGAGACTTGTACGTCCACAGAGACCAGTGGCTGGGTGGAGCCCTGTATGCATGCCAGGGTTGAAATGCACAGAATGTGGAGGAGTGACGAGAGACGCCGCATGCCTCCGACCTGAGTGGCTGAGGGTGTGACAGGAAGGTCTGCAGGGAATGCTGAGCAGGGAGGCACTAAACAAGAAGAATGACTTGTGGCGATGCTGATGGGATGTGTGATGCTGTGAAGCCAAGAGCGCCACACACAGATGACTTTAGAAGCTGCACTAGCTTCCTGGACGTACTCGGGTGAAGGTTGTTTTTTAATGGTAAATGATCTGTATTTGAATAGCGGTGGAATATTCAGGGTGTCTGGTCCTGGATCAGAAGAAAACGACCAGTAAAGCTCTTGTGCGAAGACTTTTAGTACGTTTAATATTCAAGTGACTAAGAAACAAGGTCTTGAAGCTCATGGGGACATCAGGATACTCTGGAAACTCCTTCATGAATGCAAAGTGCAATTTGTAGCCAATAATCGCAACCAATGAGATTGCTGCTATGCAAAATATAGATGTCACAAGTTTTGGATTCTTTGCAATGATCATCATCATAATAATCATCATCAGGGGTGTACATAACTGGTATGCAGGTATACATGTGTGGCAAAACTGTACTAGGGCTGTCAACATTAAAGTGTTATTATGTGTTAACGTATTAATGCATTTTTGTTTTATTTTATTTTGAAATTCTATTGCTCGCTGACTCAAAACACAGTTTCAAAATTTGCCAACAACCATTCTGCACGTACACGTTAGAGACCAAGCGCCGGACAATAACTCCATAAGGATGTATATCCATCATATACCGTAAATCTTCTAATATCGGCCTGTATTCAATTAACGGCCGGGTCTCATATTTTGGCCGGTGTCGGAGTCGGCGGAGGTGAATAATGGCCGGTCTCTTATTGTGGCTGGGTGGAATGTGGTAACAAGCAAGTACGGGGGGCGGTTGTGTCATCGTCTCACTTTTGATTTGCTAGTGATAGACCGCGAGGGTAACTTTAACCATGCGGAGACGAAGAGGAGGCGAAAATTTGATATCAAGTTCAAAGAGAACGTGCTGATTATGCTGCAGAACACTGGGGAGCAATAGGGGTTGTATGAACTAGTCACTAGTCGACTTCACTATAGTGACTTTTTATGCCTGTCATCGACTAGTCGCTGTCACGTGATAATTACCGGCAAGATGCAGTCCTCGGAAAAGACAGCAGCCTGCTGTCAGCAGGTGACAAGCTCCTGTGCTCGGGGGGCAACGCGCTGTGCCAGAGCGTCGGTACTGACACGCGATCGTTCATGTCGGTTCATTTCCTTTAATGTTTTCTGTCTTTTATTTGCGCCTGATGTGTTTCGCTGCTGTGGAGCGGGGCGCATCACCTTGTCCTCCGGTGACGCACCGATCACTGATGCAGCCGCCAAGCAGGGAGCACTCCGCTGTTTTTGCGGTCGGTAGATCTGCGTCCTGAGCACGGCCACAGTAACATTATCAAATCAGGTGTCGCCACCTCAAAAACTAATTTAACACGCGATCGTTCATGTCGGTTCATTTCCTTTAATGTTTTCTGTCTTTTATTTGCGCCTGATACGTTTCACTGCTGTGGAGCGGGGCGCATCACCTTGTCCTCCGACGCACAGATCACTGATGCGGCCGCCAAGCAGCGAGCACTCCGCTGTTTTTGCGGTCGGTGGATCTTTTAGAACTGCAGTTCAAAGGTAACTCATAAGGTGAATATGAACCCAGGTAGCAGTTTTTCTTTAGGATTGAGAGGAGATGCAGGAAGATAATAAACAGGCAGGACAGAAAAATAGTCAAATAAAAACAAGTTAGTTTTTGTACCTGCTGGTTGCAACAAACAGACACCATTGAAGGTAATCAGAAGTGAGGAACAGAAAATGAAATAATTATTTTAATGTTTAGAGCAGCAGGAACTCCGAGAGGCTGTAGGCGCATCAGTGAGTTTGCGGCCGCTGCGCAGGGGGAGGGGGGAGAGGGCTGAAGCAGAAACTACCGTTGTTAAAAGAAATGTGTTTAACTTAGAAAATGTGGGCGCAATTTTAATTGTCAAAAACTCCAGCGAACCATTAGTTCATTTTGCTCAGATAGAAATAGAGGCCTGCCTTTAATTCTGGCCCTCCTTCCAATAAAGGCCTGGAGCTTGATGAGCTTGAGTCAAATACAGGCCCGGGCCTGTATTAGAGAATTTACAGTATGTCCATCACACGTGGTGCAGTAGAAAAAATGGGTTGATGAAAAGGTTTCCTTTCTTTCGTTGTTATCGTCTATCGAGTAGCTTAATACTAGAGTCATTACTTACGGTCAACCAATCGAAAACACAGACTCAGGCACGAAGCCCTCAAATCTCAGTAGCCTTAAGATGTTGTAGCAAAGGGAGGCAGACGAAACGGTCACAAAAAAGGTTACAGTAGTTCACCAGCACAATATTTTGGTTTTTACAAGTCTGACAAAATACATTCGTTCGCTAAATTTGTTTCGGAGGCTGAGCCACATTCTTCAGCTGACAGAGATGCATATTTGTTGAGTTTGTTTTCTTTTCTTTCGTAGCGTCGTTACAACTAACAGATTTAGCTTTCTGTCTCTGCTGCTAACGTTCGGTCTCTCGTGCACAGCACAGAGAGCAGATCTGGACTTACCGTAGTAACACTAGGTGGACTTGAAAGCGCAACTTATCTTCTTTTAAAAACTTGAACTGTTGTGGAGTTACGGTAACTCAAACAAGAATATAAAACGAGTTCAGTGTTATGTGAGAAAAAAAATCATTCAGGTGGTCCAGAAAACCGTCCAGGCAGCCCACCTTGGTAAAAGAAACTCTGTATACATGTTGTATGTTAGTAAATGCATTTCAACGCCATTTTTACCTTCAGCTTTTCTCCTCACATTTTTATTAGAGTAGAAGGCAAAAGGATTTTTTTATAAAGCGCCTGGATAAAAATCACAACCACTAAAATTATTTTTTAAAAATGGGAGAAAAAAATAGCTTTAATGTTTTGAAGCTATTTTGTCATTTCCTGTCATGTTTGTAAATACATATAATGAATAATGAACTAAACTAAAATCGCAAATCAAACTGGAATCGCTATTTCTGTTAGGAATAGGATCGCAATCCAATCTTTTCCAGAAATTGTTCAGCTCTTGTAAAATGATGTTTATGTGAAGTACTGGATTTAATTCCGTTTTTGTGTTCTTTACGTAAATTAGCTCATGAATAGTATTAAATGGCCAGGTCACCTGAACAGAAAGCCCCCGACTGCCAGCGTTTAAGTGTTTTTACTGTTTTTTGAAGAGTCACAGAACATTGTGCTCTATGACCATGTAAACACCACAACTCCCAACAGAAAGAGTCGGCTCACTTCTTACATCAGGAAGAATCTGTGTGTTTCTAGATTTTTCCGTTCTTTTGCAATTCGTTGTCCAGGTGTGAGCTGTAGAAGCTTTTCTGGTTTGCACCTCACGTTGGCCATAGCGACGTTCCAAACTGATCTCCTATTTCATGGATTGTCTGCATCATGATCACGTGACGTGTGACGTACACAGGTGAAAATAAACTTTATAGGCATGATGTTTACTCTCAAGGGGAGCACGCTCGTTCCCAAACCCGCCATGTTAAAAAATGCAATCAATGGCTTTAGTCTCTGTGAGTAAAATAGTATTTATTGCATCTGCAGGAGCTTCTGTGCGAGTATTTGTCAAACAAAGCCAACAGCAAGCAGTGGGGACCGTGGTGACAGGCTAAGGACAAATGCATGCCTATTTTATGGAACTGCATGGCGTTGTCTTCTCTGACAACTCTGATAAAAATCACCAAAGCAGGTGGAAGGAGGGGAGAGGAGACAGAAGCTACAGAGGAATTCTTCTGTAGAACAATCAGCACTATGTCAATCAAGGTTTTGGGTGTTGCAACAACCAACATCTGTCAGCTAATTTATTAGAAACATGGAAAAATCTTAAGGCATGGTGCTATAATTATCTGTAATTAATTAGTGAAAATAACATTTTTATTTCTTGTTGATGCGACTGGTTTGCAGCCCTGCCAACCTTGTCAAAATGTTTAGAGTACCACTTGTGCGGCGTTTTTCCACACACTTTTGCAACTCCATTGCTTTTCACGCTGTAATCGCCCCATTCACTGGATGGAAAATTACACACACAGACACACACACACACACACACACACACACACACACACACACACACACACACACACACACACACACAGTTTACCTTACCAGAACAGCAGCGAGTGGCGAACCGGAGGGAGAGAGGAGCAGCGGGCAGGATGAAGCGGGGGGGGGGGGGGGGGGGGGGGGATACGCTACAGGTTAGGCAGGATAGTTTTTCTCTGCTTTTCTACGATGATTGGCTTAAACTTCTTCACCACGCCGCCGAGTCGTGTTGTCAGACTTGAGTACCACACGTGCATATTTGCCACAGAACTCAACTCACGTATCCGCAGCTTTTTGTGTAGTTTAGAGGGGCGAGTCGTACCAGCGTAAACAGATGCTACACAAAATGCGTACAGGTTGGCAGGTCTGGGTTTGTACAATTTTCTTTTCCACAATGCACCAACCATCTGTAATGGTTCAGCTCAAGCTAGCTTCACAGACACAAGCATGGAGTTTGGGCAAACTCGGCAGTAAAACACGGCGTTTACAGCAGCTAACAAGCAACAACCACTGACCTGAGCGATGGCAGCTTCATTGTCTGCCAGGCCCAACAGAAAAATTCGGGCCTTGTCGATCTTCACAGGTACCGTCCGCCCTCTCCACTCCACCTCGCTCATGGTGGTAGCCTGCTTGGTTCTGGCCTGAGTGATCAGGGCCTGAAGAGAGAGGGAAACAACAGATACGATTAAAATATTTTGTCATCAGCAGCTAGAACCCAAGAGTCAACATATTCACTGTGAGTAGCCCCTGCAGTGCTGTTAGACATTGCAAATCATATTTTGTCTCGTCTCTTCATGTTCTGGACGTCACTAACCAGGTACTATAAAACCTGTAAAATGGTGCTACCCATCACTTTTCATTCAATCATGTATTCTAATTAGAGCTGGACGATGAGGAAAACTATCCTAACACCATGATAATTCTCACGTCGGCCCGTACTGATACACATCAAAACTCATTTCATCTGTGTTTAATGTTCCCTGGTACTAATAAATGAGGTAAAGGTAAATTATTTAGAGATGTACACTCGTATACTACAATACAGTTTTTATCCCAGTTACTTCAACCAAAGTTCAGCTGTGCAACATCCAACGAATGAGTAGTGTTTGAATTGACCATAATAAAATGATGTTGACTTAACTCTTTAAAACCTCACCAAGAAAAAAGAAACAATGAAAAATTTCCTCCTTTTTCATTGTTTGATTTGGGGAAATAATGGCTTTATTTTAATGTAAATTATTAATAGTAATAAAATATTAATTGTAACAATTTAAGGTAATGATAATGCTATGTTACCCCTTTATTTAAAACAACTCCATATTCTTTAGAGTTTTTCTTGTTAAGCTCATTTAATGTTTCAATGAGATTTAAGATGGGCTCTACCAATTAAGCATTTTCTGTTGTTTGAATTTTTCTTTAGTCATAAACAATTACAGATTTATGGTTATTTTATGCAAACACGTAAACTGAACGAACGTTCTGTGTTTTTGTGAGAAATAAACATTCGGACAACTATCTGAAAGCTATTTTTGCCTTTAGATTTAATCTTTGCATTGTTAGAGTAATAGCTTTTAATGTTTTAATGGTATGATGTCATTTCCTGTCATGTTTGTAAACATTACTGTACATTGTGAATTTTGTGCTGAAGCTTGATTTGAGTAATCTTATGATATCTGCCTCTTATTACTTTTACAAACTCCAATTAGTTTTTACAGTATTTGGAAATTAAATAATGTCCCAAAACGCAGAACACTGTAATCGTTTAGTTTTGACAATTATTTACATTATATGATTTTTGTCTAAAGTTCTCACCTTTCTAAAAAAACAAAAAAAAAAACAAGTTCTACACGTGTCAGCTTTGTGTTTATTTAATATTGTAGTTTTGATTTGTTCATTGACTGACTCTGACTTTATTATGTCTTTGTGATGTGTGTTCCACAAATTAATTCCTGTCACTGAGCCGGTTTGTTCCTTTACTTTTGTTTGTTAACGATTAGGGATCCTCCAATCCAAGTGCGTTATTTTGAAGGGATCTGAATCGGGTGAAAAAGATCCTCTACATCAGTATTCTCCACTTCTTGGAAGAAAAAAACATTATGTCACACTTTACAGCAGGCAGGGATTCAGACATCAAAGCATGTAGCTGTTAGCTAGTAGGCTAACGCAGAGCTAACGTGTCTCCACAGAAGAGCTGGAGTGTCTGTTTTGGTGGTATTTTAAACCGGACAGTGAAGGCAGTGTAACAGCCACTTGTGATGTGTGCATACTGGGCATTCAACATGCTGGAAAAAACAGCTGCATGTTAAGCAGGCTTCAAAATTAACTACTTTGTCCTCTGCCTTTTTCCCCCTTCGGGCGTCGCCACAGCTAATCTTCAGTCTGCATTAAAGGTGCATTATGTAGAAATGACGTAAAAATGACATCCTGTAGTAAAATTTGGTTACTGCTGGGTTTACCCCAGTGCTTTATAAGCCTGGCGGCCCGCCAGGCTAAGGGTCATGCCCCGACCCAACCCCACGAACGGCGCAGCGGAACGTGTGCAACCACCCCACCCCGCTCTCACAGAGGAGAGCGCAACCCCCCCTCCCCCAACTTTGATACTAATGTTTTACCGAGTATTCTTTATTATTGTCTGTGTTTGCTTAAACTTTTTTGCTGTTTGTTTTGTAAAAAAGCAGCAATGTGACTAAAATCCAACATTTTAAAGATTTATTACAATTACTTGCATAAAGCATGGATGCAAATTTCGGCGGGCACGATTTTTTTGGCACAACACCGGCCATGGCACCACGCACCTCCCCCGTCACGCATCACTTTAAACTATGATCACCTTCGCTACTTTTATATATATTCTTAATATTAATATGTTTTTAAATAATTCCAAAACATGGGATGTTTTGAGCAGATAAGCTAAGTAAATGTCAAATAAATAAATAAATAGGGGTGCACAATATATCTGCATCAATATCGGCCGTTGTTAGACATTTGGGCCAATATTAACAACCAATATTTTTTCCATCTTGCTTCTGTTTCAGGGGCTGATGTGTATTTGTTTAGTCATGTGACAGTGATTGTAATCATCTCACAAGTGTAAATGTGTGTGGTGTGTACATAATCGTATGAATTCAGCTTTAAGCCGGGCATACGCTGTGCGACTTTTTCACTTTTTTTAGCAGATTTTCCACTCGTGCGAGAATCCACGACATCGGGGCGAGTTTTGCGCCGAGCGGTCGTGTAGTATACGGGGGGTTACGAGAGGCGATTAACACCACGTGACCAGCTACCGATCAGCAGTCGTGAGATCGCACGAACTTCTGGCGTGTTTAATATTTTGCTCGTCCCTCGTGAGGGTATCGCACTGTTGAAGCGGCGCTGCGAGCAGCTGCGACCCAAAAAGTATCAGAACCGCTCACGGTGCATGCGCAATCCTGCATCAACACCGCTCGCCCGCTATTTCCCTAATAACACACGTTGTTCGTTTTTGTTTCTACACGTTTTTTTACTCACAAAGATTGTCAAGAAAGCGTGTTTGTCGTGTTCATGTCAAATTAAACTGATCACAAACACAGATTTACTTTCTTTATTTCGTTTTCCTCATCCAACCCCCATAAATCCCTGTGTGTCCTCCTGCAGCACTCCCAAAGGACAACAGGCAAAACAAGACAAGAAAGCCTGACGTGTTGAGTAAAAACTGCTATTTTTAGCATATTTTTAGGTCCGACGTGTTGCTACCAGACGTACAGTGTGAGCAGTCAGGTCGCATCCGAGAACTGGGTCGCACAGTGTGAGCGCATGACTCGTGAGATCTGCTCTGCGAGGAAGTCGTACAGTTTGAGCTGAAGCTGAGTGCTACGAGTGAAAAAGTCGCAGTGTCCGCCCGGCTTTAATGATTTTCATTTCATACAAAAGGCCCTTCCTGCAGTGAAACAAAAAGGGCCACAACGACCGCCGCTGGAGGTAGGCGGTGGGATTAAGACTCCTGTCACTCAAAAACAAAAAATAGTGGATGAGTTTATGTCTTACATGTCCCCCAAATTTATACACAATAGGTTATGTATGGAATAATTCTTGTGACAAATGCTGAGAGATTTAAAGAGAAGTTTGCTTTATGCAACAAAGAAACTGATTTAGCTAGTTTTCCTTTTATATTTTTTATGTCACGTATTGACGAGTGAACGTAACGTGAACATTTCTGTGTGGAATCTGTGTTTATGACTAACACAGCCACATTATCCAAGACTGACTTCACCTCTAGTTTCTCAGCCATCATGCCTCCTCCTCCACCAGTCAGCCTCATCTGCATCAAGTCATTGATGGCATTCTGATCACCTGCAATGTCACAGCAAAAACGTTTTAAAAAAATGGGTTTGTGTCAACCCAAGAGCATGGCCGACATTCAGAACCGCAGCAGACTGACCGATGTTGTAAGCACAGTAGCGGATGTTGGGGGAGATCTCGTCGACACGCTGACGATACAGAAGAGCCAGGTCCTCAGTGAACGCGCTGGCCAGCTTCTCATAAATGGTCCTGACACGAAACAGGGTAAATGTTCACCAATGCTCAAAAACCTGGATATAAATGGTGACGCCCACTCAATCTGCCACTGTAGGAAGAAATGTGATAAAGCGTACTTGCACTTGTTAAAGGCCTCCATAGCACGCTTCCACTCCTGCAGCTCAAACTCCACCATCCCAGTCAGGTAAGCAGTGTAGGCCTAAAGATGAAAATGAATACTTTACATAAAAATGGGGGGAATGTTTTTACAGCTTGTGTGTCTCGTTGTGCACAGGCACCCAGTTCATGCACTTCAGCTTCATATCATACCTGCGCCTCCAGTTTGGTCTTAGCATCGACACGAGGGCTCTCACACAGCTTCTCCAGCTTCTCGCTGTGTTTGGCAGCTTTGCGTAATCGTGCGAGCAGGTGGAAACGCTTCCTGGGTTCAGTGTTGGCCTCTTGTTTCAGCTGCATGGCGTAGCTCCATGCACGCTCTGCTTCCATCAAAACCACCAAGAGATACCTGAGGAGGAAGGGAACGGGGAACCCACGGTTGAACAAGCCGAAAACGTTTTAAAGTTTTTACCTGAAACTGAGTTTCCCCGTCATGGCTAAAAATGTGTTCACCTATACAACAAGATTTACTTTTTTCTTCTTCAGAAAACTCACAGGAATAATTGGCAAGGAAAACTCTAAATCCTGCTAAACCAAGCGGCCCTACAGCATGAGAGGAATATTTTTCATTTCAAACGTCAATGCCAACCTGCTGTCAGAAAGCATTTCCACGGTGACCTTCTTTCCAACAAACTTGTGTCGGTTCCCCATCTTAAAGCCGAGAGTCTTGCGAAGTCGGCGTAGCCTACGGGAGCAGTAGCCTCTGAAAAATAAAATAAAACCATTGTAGGAGCAGTTTTCTGAGAAGACACGCAAGACCCAAACAGGTGCCAACTTTAAGATGTTAGGAAACGTCCACGAGGATGAGAACCTTTCGACAGGTAACAGGCATTAGTTGTCAAATAGATCAACAAGACTTCTGAAAACACTTCTACACTTTTGTTAGAATGAGAACTGACCGTTTTCTTCTAGTTAATAGGTAAACACCACTTTGAGACATGAAATCAGTTTTGGTCTACAAGTCCAATCTAATCCCCTTGTGCCATCATTGTGTTATTATTGTGTTACTAAACAGAATTAACTTAAAGAGAAGGCAGCAGGTTTTTTGGTGACTTGTACCATTTTGTTTGTTTTAATGTAGGTTTTGTGTTAGATTTAAGTAAACAAGTAAAAATTACTTGTATAAAGGGGTAGGGATATATAAGTTTCCACTTCAGCCTACTCCTTTTCAAACACAGATGGGATGATATGTATTTTTTCTGTTTGTGGTACTTTAAAAAAAATTATGTATGTTTTCTTTGTTTGAAATAAACTAAACTAAACTAAGAAGTGTTACGATAAAATGTATTCTATTTGTGTGTATCTTAATGGCCAACTTGCCAACGCCGGGTCGGGGGAGAGGTCCTACCTCAAGTGGAGGAGTTTAAGTATCTCGGGGTCTTGTTCACGAGTGAGGGTAGGAGGGATCGGGAGATCGACAGGCAGATTGGTTCGGCGTCTGCAGTGATGCGGACGCTGAGCCGATCTGTCGTGGTGAAGAGGGAGCTGAGTCAGAAAGCCAGGCTCTCGATTTACCGGTCGATCTACGTCCCAATCCTCACCTATGGTCATGAGCTTTGGGTAATGACCGAAAGAACGAGATCGTGGATACAAGCGGCTGAAATGAGTTTCCTCCGTAGAGTGGCCGGGCTCAGCCTTAGAGATAGGGTGAGGAACTCTGACATTCGGGAGGGACTCGGAGTAGAACCGCTGCTCCTCCGGATCGAAAGGAGTCAGTTGAGGTGGTTTGGGCATCTGGTCAGGATGCCTCCTGGACGCCTCCCTGGGGAGGGGTTTCGGGCATGTCCTGCCAGCAGGAGGCCCCCGGGTCGACCCAGGACACGTTGGAGAGGTTACATCTCCAATCTGTCCGGGAACGCCTTGGGGTCCTGCCAGAGGAGCTGGTGGAGGTGGCTGGGGAGAGGACGGTCTGGAGCTCCCTAGTTGGGATGCTGCCCCCGCGACCCGGACCCGGATATGCGGAGGAAGATGACGACAAATCTTAATGGTGCAGTTGTAGAGGGAATAAAAGAAGTTTTAGATTTGCTTAAGAGCCTGAATATTTACCCTTTTGTACCAATGCACATAAATGTGCTTCTTTAATATATTCTGCAAGACTCAAAGTGCAAATTGTACCCCTGCATACTAATGTGTGTAATAAATTGGATTTTTATGAATCTGGGGAAATCATCACTTGCAGAAATGCAGGAAAACAAAGAAAGGTTCTACGTTTCTACCTTCCAAAATTTGTCCACAAACAGATTTCCATATTTCAGACAATGAGGGCAATTTTCACATCCAAATACAAACACTTGTGTCCATTTGCCAGGATTTAACACTTGGAAACTCTGGGTGCCACAAAAATACTAAATGACAGTCTTGTATTAATAGAATTGTAAAGCTTTAAGCTGTTAGGCAGCCTGCTTGCATGATAAAACAAGTTTATGTTTTAGTAGGTTCTCAGACATCACTTCAAAAATCAAAACACCAGCATTAAACTTGCGGCTTGACATAAGATTCAGTACTATATACAGCCGAAGTGAAAATTACTCAGATTCAGATTATTTTAAAGAAACTAATTACCATTATGAAACATAAGGTGGATTCGATTCTGCACGTGGAAGATACTAAAATAAAATCTTTTTTTTTTCAATGCTGTGTAGAAACGTTTACTTCACCTTCCAGCTAATAAAAAATGCTGACCTGTATCTTTGGTAGTCTCCATGTCTGAGGCCATGCTGCTGCTGGGACTCCTTGATTATTTGTAGGACTGTAATTCAGCGTTAAAGAGAGAACAACTGCACCAGTGCTGAAACAAACACACATGGATTGTTTCATTCTAAAACAAACACACATGGATTGTTTCATTCTCAAGTTTAAACCGTCTGTGCGGCGTTGGAACTGGATGAATGAACTAAAAGTCCGCTAGTAACAGGAATTTATTAGCCAACATGTTTTAAACAAAACAAACTTCAAGTTATACCTGTCTACGGCGTTATAAAATAGCATAATTTATCCGAAATGTCAAGGTAGAAAACAAAAATCCGACATTTTAAACGTTTACTGCGTTGACAGACTCCCTCAATTTGACACGTAGTCTAAAGACGCTAGCCTTTTCTGTAAGCTAATGTTAGCTTCTGAGAAAGAAACGGCTAAGAAAGGCATCAAATCTCTGTTCCACATATTATTCTGTAAAGGATACTTTCCAGGCCAAGTCCCTCCTCTGGAATATTCTCCTTATTTTCCTCCGTGAGGGATATTTTAGCTTCGTTTTGTTTGTCTACGGCCATATCTTCTACCTAGCTAACAGCGACGCAATAGCACCAAGAGTAGCGCACACACACTCAGTCACCGGATGTGAAAGATCAGAAACTGACCAATCAAAGGACAGACGTTTGGCCCCGCCTCCGGAGGGTGGGTCTTGCCGCCTCATGGACTGGCGCTACCGTAGTGGCCGGCCGCCATTTTAGATGGGTCTCCACTCGCCCCCGTTGCATTCATTTTTACTGAGGAAGAGACTTAACCAACTAAAAATCACATTTTATCAAACTTTTTCACAAAATACGACACAAAGTATGACATACTTGAATTCTGAATATTATTAAACAAAAAAAGTAAATATAAAATCCCATCAGGTAGGCTAGCAAAGAAATCCTACGTGATCTCTTTTGAATATTACTCCGGTTATTGTAACTGCAGGCTGCACAAGAACGGGCATAGTGGCCCACTCTGCATTGACTTTGGATAGAGAGAAGACCCAATGGGGCGTCTACCTTCATGTTTATGGTGTGGACCGACACAGACTTCCATTCATTTTAGTGACTCCACCATTGGTTAGGGTTAGGCTAATTAAAGATGTAGATCATTTGACAGACAGTAGCAGCATTTAGAAAATAGAATTGAATAGAACAGCCTTCATAATCGTTGTACAGGGTACAGCAAAATTGGAGTGCCACTCCCTTTGGTGCAAAATGTAAAAGAATACAAAAAAATACAGAAATAATATAATTGTAAAATCAACAGTAATACGTACAATTATATACACAGAATAGCAGCATTTTTATTGTAGCAGCATTAGCTGGAATCTGTGCAGGTCACTATTGTAAGCAGTAAAGTAAAATGTGATTATGAACATGAGTAATTATTTCATATTTTTCAGTAACACCACATGAAGCTGACTTCAATAACCTGCTGAAGCAAGTGTCACACTTATGATCACCATGATAACATGATGTGTCCTCCAGAATGCCCAGAGCTGAATCAGGACGTCTGAACAACAGAACCTTTACGAAGTTGTTTTTTACTGCAGGACTGTTAACTTGCATCTGTTTGATATCAGTAATTCAACATCTGAGGTCAAACTGGGATTAGAACCTTTCCTTGAAGACAGAACAAGAAATGAAGATTTATTAATGATAAAATATCAGCATACAAATAACTAGAACAGTAACAGGTCACACTGCTGCCTTTGCATTGGTGGAGCTGCAGGTGTGGTCAGTGATGGAGTAAAAGCTGGTACCGGTAATTGGACTGATGTGGTGAGCCTGTCAAAATAAAATTCATATTTAAGTGATCAGGAGTTTATGACGTTCCAAAGCTAATGCTAGCACTGCAGCAACTTTTTCTGCGGTTTCCTGTAATGTCAAGCTTCTGTATGAAAGTAATATTTTTTATAGGATCACTGGTGTTAAAATAAGAGGGAAGGGACCTAAAATCCCTTCAAACACATGTGGGGCATGTGTTTGTTGTGGTGCTAGATGCTGCATTTCTTAGTTTTTTAGTTGCAATTCTGAATCTCAGCCTGATGAATCTACAGTTTATGTGATTTTACACATCAAAGACTGCAGCTTTCTAAGGGACTTGCTTCGCCATCACATCCAGGAGCTCCCAAGAGGCAACACCTGGTTCTAGCAGATAGTGTTGTAGTCTTTGGTGAGATCTGACATCAGAAAGAGGGAGCATCATGTCCTGAAGAAGTCTGAAGCTTGTTGAGTTCACTGAAGCAGAAGTTTTCTAGCCTGACAAACTAGATTATATACATTTTATTTTTTATTTGTTTAGCAAAGCAAGAATTTGGTCTAGCTCTCTAGGCTAGAAATTAACGGACAGAAGATGTCAGGTTAAACTTATCAGTTTTCTGTTCTTTTAGATCAATAATGGGTTTGGCGTCGAGATAATTTCTCTACATAAGAGTGGGTGGCTCTTAAAAGAGCCTTTGGTTTGATCAGAAGCGGAGCAATTTACTTTGAGCTGGTGTACTTGGTGACAGCCTTGGTGCCCTCAGACACCGCGTGCTTAGCCAGCTCACCAGGCAACAGGAGGCGGACGGCGGTCTGAATCTCCCGGGAGGTGATGGTAGAGCGCTTGTTGTAGTGCGCCAGACGGGAAGCTTCAGAAGCGATGCGCTCAAAGATGTCGTTCACAAACGAGTTCATGATGCTCATGGCTTTGGAGGAGATCCCGGTGTCGGGGTGGACCTGCTTCAGGACCTTGTACACGTAGATGGCATAGCTCTCCTTCCTGGTCCTCTTTCTCTTCTTTCCTCCCTTGCCGGCGGTTTTAGTCACCGCTTTCTTGGAACCTTTCTTAGGCGCAGACTTGGCGGGTTCAGGAATTTTAGTTCTGAATTGACAGACTATCAGTAGGAGGTAGGAGAGGCTGGTTTATACAAGCTTGATGCAAATTTTACTGCACCCTCTCACACCTGTGATTGGTTGCTCACATCAGTGGGTGTATAGAGGGCGGAGTGTATTGAAATGAAACATCAACGGTATGGGAATTCCGGCTCTTTTTAGAGAGCCGGTTCTTTTGGCTCAGCTCACCAAAAAGAGCCAGCTCTTTCGGCTCCCAAGTGGCTCCTCAGATTTTCTGTTGCGTAGAGTACATTTATAACCAAAATAATGCAAAACTATGTGTAAAATGATTTACTAATTAAAAACAAATGCAATTTATCAAATATTTATCATTTCTATTGATTTAATAACTGAACACTTTCAGAAATCTCCACTTTCCAACTGCTGGCGCTCATTTTCTCACCGTCTTCGTCACACTCTCCTCTCTCTCTCGCCTTTTTCCTCCTCCTCATTCCCTCTCGTCTCCCTCTGCCCACATGTGCTCTGCTGTGTGTCTGAGTCTTATCCTCCCTCTTCCCCACCCCTACTGCTCTGTGTGTGGACAGTCTGGACACGCAGTTACACATGTTGACCAATCGCCTGTGGCTTTCACCAAAGCAAGAGGGGGGAGTGGAGGGGACGGCTCCCAATGACGAGCCGGCTCCCGTCGTTCACTTCAAAGAGCCGGCTCTTAGAGCCGGTTCGTTTGCGACCGACAGCTTATCAAAGTAAAATAACGAAATTAGTTGAAGGATCTTCATTTAATAATGCAGCTGATTTCCTTGACATAAATCCTCCGTTTTTAAACGGTTTCATGCAGAAACTGTTTGGTGTGATATACAAGCTGAAATAAAATTTATACTAAAATAATAATAATTTATCTTATTCAGGGGCACTTTTCTCAGGCTCTTCACCTTTCGGTCGACTCATGTGTCCCCAGAACATTCTACACTCTGCTATAAGTTGTCATTGTAGCTATAATATGTCCAAATCTTGCTGTCTTTTGAGCTTTCGCTCATCTCCTCTGCTTTCTGTAGCACTGTTTATTTTATTTTTTCCTCTTTGACAATTTCATGCCCATCAATGTCTACAGGTCCCATTATCTTAATGTTCCAGATAAATTGTGTGCGCCACCCCCCTCCCTGCTTTCACAGCGATCCGTATGCTAATTAATTCATCAAAACTTGTTCCATAACTGAATTATAGTGGTGGCGGCATCATGCTACGGGCGTGTTTTTCAGCTGCATGGACAGGACGACTGGTTGCAATTGAGGGAACTATGAATGCAGCCAGGGATATCCTGGTCAAGAACCTTCTCCAGAGTGCTCAGGACCTCAGAGTGGGCTGAAAGTTTACCTTCCAACATGACAATGACCCTAGGCACACAGCTAAAATACCCAAGGAGTGACTCTGTAGTGACTGTCCCTGAATGGCTCAGCCCTGACTTAAATCTTTGAGAGACGAATGTCTGTGAAGGTTCTCAGTCATCCAGGTCATTGTAGTCTAATGAGCTTTGAAAGAAAAGCGTCTGGACTTCTTTGAGTTGCTTGAAGACGTTTCACCTCTCATCCGAGAGGCTTCTTCAGTTCTAAGGTCAAATGGTGGAGAGTCCCAGATTTAAACCCAGTGGGAGTTTCCCCCCGAAGAGGGACCAAAAGACCCCCTGATGATCTTCTACATAAACACATTAGCCAAGGTGTGAGGGTGGGTGTGGGTCCTATTCAGTCAGAGTTTCGGGTGAGCTCTCTGTGAAGCCTGGCCCCACCCTATCATGAGAATTCCTGAAGTCAGATGGCCCATCTCAAAACTGGATTATAGATGATGGGTGATCCTTGAGAGACCTAAAAATGGCTGTCCACCAATGTTCACCATCCAACCTGACAGAACTGGAAAGGATCCACAAGGAGGAATAACATTTATACACACACACTCACTCATTTTTCAATAATAATCCAAATAATCCAAATAATAATTGATACTTCAGATTTCAGATTTATTGGCCAAGTAAAATTACATTTACAAGGAATTTGTCTTTGGTAGATGTTTGCTCTCTAAAACATACATCAACCACAATAAATGAGAATGAAATACCTAAAAACACATAAGAACATGTATACCCACACACATGTTCATTTACACACACACATATATACATATATACATACCCACACACACACGCACACACACACATATCCATAAGCATACTGAATAAGTATTAAAAACTAAAATAAAAGGATGGTAAAAGAATCTACAGATTCAGGAGAGAAATGGCTGAAGGAAAGAAACTGTTCTTGTGTCTGGTAGTTTTTGTGTACAGCGATCTATAGCGTCTGCCAGATGGGAGGAGATGGAAGAGAGTAGATGCAGGATGTGTGGCATCTTGGACAATATTCACTGCCTTTTTCCTGGTCCTGCTGATGTACAGTTCCTGGACAGAGGGCAGTTGGGCACCAATGATTTTTCCTTTCTGCATCTAATCAACAACTCCCACACAATAGAGGCTAACGATGCAAACGAACCATGAGGAGGTAGGGAGGGGCTGTTTGGCAGGTGACAGTTTCTGCTTGTCAAGCAACAATGGACAGCTACAATAAGATGACCCTCCTATACCAAAGAAGTCCAGTTGCCTTCATTCAAATTCAATTTGAATTACCATGCAGATGCCTCACTCATTCATGCCAGGCGTGTGACTGCAGGTAAACACTGGTGTTTGAAAGGGGGTTTGACCAAGGATAACCTTTCGACTGTTTTTTTTTTGTTGGATGTTTTCCATGATCCATTGATTTCTGTTTGACTCTGAGAAATACTGCTAATCTTATCACAAGGTTTACTCCACTCCAACTGATCTCAGACCAAAGAGCTGACAAAACACATAGTCACAAGATGCCAAACATTTACATTAAGGCGGCGCCAAACACAACATTTCCATTTTGTCACAACAACATACTTCTACCTGGATGTATGCATTCCAGTGGTTGCCGCCTCACTCAATATCTCACGCTGAGCACGTCACACATGCTCGTGTCCATTCAGAGCAGGCAAGATGGGAGGGGTGAGGGGCGAGTCACCATGGTAGCAAGCCCAGCTTGCTGTGAATTAGGGTTAGATGAGTGAGCCTGTGGCTGATGAGTGAAAAAAATTATGAATAAACATTCGGGGCTCGACTGAAAACATTCGGGGTAGTGATGGCTCTTTCATGGGAGCCGTTCTGGTGTGTTTGACCGACTTCCGGGGAAGTTTGTTAAGATGAACGGCTCACTGCAGGGACTCGCCTCTGTCAGTGCGCCCCAGGGCAGCTGTGGCTACATCGTAGCTCATCACCATCAGTGTGTGAATGAGTGTGTGAATGGATGAATGATACATTGTAGTGTAAAGCGCTTTGGAGTCCTTACTCTGAGAGGCGCTATACGAGTGCGGGTCATTTATCATTCACCTTGAAAACCCGTTCAAAAGATTTGATTCGTCCGTGAACGTCATCAGGGCTGAAGCTCCGTCAAAATCGGCTGGTGACGCTGGTGAGTTATTAAATCCATAGAAATTATAAATATGATATAATGCACTTTTTTATATTAGTAAATCATTCTACATACAGTTTTGTATTATTTTGGGCATAAATATACTCTACACTAGTCATGTGTCGGTCGAGAACAAAACTATGACGTGAACGACGGGAGCCGGCTCGTCACTGGGAGCCGTATCCCCCCCACCCCCCGCCTTAGTGAAAGCTACAGGCCATTGGTCAACATGTGTGATTGCGTGTCCAGACTGTCCACACACAGAACAAAAGGGGAGGAGAAGAGGGAGGATCAGACTCAGACACACAGCAGTGCACATGTGGGGAGAGGGAATGAGGAGGAAAAAGGCAAGCGAGAGAGAGGAGAGAACGACGAGTGAGAAAATGAGCAACAGCAGTCGGAAAGTTGAGATTCCTTAAAGAGCAAGTCACCCCCAAATCAACCTTTTTTTGCTGATAAACTACATAAATGCATGTCTAATTGTGCTGCAGACACGTGTAGTCAATAATTTGGCACTTCATTGCATCTTAGTTAAAATTTAAATATTCTGCCTATAACTGACAGTGTTGTGCCGTTGTCAGGTAAAAACTGCACTGCATTTGAATTTAAATCTGCCACTGCTATTGGCTAAGAGGTATGCTATGATGTAAACTGGTCCTTATGTCACAATGTCATTGTGAGCCTGTGTGTGTGTATTAGTTTGCAGCTCCGGCCTCTCGGTCTGCAAGGCACCAGCATTTGTTGCATTTTTCAAACATGAAGATGGAGTTGAGTAAGAATCTGGCAGGGGTTGACTTGCTCTTTTGTGTCCAATTAATAAATCCATTTAAATTATAAATAATTGATATATTCCTTTTTTACATTAGTAAGCCATCTTACATAGTTTAGCGTAATATTTGGATATAAAATATACTTTATGCAACAGTAAATTTAAAGAGCCACTTGGGAGCTGAAAGAGCCAGCTTTTTGGTGAACTTAGCCAAAAGAACCGGCTCTCTAAAAACAGAGTCGGTAATTTCCATCGCTATTAATCACCTCACCAGCCACATGCTTTCCGGGCTGTGTGAATGTATTCATTGACATCCACTACATACAATGCATACAAGTCGCCAACAATTTAGAACAATTGCGCATTAAACATTATTTAAGTGGCCCTGAAAAGGGCCTTTTGATTTTGTTAAGAAATGATGTTTATCCTCCGAAGCCGTACAAAGTGCGGCCCTGCCTCTTGAGCGCATAGACCACATCCATGGCGGTCACGGTCTTCCTCTTGGCATGCTCGGTATAAGTGACTGCATCACGGATCACGTTCTCCAGGAACACCTTGAGAACACCACGAGTCTCCTCGTAGATCAGACCGGAGATACGCTTCACTCCACCGCGACGAGCCAGACGGCGAATAGCAGGTTTGGTGATTCCCTGGATGTTATCACGGAGAACTTTACGGTGACGCTTAGCGCCACCTTTCCCGAGTCCTTTACCTCCTTTGCCTCTTCCAGACATGTCTAACCCTTAAGAGATTTGCTATAACAATGCAGTAGCTCCAGTGGCTCAAGGGTTTTTATCTCACACTAAAGGACGTAAGAGAGAACAGCAGTGGCTGAGACTTCTTCTGGGATTTTATTTGGTGGAGATTTTTTTTGTCTATTTTGTTGTAGCGCCATCAAGTGGCCTTGACTCACCAGAGTCGGGAATGACTTCAATAAAAATCCGGTGATGGAAACAAATTTAAACACTGGAATGTTAACCACAGCAAACCGCTGCCTCCCACCCAGCCTTTCCCCCAAACAAGGTTTAGAAAACAGATAAAACAATTAAACACAACAAGCACAACACCAACAGTGACAGTGCACATCAGAGTATCGTGTAAACGAGACAAGCTCATTTTAATCTGCAGTTGTTGAAGGGTTAATGTAGAAAATAATCCAGTTCACATCCCTGCAATAGCAGTCCAGGTCTGGGAAGCTACAGAGGTTTCATTCCCACCTTTTTTCTCTCATATTGTGTTGTCAGTTTTCCAGCCTATATATAAACTTGGCTCCAAATAGAGTTTTGGACAGACATTTACTTATTGGAGCAAAAAACATTCACATTTGCTAAAAAAAATTAAAATCACATCATTGCTCACACAAAAGGAGTGGGCTGAAGAAAGTACTTGTGTAAATAAACAATCTGAAATGTATTTTACATAAAATGGTCCCCAGATGACAGGTTCAGTTACAAGAATGTGGTGTGAATCCTCTAGTCAACATTTCAACGTGCAGTCCAGGGGCAGCGTTAGGCCCGGCTACTTGGGCTCAAGCCCCGAATCTTTAATGAAAAGCCCCGGTGTCGGTACAGGATCTGCTCGGGTGCAAGATCGGCTCGGGGTCCTTCGACTGCCAATGACGTCAAAGTACGGCAAACCCACTCAGACAAAATACACTACACATCTTTATATTTTTGGAAAGAATTTAGCAGTTTTGTTATTAAAATAATGTTTCTTACGACATAAGTTTGTGTTTATAATGGTATTTGTAAAATAAAACACTATGTTGTTTTCATAATGTTGAACTCCTCTTTGAGCACATCCCTTGAAGGATCATAGGTATTAGCAACACCTGTGAAATTGTATTTGCAGGAAAGAAGCCTTAGGCCTAGTCCACACGTAGCCGGGGTTTTTTAAAAACGAATACCCACCCCTCCAAAAACTTGCATCCACACCACCACGTTTTAAAAACAAACTCTGTCCACACGTACCCGGATAAATACGTTGTTAAGGACATGCCAGACCTGTAGGCGGCAGTACTTCCCCCGTTCTTAACCTCGTCCTTCGTCTGTGGTCTTCCGCAAGGAGCAGTAATTCCGCTTGCAAAAACAAACAAGCAGAAAGTGCTTGGACAATTGATGGATCGGGTAGTGACAGAGCGCAGCTCTGAAGGCTTCCATGATGCCGGGTAGTGTAAACACAGGTCGCACACGTGATGTCAGCATTTTTCATCGCGGAAAGTGACGTTGCGGACCTTAAAACTCCGGTTTTGTCCGTCCACACGCAGTCACCCAAAACGGAGAAAACGCAGATCTTCACTTTGGCCGGAGTTTTTAAAAAGATCCGTTTTCGTGTGAAAAAACTCGTGTGGGTGACAGGCCAAAACGTAGAAAAATATCTACGTTCAGCAGCCAGCTTCTTCTGCAGTGCCTGGTTTCTTCTACACTCTGCCTGAAACGCATGAGTGAAGATGGACCAGCTTTGATGAGAATGTTGTTGACTCAGGTTTGTGAGTCTTATATATTATTAAAAAATTATAAAAATATTTGTTGTGCTGCTGGTTTGTCTAAAGTTAGCTTATCAGGTAAAGTTGTTAGAGAAAGAAAGGGAATATTTACTATCATCTCACACTAAACAATAACGGGAACCATACTCTGCCCTGAATATGTAGCTTCAGATTTAAAATTATGTGGTACAAGACAAATATATATGATGTTGTCTGTCTGTGTGTGTGTCCCCAGATCTTCAGTCCTTAATCCACCACTGGTGCAGTCAGTGATCATATATAAAGTGCATTATTCTCATATAGATAAGTGGTCTTATTAATGTAACAAATTGTATTTGACAATCAGCACTTAGCTTCCTTTTGTCAGCTAGTTGAATAATTTTTTATCCTTTCATTATTTGCCAAATATTCTAGAAAAAGGAATAAAAGCCCTCAGATGCAGGTGGTGGCTCTTAAAAGAGCCGTTGTGTGTTGGAGCCGTTGTGTGTAAGAGCCACACACTTACTCAAAGGGCTTCAATTCTAATTATTGATTATTGATTAATTCAACAAGGCAGGTTTCAACAGGAGTTCGTAACACTTAAAACAGTTTCCCTGAAAAGCAGAGGAAAACCACTAGAGTTTGTTTTGGGTAATAATGGTGACTATTAATCCTGGTTTGTAATGTTTCAACAGTTGTGACTTGATGCAGTGGGTGTGATTATTTTTGTTTCTGATTAGTTGAAAACTTAACATAACTCAATCACCCCAGGATTGATCTATTGGTTTATATAAAGTTTCTATAATTGTACTTTATTCATGGAAGATTTGTAAAATTTTCTTCCACGTTAGTCAATTTTGATTTAGACTTTTTTTCTCTCTTTAGAATAGGTTCCAGTTATTTTTGTGGTTCTTTACTTTTAGGCTTCATATTCCAACATTATTGAAAGACTAAGCTCACTTGGTTGCATGTGCAGTGGTCTCTAGTTTGTCTTAGTTATCTAGAGTGGTTCCCAAACTTATTTAGCACCCCCTTCTATGTCCCGACCAGTGTCGACGCAACCCCCAGCCCCCACAGGGCATGGATATTAGTGATGGGAATTCCGACTCTTTTTAGAGAGCTCGTTCTTTTGGCTCAGCTCACCAAAAAGAGCCGGCTCTTTCTGCTCCCAAGTGGCTCCTCAGATTTTCTGTTGCGTAGAGTACATTTATAACCAAAATAATGCAAAACTATATGTAGAATGGTAATAAACTGCAATATATCAAATATTTATCATTTCTATGGATTTAATAACTGAACACTAAGAAATCTCCACTTTCTGACTGCTGGCGCTCATTTTCTCACCGTCTTCGTTGCACTCTCCTCTCTCTCGCTCGCCTTTTTCCTCCTCCTCATTCCCTCGTCTCCCTCCACCTGCATGTGCTCTGCTGTGTGTCTGTCTGAGTATGATCCTCCCTCTTCCTCGCCCCTACTGCTCTGTGTGTGGACAGTCTGGACACGCAGTTACACATGTTGACCAATCGCCTGTAGCTTTCACCAAAGCAAGAGGGGGGAGGGGAGGGGACGGCTCCCAATGACGAGCCGGCTCCCATCGTTCCCTTCAAAGAGCCGGCTCTTAGAGCCGGTTCGTTTGCGACCGACACATCACTAATGGATATATATACAATCAGACTTGGAGCTAAACAGTCACTCGACAGACAGGGTTAAAAAATATATGATTGACCTTTTTCCCCATCACTTTCATTTTTTTAAATAGTAATTAATAAACATTCAATACCATTACAATTTCCTTTGATTTAATTTTAAATAAATATTGTGCCCAGGTAGCACATAAACAATGCAATTTAACGGTTTTCTTAAAGTATGAACATTTAACCTGTGGCAAGAGCGCTCTCCTTCCTTCTGCTCTGCATAAACCTGAACTGGTCACCTACTTGTGCGTAATCAAATGTCTATAGGGGAAAATATGGAAAAGATATGGCCATGAGGTTCACTTTTGCCTCAGACCGACTTATTGCTGTTTCATGGTGTGGCTGAATCTGCGATGGGGACTGGAATAACAAATGCTGCAGTAACAAGAGTTGTGGTCAGGTTCATGACGAGTCACTGGCTGGAGCGGACTCAAATTTCATACATCATCCCAAAATAGAAGCTAATATCTTAATTTGACCTTGAAAAATGTTGTTATAAAACCTCTTCAAAGTTTTTTATCATGGAGGAGGCAGCGCTCATTTCTGCCTTCAGTCTGACGGCGCTGCGCGTTGTAGCGCAGCGCAACGACGGAGTTTGCGCAGCATGCGCTAATTGAATCTGTGTATGTGTGTGTGTGTGAGACGCTCAAGTCACCGCGTCTCGTTATTGGCGCTATTTACACCAATGTTGTAAAATTACTTCTGCCCAGCCCAGATGTGCTCACATGTGCACCCGTGAGCCGTGGCTCCGCTGGAATGCGTCTGACCTCTGACAGATGCACTCTGAACTTCAGATCTTCAGCGCGCTGTTAATAGCCTGACAAGTTCAGAATGCTGTCCCACAGTCAGTGGGCTAATATAATCATATAATAATACTAAAATGCTCAGATGGGAATCTGACCTCGTAGGTAATCTGGTATGTCTGAAGCAGACCTCCTCTAGTCTGGCAAGCCAAACTAAATAATACATGGAAGCTCCATTGACGGCTCTCGGTCGTGGGGTGGGTTCTACCGTTGTCTTTCAAACAATCTCCACATGCTACTAGACCAGGGATTCCCAAAGTGTGGTGCGCGCACCCCTGGGGGTGCGAGAGGTGAAAAGTGTAATGGCTGCCGAGCTCAGAGAAGTCTGTCATATGTCACCATTAGCGTAGCCAGAAACTCATTTGTGGGTGGGCCGAAGAAAAAGTAAGTGGGCACAATAAATGCAATTGAAAACAAGTTTTCATTTTTGCGCGTGTGTGTGTGTCCTCCACATGTGTCCTAGCTTCATAATAACAATGCGCCGAGCTTCAGCACTCTGGCCTGCGCACGCCGATATGTTCCGTATTTGATCATTTTTAACGGTGTTGGAGAAATCTGAAGGTGGTGAGTCATTCTGGCAGATTGTAATTAACACCCTGTCTCATGCAGGTGTTCTGACATTGTAAACCTCACACACAGAACATTGTGGATGTAACAAAGTATATCAAGAAATTATTCCCATTCGGGCTTTTAACAGAGCACTGAAGATCTGAAGTTCAGAGTGCGTCTGTCAGTCAGACGCGTTCCAGCGGCACCACGGCTCACGGGTGCACAAGTGAGCACATCTGGGCTGGGCAGAAGTAATTTTACAACATTGGTTTAAATAGCGCCAAATAACGAGATGCTGTGACTGGAGCGGCTCATGGAGTTGTGCCGCGCGCGCACACACACACACAAACTCCGGCGCTGTGCCGTCAGACTGAATGCAGAGATAAGCGCTGCCTCTACTGTGATAAAAACTTTTAAGAGGTTTTATAACAACATTTTTCATTCCAGGTCAAATTAAGATATTAGCTTCTATTTTGGGATGACGTATTATCGGGTCCGCTTCTGCCAGTGACTCCGAACCTGCAGCAGTTGTTATTCCAGTCCGCGTGGCAGCTGATCGCAGATTCAGACACACCATAAAACAGCAATAAGTCGGTCTGAGGCAAAAGTGAACCTCATGGATAGCTTTCCATATTTTCCCCTATAGACATTTGATTACGCACAGGTGATCAGTTCATGTTTACGCAGAGCAGAAGGAAGGAGAGCACTCTGGCCGCACAGGTTAAACGTTCCTACTTTAAGAAAACAGTTAAGTGCATTGTTTATGTGCTACCTGGGCACTCTAAATATTTATTTAAAATTAAATCAAAGGAAATTGTAATGGTATCGAATGTTTATTAATTACTATTTAAAAAATGGAAGTGATTGTCGGAAAAAGGTCGATCATATTTTTTTAACACTGTCTGTTTAGCTTGACGTCTGATATATATATATATATATATATATATATATATATATATATATATATATATATATATATATATATATATATATATATATATATATATATATATATATATATATAGCCATGCCCTGATGTGGGGGCTGGGGGGCTGCGTCGACATGGTCGGGACATAGAAGGGGGTGCGCGGCTAAATAAGTTTGGGAACCACTGTACTAGACAATGAACGTGATGTACTCCCCACAGCGGCATGTCTGTAAATGAGGCAGTCTGCTGTTGAAGGCGAAAACACATCCTTTTTCTCTAAATAAAGGACTTAAATACATCTATCTGCTCCTGATTCTAATGAAGCCCAAGTCCAAATAATCCAAAATTGATGTAAAAGCTGTATCAAACATGCTGTCTCCATCTTGTTCCACTCTGTTGCGTCATCTTGCCCATAGATATGTATATAAACACTAGATGGAGAAAGCGGGAGTCGAGGGCGTAGCTAAACGGCGGCCATCTTACCTCAGACAACAGACCACTCCGCTCTCAAAGCTAGCAGCTGAAAGGTGAGTGATCAGCTTAAACAAAAACACCCTTAACTCGATTAAATATTAACGGATTTACAAGCCTTAGAACACATGGGCTTGAGACAACATACTTGCACATGTTGAAAGCAACGCTTTTGCTTTTGAAAGTGACTTAATTGTGAACCGTGTGTCCCGCCTAGGCTATCTACATGTTATTCTGGTTGAGACCACAATTGATATTTTATGTGGTTCTACAAAACCAATAACGACTTTACAACAGCCCAATTGTTGTGTAAATAACGGTTTGTGGATGTTTCTGTATTTATTAGCTGTCTAACTTGGCTTAGAGATGACGAGGGTACGGTGGGTGCACTGCTTAGCAAAACAAAGTTGACTATTTACCTCAGTGGGAGTCGCTCGTTTTATTTTAAGTAAATTAATGCTAAATTGCCTGTGATTTTTAAGCGTCTTGGTTTGTTACACTAAACTTATATTGGGGTATATTAAAACAGGACATTTGTGGATTTATGTTTGCAGAAATACACTTTTATTAACTGTGAAGCTTGAGGGTCAGCATGCCTGACTTTCGTGCAGCCTACGGATGCTCAAATCGCCGCTGTGACAAACTGAGACAACATGGGATCACCTTTCCTCTGTAACTGTTGCCATTGTGGACCAATCACAGCGCTCTATGGGATTGAAACCCCTATAGAGAGCTGTGATTGACCAGCCAGAATGCTGCTAGAGGCTTTGGAGGTTCCAATGGCGCGTTCCTAGACCAAAATTTGCAAAGCAAGAATTTGGTCTAGTTCACTAAGCTAGACCCCCTCAGGAAGAGGACTGAAAAACAGTTTGGTTGCACCCTGAAAAAAGGCAGGCTATGCTAATGTAGAAACTCTCCATGCTATCCAGACCATGCGGAGCTGATGCTAGTGTGAAAGGGCTCAGTCAATCTCTTTGGGTGCCCCTATTTCTGGTGCTTCTGTTTCAAGGCAAGACAGATTTATTTATAGCACATTTCATACACAATGGCAATTCAATGTGCTTTCCAATGGCAAGAATAGCAAGAACATTAAAATCAATGTGACAGAAATTTTTATTTAATAATTAAAAAAGACTAATTTAAAGGTTGAATATGGAACATGGACACTGGCGAACTCTGGTGTTCAGAGGTGGTATTGCAACAACAGAACTAATTTTCCAGCCTTGGGATGTTGGTTCACACATTTATGTGGGCTAACACGTGGGGCCAGCTTTTCCCACTGTATTGAAAATTTCAGTCAAACTGAAACCAGGAGTCAAGGGATCAGTGGGTCTGGGGAAGCACATATAAACCTGGGAGTGGTTTGGGTCTCACTTCTTGGGGGGCTACCCCTGCAACACGTACTCAGATAAGTGGGTAAAAATGAACAAATGGACTTATTTTCCTCTTTAAGCCTCTAATATTGAGTAAATCAGGAGATCATTGAATTTAAAAGGTGAGGACTTGGGACAACACGAAAAAAGATTTTGAGTTTTATTTATTTTTTAAGACTGCATGTCAACCAGAACTGTCTGCCGCAAAAAATAAAAATAAAAAATCATGATTGTCATTGTCAATCAGCTACAAAGAGTTGGGACACAGAATGATCCTTTCGCTTAAAATGATCTGAAGCATCAGGAAAGCTGCTGATGAGCTTCAGCGCTGCTCCAACTGCACCACCACGCTGCAAAGTTTATCCACCAACACTGCAGAAGAAAAACAAAATAAAAATAATGTTGAAACTAAAGCTGATCGTCTTAGTTTTCTTCTCTTCTTATGCAAATATACACTTTATGCATGTTTTTGTCTTTAAAAGTGTGAATCAGCCTAGTTGACAGAAAATGCATCTGTCTATCTACAATGCTTTAAATTAAGTAATGGACATGTTCCTTCTGTACCTCCTGCAGACAGCCTCTGGGCCTCATCGAATTCCCTACAGTTGTCGATCAGCTGTCCCAGAGCTTCGGGACAATCAGGTGGCAGGGGCTCTTGATATTTCTCCTTGAACACTTTGTTGTGAAGGTCATCACTTGTATAACCTGGAAGAATTGTGAGAAAAATGTAATAAAAGCCAAATAATCCTATAATCATAGTTCTTTAGCTGTGGTGTTGCACTTTTGTTTCAGTATCTGGACGGACCACCATGAAACAGTTAAAAATTCCTGTTTCTCAGTAGAGGAATTATCATCGCTTCTTTTTCCAAAATCAGGTTTATGTTTATATTTTTAAAAAGTCCCAACTACTGACTATAATTAAACATTGTTCCCTATTTACTCGTAATCTAAGGTCCAGTAATAATGGTTCAGTTTATGTGTTTGTGGTCACTGAACCCTTGATCCTGTTTCAGATGCATGTGTCTTTGGAAAGGTCCCCTGCCGATCACAAAGCTTCCATTGAAACAGATAATTCCACTCTACAATTCCAGGTAAAACCTATGAAGTCATGTTTTAGGTTACAGCCAAATCCTGCTGTAAATTTTCATATACAAAAAAATAGATTTCTAACTATCCAGACTTCATGGTAGTTTACAAAAAGCAAAGCAGTGGTTATAAATGTAACACCAGGAATAAGAAAAACAGGAAGCTTGAGAAATTCTGCGTGTTGAAACAGGAAATTGAGACTGTCAAATCAAGACCTTAGTAGTGGTTATACATTATATATATATATATATATATATATATATATATATATATATATATATATATATATATATATATATATAAAATGTATGGTATGTATAAATAATAATTAAATACATTATATATATATATATTTATGTAGATAGATAGATAGATAGATAGATAGATAGATATGGGGGGAGAGATGCATATCATTTAGTTAAATATATTGTGGTTAGACTTTATCTTCTTAAACAGCTTTTCTGTGTGGTGCTGTGCAAATTCAGATACGCACCTTCAAAAGGTTTCTTACGTGTTGCTATTTCCCACAGAACAATTCCAAAGCTGAAAGATAAGATCGTTTTTTTTATTATTTAAAAAAAGTTTTTATTTTCTTACGTCTTCCCTTTTAACTGTTTGTTATATTCTTCATTCTTGCTTTAGCAGCACGTGGTGAGCCCTGATCAGTGCTCACCTGTACACCTCACACTCTTTGTTGTAGGTGTGATTGATGTCATTGAGCAGTTGAGGAGAGGAGTAGCACAGTGACATGACGTTGTTGTCTTTTTTCTTTGTCATCCTTCTCAGTGATGTCTCTGTTTTTGCCAGCTCCAGTCCCCCCAGCTGAAATGATAATTACAGCGATACCACAGTTGGTTGTTGTAAATATCTGCTGAAGGCCTTGGTAATTGTGGCAAGTGGAATCAGAAGCGAATAATAGCCTGTTTGGCTTCTGCACCTTAACTCTGAAGTTTTCATCCACTAGGAACTTGCTGCTGCTGATGCTTCCGTGAACCTTACTTTTTTCCTCGGTCAGGTGCAGTCTAAACATAGCAAATGTGCACAATTACATTTTATTTAAGCACATAATAATTTTTATTAATAGATTTAACAATGAAAAATGTTATTTATTTGAATAAACCTGAGCTGTGCCTGACAATAACCTCCTCCCACTCTCCTCCTTTTAATTTCATTTCTCCTTTTCCATTGGGACTAAATATACACCAAAAGAAATTCTAGTAAAGTTTTTATGTCAAGCGGGGCATTATAGCTGTAACGCTCCATGTGTGAGAGTTAAACTGTAAGGCTTTTTTTTTTTTTTTTTTTTTTGGTACTCAGACAATGATTCTGATTGATTTACATCCAAACACGACATGGGGGACGGGGAACAAATTGTCTCTAAAAATATCTCAAGCCACTTTTTTCAATTAGCAACTACTTGATTTTACAGTAGAATGGGTTTATCTGCTAATTGTGTACAACTCATCTTCTCTTAGTCTTATGATACTGATTCGTAACTGGCAACCACCATGAAACCTGTGTGTGTGTGTGTGTGTGTTGGGGGGGTCATCACTGTCCTCACAGTCTAGCATTTCTAAAATTGAATTACTTGCATATCTGCCAACATGTTTATCTTCCAAAGTGCTACAGAGCAGTTACAGCAAATGCTCTCAGGCCTTCACAACCGTGGATGATTAGCGATGTCTGATATGATCAGTCTACCATTATTATTGGCTGATATAGGCATTTAAATTTATTATTGAAAAATATTTGTACTGATTTTAAGTCTTATATTGACATGTTTACATACCAGGGTTTCCACAAGCGCTGCAAAAGCCTGGCGGGCCACTAGGCCTTGCTTTAGGCCATGCATCCACCCCCTTCCCCACTGTCACTGTAGCGAAACGATCCCCCCTGCTTTCACGCATGCCCGCCCAATAGACCACCAGGCTTAGCAAGTTTTCTGGAGGAAACCCTGCATACCATGTGTACATCAAACTGTTCAGCTACTTCTCTCTATCAAAATGTGAAAATATGACAAATCTGACATAAAGTTTTTGAGATATTTTAATTTACTTGGCACAACTTGTGGATTAGAAATTTGCCCTTAGTAGCGAACATACGCTGCCCTCACAGCACGTAGCTACGTGTAGCTAGACAGCTAAAAAAAAAAACAACCACAAAAACCCAAGGCTTGCTTTTCTTATCTGGAAATCTTTATAAATGTTTCACCATTGTAACTGCAATGTCCAGAATGAGAATAAGGCCTTACTATCTATCTATCTATCTATCCATCCATCCATCCATCCATCCATCCATCCATCCATCCATCCATCCATCCATCCATCCATCCATCCATCCATCCATCCATCCATCCATCCATCCATCCATCCATCCATCCATCCATCCATCCATCCATCCATGAGAAAAAAAGTATGAACAGTGAACTTATTTAAAAATATTAAAATGATGAAGTAAAAAATTAAATAGTTTGTTTTAAAATGTATGAATTGAACTTTGAACTAGCTCATTTTTAAAACGAACTTTTCAACACACTGTTACATCTCTGAAGAACAGGGTGAAGGTGATTGAATGGCCAAGTATGTCTCCTGATCTGAACCCAATCCAACACCTGTGAGGAATTCTGAAGCAGCAAGTTGAGCATCACTCTCATCCAGTATCTAGGCTCTAAAACAGGTTATTGTTGAAGAACGGAGAAAGATAAATGTTGTAATATGTTGCCAATTTGTTCGTTCCATGCCAAGAAGACTTGGTGCTGTCCTTGAAAAATACTACATGTAGTAGTTTTTGTTGTGGGGTGTATTCATTTTTGCTTCAACCAATTTTAGTAAAACTGAAGATGTTGTGATCTAAGTAATAATATTAACCTTAATTTCATGTTATGGAGTTGAATAAGTGTTCAATAAACCCAGCCTCGTGAAAGTTCTGGAAATTGTTCTTTTGTTCATTGAGCTGCTTATTAAATTCTTACTTTGTAAAGGGGGTGTGCTCATTTATGCTGAGCACTGTATATCGGAATTGGATATTGAGAGTGAGACGATGTCGGTATAAAAAGCCAGTATCGAGCATTCTCATGGAGAATAATACAGGTGCTGGCCAGTAAATTAGAATATCATCAAAAGGTTGAAAATATTTCAGTAATTCCATTCAAAACGTGAAACTTGTACATTATATTCATGCAATGCACACAGACCAATGTATTTCCAATGTTCATTACATTTAAATTTGATATTCATAAGTGACAACTAATGAAAACTCCAAATTTGGTATCTCAAAAAATTAGAATATTCTGAAAAGGCTGAATATAGAAGACACCTGCTGCCACTCTAATCAGCTGATTTACTCAAAACACCTGCAAAGGCCTTTAAAAGGTCCCTCAGTCTTGTTTTGAAGGCACCACAATCATGGGGAAGACTTCTGACTTAACAGCTGTCCAAAAGACAATCATTGACACCTTGCACAAGGAGGGCAAGACACAAAAGGTGATTGCTAAAGAAGCTGGCTGTTCGCAGAGCTCTGTGTCCAAGCACATTAACAGACAGGCGAAGGGACGGAAAAAATGTGGTAGAAAAAAGTGTACAAGCTCTAGGGATAACCGCACCCTGCAGAGAATTGTGACGACAAACCCATTCAAAAATGTGGGGGAGATCCACAAAGAGTGGACTGCAGCTGGAGTCAGCGCTTCAAGAACCACCACGAGGAGACTCATGAAAGACATGGGATTCAGGTGTCGCATTCCGTGTGTCAAGCCACTCTTGAACAAGAAACAGCGCAAGAAGCGTCTCGCCTGGGCCAAGGACAAAAAGGACTGGACTGATGCTGAGTGGTCCAAAGTTATGTTTTCTGATGAAAGCAAGTTCTGCATTTCCTTTGGAAATCAAGGACCCAGAGTCTGGAGGAAGAGCGGAGAAGCACAGAATCCACGTTGCATGAGGTCCAGTGTAAAGTTTCCACCGTCAGTGATGGTGTGGGGTGCCATGTCATCTGCCGGTGTTGGCCCACTCTGTTTCCTGAGGTCCAGGGTCAATGCAGCCGTCTACCAGGAAGTTTTAGAGCACTTCATGCTTCCTGCTGCTGACCAACTTTATGGGGATGCAGACTTCACCTTTCAACAGGACTTGGCACCTGCACACAGTGCCAAAACCACCAGCACCTGGTTCAAGGACCATGGTATCCCTGTCCTTGATTGGCCAGCAAACTCGCCTGACCTTAACCCCATAGAAAATCTATGGGGTATTGTGAAGCGGAGGATGCAATACGCTAGACCCAACAATGCAGAGGAGCTGAAGACGACTATCAGAGCAACCTGGGCTCTCATAACACCTGAGCAGTGCCACAGACTGATCGAGTCCATGCCACGCCGCATTACTGCAGTTATTGAGGCAAAAGGAGCCCCGACTAAGTATTGAGTGCTATACATGCACATTCTTTTCAGTTGGCCAACATTAGAGAAACAAACATTTTTTCATTGGCCTTTAGAATATTCTAATTTTCTGAGATACCAGATTTGATGTTTTCATTGGTTGTCACCTATAAATATCAAATTTAAATGTAATGAACATTGGAAATACATTGGTCTGTGTGCATTGCATGAATATAATGTACAAGTTTCACGTTTTGAATGGAATTACTGAAATATTTTCAACCTTTTGATGATATTCTAATTTACTGGCCAGCACCTGTATAACGCCTCTGGGGACCAAGCAAGCCTTCAGCACCGTCAAGACTTCCTGTTTTGTTTTGTTCACTCTTTACATCTCTGACTTTCAGTCCAATTCCACCTGCAGATATTTTTCTTTATTTATTTATACCCCTGTGAGTTGCTTCATGACTTGCTGCAGGCAACATGCTGCGGACTCACCGATAAAGTCCCTGTGCCGCGTCGAGGCACATGCATGCTTTCCTGATCCATGATAGTTCACACGGAGAATCCAGAACAGCTCTGAGGCTTCCTTTTTCACAGTACTCCATGATGATGAGGTATTGAGGTTTTGGTGCTGCAGTCAGTTACAGACATCACGTTTCTATCAAAATATCAGGTATATGCGAATCCCATTCATTAGCATACTCACTGTTCTCGTCCAGGATGCAGATGCCAAACATTCGCAGGATGTTTGGTGACTCAAACCGTTTCATGGTATCAACTTCTTTTTCAAAAAGAGACCTCACCTCCCTACAAGTAGATAGTGACAATGTAATGTTTATGTTACGATTATTGTATGTCATAGATTAAAAGCCATTGCATTGCACTTGGAAATGTATTGAGGTGTCAAAGCACAGTCCAAGGTTCAGAGGTCAGCAACCTGGAGGAAAAAGTTGTTCCTCAACCTTATTTTCTGGACATCGTTACTCCAAAGTCCATGACCATTTCTTTCATATTTGCCATATTGATGGTCAGGTTGTGTGCTAATCAACAAGCTCATCGACTTCCTACACAAAGACTCTTTGTTGTAGAACAGCTCTCTTCATAGTTTAGCTCTTGAGGGCAACCATTTTACATGTTGTAGCTCTTCAATTTGCCACTGAGTGGTGTAATGTTTCCCTGGTTGAGCAGATTTAATACATTATAAAATACTATTAGTTTGTTTGAAACATAAGTCTCAGTGTTTTGGAGGCCAATTCCGCCAATCTAATAATAATAATAAAAAAACTCACAATTATGAGCTATTATCTCACTAACCTATGGTGGTGGAGATGTTTTTTTTTTTTTTTTTTTTCATCAGAGTGGCAGAAATGGGTTTTCATTCCTGGCTATCTTTATAATTTTGCCAAAAGCAATTTGACCCTTTGGAGGCAGGCATTGCAGATTTGCTATGTCAAAACCTACCTACCTGGTTACTCCATACGTATTTCATGGGCATTTTTTAACTCAGAAGTACACCTGAAGGACTTAGTTGTTCGTCCTTTTATCAAAACTTATTTTGAGGGTTAATTCTGACTACATGCGTTTTCAAATGCAGCTGGCTTTGGACAGACAGAAATCAAATGTAGGCAAAAATGATACACTTAAAAACAATTCAACATGTTTGTTGTTGTTTGTCTCTATTAAATGTGTTTCCCGAGCATTGTGCACATGTGGCACAAACCTTGGGTTGGTGTTTGAGGGGTCTATGTATTTCTTGATGGCCACAGTGAATCCACAAAATTGTCCTTTGTAGACCATTGCAGTTGGCGTAGTCATGAAGGGAGGTTCCTGGTCGAACTTTAAGTCTTCTTGTCTAATCATGCGGATTTTTACACTGATGATACTGGGCTTGTTCACTGTTGAGGACAATAGTAAATAGTAGTTGGTCTGTATTTAAATAACACCTTCTAAAGCTGAATCTCAAAAAATAAATATGGTGCAAAAGTCCATTTATGTCAGTAATTCAACTTAGACTGAGAGACCATCTAAAGGCCCAGGAACCTGTTGCAGGTGTTCTGGTTTCACTAGAGTGTGACACTTTGAGTCTATTTTTTAACCTTTTCACAAAATTCTAATTGTGATTCTGAATGTGGGGTTTTCATCAGCTGTAAACTATAATCATTACAATTATAACAAATAAAGGCTGAACAATCTGGTTTTGCATGTAATTCCTCTGTCTCGTTTATTAGTTTCACCTTTTTGTGTGAATTAATGGCAAATGACTTTTGCATCATGTTCTAGTTTTTCAAGTTTCGCATGTAGGGTTCCACAACCCGTCAAAGCACTTTAAAACACAATCAGTCTTTCACCCTCCTATACACACATTCACACACTGGTGATGATGGGCTACAATGTAGCCACAGCTGCCCTGGGACACACCGACACAGACGAGGCAGCCGTACAGAGGTGCCACCGGTCCCTCAAATTACTGCTAGAAGGCAAGGAGGGGGAAGTGTCTTGCCAAAGGACACAACAACAGACTGAGTGGGGCTCAAACCTGCAACCCTCCGGTTACAGGGTGGGCACTTAACTCCTCTGCCTCCCTGGTTGGGGACACATCTTCAGAGATGCAGATTACAAAACACTTAACAACAGGGTTTAGTCTAATTACCGCATACTCACACATCTCCACGATTTTACTGACACTGGTCTTGATTTCTTCAAGGTCTCTTTGCATGGCCTCCACATATTCGCCATACTCTGTGAGCACTGAGAAGTAAACAGACGCCAAAGAGTCAGGACTGAGAACAGTTTAAACCGAAGTTACGTACATGAAAAATAAAAATTTGGTTTGTTTACCTTAAACTGTGAAGATAAAATTAGACAAACTAAACAAAAGTTTACTTTTGAAAGCTTTCTGTTCTACCAACAAAATTCTTTTAGCTAGTTGACCATTTTAGCAGAGGCTCTTGTTACACTGAATATTTGTATGACCCTGTCAGATTTCCTCTAGTCACATAGGTATGTGATTAATGGCTGGACTATGCCACCAAAGCAAAGCCAAAACCAGATTTGCTCACTTCGCTTCAACTCAGCATCATCCTCCTTCCCGTCCACTTCATCTTCCTTCTGTCTGGAGATCAGCTCAAATACCTTGTACACTTCATTTCCATGCTCTACCTGCAGAGCTAAAGCCAGATTCTGGAAGGCGTCATTGAGTCGCTCATTCACACCATTGAACTCATCTCCATGACTGCTGGACATCAGAATGCGCTTCACCAAATGTGACATGGTGTATTTCTTAATTAGGTGATAAGCTGATGTCAGAGTGATGGAGAGTTCGTTAAGGGCTTTATTTATGTCATCAGCAGGTTGGACGGCACTCCTCTGTTCGATCGACTTCACCAGGCTCTCCAAGGCTTTGACTCGCTCAGAAACACGCTGGCAGCGCTTCTTATTAGCCTTCGCATTCTCCACCAGTGAGTAGATGGATTTGGCAAGGTCCAAGATGTTTGTTGCAATGTCCATGACTGGCTGGAGAGGAGGACAGCAGACAAAATTGATCAGAGGATCAAATTAAATTAAAATCAAAGGTGAGATCATTAAATAATATGTCCTTTGCTGACATTATCTTTTAGATCCAATCTCTGTAGTCATTTTTAGAAGACACACCATGCAGTCAAATCAGCATAACACTGCAATCGTGGTGTGTCTTGTGAATGCGCTATGGCATTGCGGGAATAGTAATATTACTGCCAATTCTTTGCAGAATAATGGGAACTTGTAACAAAACCAAAAAATCCAGCTGAACCAATTAGAGACGAGAACAAAGCGGGGGGAGGAGGGGCGAGGGCTGGGAACAGAATCAACCAATCAGTGAGCGCTAGTTTCTCCATGTTTCCTTTAAGCTAAGCAGTTAGCTTTAGCGAAACACTCTGGTTAAACTCATTTTCAGTGACTTTCAAACCTTTATTTACTTAATTTCATCTTCTTTTTAGATGGGTTTAGTGAAATTAACGCGACAGAACGTCATGCTATTTATACCATTTGTATGGCATTCATATAAGATGACAGTACTATGCTTAGTCTGGCTAACGCTAACACAGCCTGCTACGCTAGGCTAGCAGACGTCTTGGCCTCTATCAGAGTAGCTTAGCATAACAGTCACTGTGTTTTATTTTGTAAACATCTGCCGAGAAAAAAATCAAGACAATCTCCGCTTCCAGTCATGCATAACCAGCTTCTAAGATTCAGTTTGTTTAATTAATTTGTAGTTATCAAGTAATGTGTAAATCAAACAGAATGTGGGATGGTTTTTCTTTACATATAATTTCCTAAATAAATGCTTTAAATTCCATTAAAAAAAAACAGTGCTCCTGTTTATCTTGGACATAACTTGCCTTTGCACTTTTGGACAAGCCGTTCCTAAAGGTGTCTGTCCTCCACGGTCACCGTGCAGTCTCTGGGGATCTGACCTCCAGCTCTAATGGAGAGAAGCTCCGGAGTGCTGCATCGTTCTGGTTTATCATCTCAGCTGTTCTGTTTACAAATATGAAACTTGTGCTCATGTTTACTTTCATTTTCAATACAGTTGCCGGCCGAAGCTCGGCAGTTACTTCCCACGTGGTCGTGACACCACTCTCTGTTGTGTGATGGCGTAATAGGCATTCCTAAGTCCAGCGTTGCGGTAATACACCAAGCGTGGCAGCACGATTGCTGCAAAATTCCCGCAATGCCATTGTTATGGGCACCAGCCTGATGCAGGAGCCAGGATCACCCAGCCATGGTGATCAGCCAAACACTGCCCCTCCTCCTGCTCCTCTCTTCCAGGCTGCTGAGGAGCACAGCTGACCTGAATCCCTCTGACAACCCACACCTGGGATAAAGAGGCTGTGCCTTCAGCAGTCTGGGGGGCAGGCTGAGAATAAGGTGTCATATGCTGAGGCGGTGCGTCATATGGGGGTGCGGAACAGTGGTGCGTCCGAGCCTTGTAATGTGCCTTTGTCAACTGGTGGTGGGGATGTGGGGGCAGGTGTGGTAGTTGCGAGTTTATGTTTTTGGCATTTATGGATGAGGCCTTGTGGAGGGTGAAGAATGGAGCCTCCAACAAGTCCGATGTAGCTCGTGAGTTGACATCAGTGGTGGGGGCCTTGTTGGGTTTTTCTGACGTGTCCCCCGATGAGGTCTGGGGGGGTGACATGTTTGCAGGGTGTTGGGGGTTCTGGGTCTGCTGTGGATTGTGGGACGCCCTTGGTGGTGGGTGTAGATGGTGGGAGTGTGAGTATGGGGTGAACCTCCAGGTGGGGTTCTGTGTTTTCACTGGGGTGTGAACAGGTGGTGGGTTTTTGTTGATGGTGGTTGTGTGGGAACACGGGGTGAGATGGAAAGCGTGCCTGTTGTGTGCAGTGGGTTGCGCTGGCTCTGTGTGTTAATGTGTGGCAGCAATACGCCTTATAGGCGTCTACCCTGCCTAATTTCAAAGAAGACTGGGAAGCAGCAGTGCAGGGGTTCTGCTGTCCTCCAGGCCTCAGATTGTTTTAAACCCCTTCAATTTTTATGAGTTTTAACTTTTATAGTTTTAACTCTGTGTGATCCAAATGGATCTTTTGTTCTTGTCAACTTGGTTAACTCAGTTTTAAGGTCAACTTTGTTTTGGTTTTCAGACTATTATCAACTTCATTGTTTATAAAACCCCTTCAGTTCTGTGAAACTTTTAATAAAGTTTTAACCAGGTGCTTTATATAGTTAAGTTGTCTTTTTAACTGTTAACCTTATAGAGAATTATTCGTTTAGCATTATATTAACAATGTTCTCCATCTGTTTGCTCGCTTGTTTTTAAAACCTTTGATGGCAATTAAACCCTTTTTAAGCCCACTGTCATGTTTTTTATGTTACCCCCTCCTTCACATTCTTCATTCAGAGAAGTGATGACTGTGTTTGTGTCTCAGTGGTTGTGCTTCAAGACCTCCCCGTATCCAAAATGTGCTCATGCTCACGTCAGTTGGCATACGGTTGCGCACATTTTCCCGTCATGTTTTTTTTTATTTTTTATATTTGGAGATCATAGTTTGCTGAGAAAATGACTTAAACAATTTTTAGACTCTGTTTATAAAATATTTTTATAAATGTTGTCCCAGGTCATGAGACTCACAACAGCTACTCGTCTCATAGCTGCTGACAGACAGATTTCACAAGACTGCCCAAAATGACTGTGCCGATTGTTTTCCTTTTTGTTCAGATTTCTGGTCTAACTGCTCAGTTAAAAGTGAAAGTGAAGAGTTCAAAGTCAGCCAATGAGCTGAAAATCAGCTGGAAGTCAACACCCAATGTTACAAAGGACCACAATAAAAATAGATTATTTCAATCAGTCAATCAAATTTATTTATGAAGCGCTTTTCATACAAGTGCAGCTCAAAGCGCTTTACAATATTAAAAACAACCAGACAGCAGTCGGTTTCCCACCCCACACACACACACACACACACACACATACACACACACACACACACACACACACACACACACACACACACACACACACACACACACACACACACCACAGGTCCACGTGGCAGGGGTGAGGTGGTGCTCACTCCTCACCCCTGCCACATGGACCCAAGGGATAAACCATCAATCCTGCTCAATGGTCAACTTTCCTCGCGGGGTCACACCCATTAGGACAGTGGGAGGGTTAAGTAAATGAGTAAGTAATAAAACACTGATAAAATATATAAAATATTTTAAAACAGGCTAAAATAGTTCAAAATCAACTAAAAGCTATACCAAAAAGGCGAGTCTTGAGCCTGGCCTTAAAAACAAGAACACTCTCTAAGGCCCTGAGGTCCTCTGGCAGACTGTTCCAGAGGTGAGGGCCATAAAACTGGAAGGATGCCTCGCCTTGGGAGTGTATCCTGACTTTTGAAAAGACAAGATGCCTGCCAGAGGAGCGCAGGGACTGCGAAGGCTCGTATTTATGAAGCAGTTCTGAGAGATAAGAAGGCCCAAGACCATTAAGACATTTAAAAACCATTAAAAGAACCTTAAAACTCATTTACCTGTAAGGAGGAGTCTGAGAGTTCTGTTAGTTCTTTCTGTGATTCTGTGAGTGCTGGGGAAAGTGAAACTAAACTTATCTGCACCCTCTTCTTCCTGTTTGTGTCTGGCAGTTGTAGTCCCTCCCTTCCAGGAAAACTGTGGTCCTTTAGCCAGACAAGCCTCAGACGGCCGTTCTCAAACCTCTTCAGCAGAAGCATAGTTAACTAAGGCATCCTGGAGACTGTCAGATTCTTGTGGAAATCTTTTCAGCAGACTCCAGTGGCCTCATGTACAGATGTTTGCAGACATTCTACTGAAACGTGGGACACTAAACTGCATTCACATAAACAAATCAAACTACACTTAAGATTCGATCCAGTGCAGTGGTGGCTGGAGGAAATAAATCTTGGTGGGACGATGTGAGAAAAGATTTCCTCTCTTCGTCTATTATAAGAAATAAAGTGAAGAGTTGAAAAATGACAACAATTCCATAGATGCAAACAAAATCCAGAAGTTCACATAAAAAAAACCACAAAAATATTATCTGAAACTTCATAATTTCTGAGATTTACAATTAAATAATTATTGTCAGTTTTCAAGGAGACCTTTTTATTAGCTCTTGAGATCTTTGACCAAACATCTCCTGATTTAAAACATATGGCCAGAGGGTAAATTCCTTTGAATGGCATGTGTAAAACAGTATTAAAGGGACTTTACAGAGTTTTGAATTTTTATGCTCGCGATTGCCCCCTCAGGCCAAAAGCGTAACGGCAGCTTCAATAGTAGGCTCGTGCACGAGGCGCGCATGCTGTACGTGCACACTCCTTAACGAAAATAACAGCTGAGACAGTCCCGTGTGTGTGTGTGTGTGTGTGTGTGTGTGGGTGGCCCGGAGGACAGAGGACAGGAGAATGTGCAGCTAATTAATTAAATAATTTGGTTCTGTACCTTTCTCTTCAGCACAGCCGACAAAGGTTTAAGATGGGTCAGTCCTCCTGCATGCTCAGATCATTCCCTTCCCTTGCTTGAAAAATTGTTCCAAAATGAAAGTTGAACCCACATCTTTTTTATCTGTGAATTCAATGCCGCTCGGCGAGTTTCAAATAAAAATTTGGGCATCTTACTGTAAAAAAATATACCATTAATGTAAAATATAAAGTCTAAATAAACTATGTTCACATCCAGAATCGAACCTGGGTCTTCTTTATGAGAGTCTGGCGTCTTGTGAGCTAAAGCACCAGTAACGTCTTTTGCATCTGTAACATTTATATCCTTGATGACACCTGAAACAACGTTCAAAGAACAGTTCGGAGCGAAAATGGCTATTTTGTTGCTAATTTGCAGGAAATATCTAGAAGAAAGTTCTACAGAAAGTAGCTAGGGGTCCTCAGAAATGTAGCTAGGTTCATCACTAGGCGTTAGGAACAGCGACAAAGTCGCTGAGTTGGCACTACCTCACTCTCTGCTGCTAAAGCTACTGATAGCAAATGCTACGGGCTATGCCTGAGCGTGAAAGCGCATGAAGCAGCCTGCTCGACCCGAGCATCTCTCTTTTTCTGTGATTTTACAGAAAAACAGGCAATCACAGTAAAAATGCCAGGGCTCATTCTACAGGACCAGGGCATTGCAGGAGAATGTATGAAGAAGAAATGTATTATTTCTATACATGTTTTGGCTGTCAAACTTCCATAATGCCCCTTTAAAGTCTATGCTGAAAAAGTTTTTTTTGGATTTTCACAGCTGGATTTTTAGGAAAATTCTGTTTTAGAAATAGCACGACAAAACAGAAGATATCTTCCGGTCTGAGCCCAAACCAGATGATGTCCAAGCTGGAACACTCAAACAGCTAGTGTAAACAGTAGTGAATCTCTGGTGTTTTTGCATTAGCATTATAGCAGATGTCAACATCTTGATCTGTGTTCACATGGATCTCTTGATATTTGTCATAATTCTTCCATACACTTCCACCACCATGCTTCACTGTAGGCACCATGCATTTCTCTTTGAAATCCTCACCTTTGCGACGCCATACAGTTTTGTTCCAAAAACAGTGATCTTTGTCTCATCACTCCAGAGAATTAAGTCCCAGTAGTCTTCATCTCTTTCAGCATGGGCTCTAGCTAATCCTAGGCGTGCTTTTTTGTGCGTGGGCTTTAGGAGAGGCTTCCTTCATGGATGATACCCATGCATGCCATTCCTCTGTAGTGTGCGCCATATGGTGTCACAGGAAACAAATCACTCCAGTTTGGCTTTCTACTGCTTTAGCTAACTGCAGTGAACTTGCATGGTGATTTTCTTTAACCCTTCTTATCAACCCTTCTTATGTATTATGGTTGCACTTCCATCTTTCATATATGTTTGGATCACTTTTGCTTCAGTATTGTGACTTAGGCCCTGTCCACACGTAGCTGGGGATATGCCAAAACGTAGATATTTTTCTACGTTTTGGCCTGTCATCCACACGAAAACGGAGTTTTTTCACACGAAAACGGATCTTTTTAAAAACTCTGGCCAAAGTGAAGATCTGCGTTTTCTCCATTTTGGATGTCTGCGTGTGGACAGACAAAACCGGAGTTTTAAAGTCCGCAACGTCACTTTCCGCGACAAAAAAATGCTGACATCACATGTGCGACCTGTGTTTACACTAGCCGACAGCATGGATGCCCTCAGAGCTGCGCTCGCTTTATCAATTGTCCAAGCGCTTTTTGCTTGTTTGTTTTTGCAAGCGGAATTACTGCTCCTTGCGGAAGACCACAGACGAAGGACGAGGTTAAGAACGGGGAAGTACTGCCGCCTACAGGTCTGGCATGTCCTTAACAACGTATTTATCCGGGTACGTGTGGACAGATTTTTTTTTAAACGAGGTGGTGTGGATGCAAGTTTTTGGAGGGGCGGATATTCGTTTTTTAAAAAACCCGGCTACGTGTGGACTAGGCCTGAATTGTAAAGCTTTGCTGAACTTCTTGTAGCCCTCACCTTTGTGTGTAAAGAAATAATGTCTCTTCCATGTGGAGCTGTTGCTGACAGCATGAAATGGGAAGGGCTTTTGTTTAAGTAATGCCCTTTTATGGTCACCTGTCTGCTGGACACCTCTTAAATGAATCATATGACTCACCTGTGGTTGAACACCTGCTAATTCGAATTGTGCAGTCTTCAGTGTCGCTTTTCTTCTGAGACTAGAATTGCGGTGTACTAATTTTTGCAACATGGGCTTGATGTAATTTGTCACTTTTTAGTGTGTTTAAATGAACAAATATCCACAATCCATGGCCCACTTTTGTGGGAGTATTTTGTAGTTTGGTATCTCATAGAAAATGTTGATTCTGAAAGGAAACTAAAGGTTTTCTGACAAAGGTAGGGTGTACTCATTCATGCTAAGCACTGTAGCTTCTGAAACCTCTGCCAGTCGTTCAATTTGTTTTTTTTTTCCTCTGGGATATGACAACGAGAAAGGATGTTGGATTGCTGGAGAAGTGAAACCAAACTCCGACCACCCTGGGTAGCAAGGGTGCAGACATGTTTGACACTGATTTACAAGACCCACAAGTCAATCTGGACACCGGGGAGGATTCTGTTCATCTATAGAACCAAAATTGGTAGTTTGTTTACTTTTGTCAAATATTTATTTCTGTTCCATGCTGTAGTTCTTTTTTAAAACACAGAGCAGTTTTGTTTACCTGTTTTCCCGCAACGTTTAGTTTGCGACTGCAAACTTCCTCAGGCTGACGCTGATGGTGGCGTCACTTCCTTCTCATGGACATGGACATGAAATTAAGCAAGCAGACCGACGGGACCCTAAACATAAACACATACAGGAAACCAGCACACACAGACCAATATCTATTATGGACATCAGAACACCCCACCATACACAAAATGTCAGTAATCAGAACATTATATCACCGAGCAAACATAATAACAGAAGAAAGAGACCGTAAACAAGAGGAAAAACACATACAATACGCTTTAAAGACCTGAAGGTACCCGGCATGGGCAACAAACAAAGGAAAACAACAAGCAACAATGGAAAGAAAAGAACAACCAAAGCAAAGAACCAGAAACCCAGAAAGACAAGAACCAAAACCAGTGATAACCCTACTACACATTAAAGGCATAACAGAAAAAATAAGAGCAACAATGAAAAAACACAACATAAACACACCAACAAAACCATACACAACAGTTAGAAACAGACTAGTACACCCAAAAGACAAGATACCAGCTGGACTTAAATGTGGAGTCATTTACGAAATCCCATGCAAATTCTGCAATAAAACATACAGAGAAACCGGACGCCAACTCAACACACGAACAATAGAACATAGAAAGGAGTGTGAGAAAGAAACAAGTCGTAAACACACAAGAACAGCAAAAGAAGAAGCAGAAAGCACAATAAAGAAGTCAGCCGTAACAGATCACTGCACAAGAGAAAACCATATAATGGACTGGGACAACACAAGGATCATAAACACCGAACAACAAAAATACAAAAGATGGATAAAAGAAGCTATCGAGATAAGCAGACGTGGATGTGGGACCATGAACAGGGACAATGGAGTTTACACGTTGGACCGCACATGGGACTGCATCGTCGGAGGGGAGAGCGGGCAGCAGAGGGCGACAACGTCCTCTGCTGCCTGTGGATAAACGGAGAAGGAAGTGACGCCAACATCAGCGTCAGCCTGAGGAAGTCTGCAGCCACAAACGAAAAGTAGTGGGAAAACAGGTAAACAAAACTGCTCTGTTTTAAAAAAGAACTACAGCATGGAATTACGGATACGACACAGCAAGAACACACCTAAAAAGATCTATTTGTGTGCTGCCAGTTTTACCTCTGCGTGTATATATTGAAATAATTCCGGAAAATGTTTAATCAATAATTTAGCAGAATAACTCCCTGACTGGTGTGACTGCAGTAGCTTGCTAGCTCGTTGTTTGTAGTAATCCTGGATAGCACACTGGGGTCCTACCCATCCCAGGAGGATCGATTGTTGAAATATGTGGATCATCTTTTAGATCTTGTGTGTGTGTGTGTGTGTGTGTGTGTGTGTGTGTGTGTGTGTGTGTGTGTGTGTGTGTGTGTGTGTGTATGTGTTGTGTGTTGTGTGTTGTGTGTGTGTTAGCTTTCCAAAGT